TTTTTATAACTTTATTATAAATTTATATTTTTTTTAATTTTTATATAATTATTTATAAATTAAATCTTTTTCATGAATAACGCCCAAAAAATTACGCCAAGCTGTCAACCAATCATTTGGTAACTCAAAGAAAATGAAGGGAAAGAAGAAAAGGAGGAGAATGTAGCAAAAATGCCTCTTGCAGAACGCCTTTGCGGACTGCATTTGCAGAAGGTAGAATGCGAGCTGGACATTTACCCGCTTAACTACGCGAAATCCTTCAGGACGTTTTACAGCCTTATGTCTGAGGAAACTTTTGGTATAGGGATTGGATCTTTAAGCAGACTTCAATCCCTGCTGTGATGCAAGGTTGTCGTGCAGCCAATTTACCCGGTTTTAGTTTGTCCCAAAATTGCTACCGTACACACCGGTTTTGAAGTCGTTGAATTATTCTTTGGTCAATTTTTGAGGCAAAGCTCTTTGCTTAATAACCCAAAAGTTTGGAGTCACTCCGACAATCACTCTTTCGGAAATGGGGAAAATAGCATAATCGCTGCGGCAATTTTGTAAAAAAATTTTGCTCGCGTCTGCACCTTTGACTTAAAGCCAAAAAGGGGTATTTCGAAAAATCCAATTTATTTTGTTCCCCATTTAATTCTTATATTTGATTGTATTTTGATATGTATTATTTGTTTAGTTTTAGTAAAGTTATGATAAATAAGGTATGGACAAAGACTTTCTACATAGTAGACTTTCTACCAAAGACTTTCTATTTTTAACTTATTAAGGAAAAAACTACATAAAAAATAAGATTCCCTTAATTTTTGTAAAAAACAAAATTTGTTTAAATCCATCAAACCCCCCCCCCCAAACCTAAAGAAATATTTTTTAAATTTATTTTACCTCAACAAATTCATCATTAAAATCGTTTAAATTTAAATTAACATTTATCCATCTAATTTTAATTTTAATTTGTCCCAATCCCAAAGGAATTGGGTATTCTTTACATTCTTCCCCAATCTCTTGAGTTCCAATAAATTGTTCCTTTATAATACCGTTATTTACATAATTTATAAAAATTGAATAACTAGTAGACATTCGATTTTTAAATTTTGAGTTAATGCAAATTGAAACAAGGGAAACATATTCTTCTTAAAATTTTAAAAAATAATTTTTCACATAATGAAATTACAAAAATTTCAATTTTTTTATTTTCAACCCCGGTTTATTGGGGATGAAAATTATTATAAGTTAAGTTGATGTTGAGAACGGAAGTATGCTATAAACAAATAAAGGCACGTCCACTATTATATTCCCAAAAGATAGCTGAGGGAGGACCAATCCCTAGCTAGTCCCTTTACCCCTAGCTAGTCCCCTTACCACATTTGTGTACTTCTCCCATAGCTTTGCTTCTCTCAAAGATTTTCTAGCCCTAACCGCAAAAGAGGGCGCCTTGATTTTTTTAAATTAACGCAAAAATATAAAAAGATCAAAAAACTTCAACAAATTACCCGTTTCAATACACAAATGTTTCTGTGTTTCTTCAATTTTTAATCCGATTTTATAATTCAGTCTTCCTCTACATTTAACAGTTTCGTTGGAACAGAGATAAGAAGTGCCAGATTTCTTTTTCGAATTTGAGTAATATTTGAAATTTTTGTAAATTTTAGTTTTCAAAAAATACCAATAATCACCTAAATATTTAATAAAAAATTTCAAAAAAATTAAAAGACAAACCAAAATTTGTTGGGAATTCGATTAAAGTATTTTTGTTACAAGCATCTTTAATTGAATTAATATCTTCTTTTTCTTGGTCTTTGAATCTCTGCGAGTTACTCGTTTTTCCTCTTTCTTAAAATAATTAAATTTTTTATTCAGAAAATTTCTAAGTTCTAAATTCCCCTTTGAGGGAATTTGGAAGAGATTGGATAGTTCTCGGAATCTCTCCTTTTTATTCCCATTCCAATTCTTAGAGAAAGGAAAATGAAAAAAACCCTTAATTTTGAAAATACTCGGAGCTGTAGCTAAGATTTAAAAAAAGGGTTAAAGTTAGAGCACGTCGAGTACCGAGTAATTGGGGAAAACCCGAGTTCGAGTAATCCGAGTATTATGATCCCGAGTTCCGAGTCGAGTAATTACGCAGAAAACCCGAGCGGTCGAGTCGAGTAACTCGAACTCTACTTTAAAATAATAAAACATAAAATGGACGGCACTACACAAAACTTTAAAATAATTACGATTAACATCTATATTTTGAACATGTTTGCATAATTCATCCATAATTTCTTTATCTTCATCTTTTATTAAAATATAAATATTAAAATATATAATTTAAATTTTTAACATACTTGTAGTCCCTTCAATAATATTTTTAAAAGAAGACGATGATGCTTGTTGGGTTGGAAGTAAATTTGTATTATAAACAGAATGAAAGCCTTGATTAACTTGAAGGTTTTCTTGGAAGTTTTCAACAGTGCCAGAATGTGAGGAATCACCGAAATAGTTGGAGGGATGGTTTGGGACAAAATGTTGATTGTTTGGGTAATATCCACCACAATATTGGAAATGTGGAGGGAATTGGTTTGTAGAGGATGATGATGAAAACATATTTTGTGATTGATAATGATGAAAATTTGGATCAAATTGAGGGTGTTGAATGTTTGGATTATACAAAGAGGGATGGGGAGGATTTGTTTGCATAGGGGTGGTTGAGTTGATTTCGACATTAGGATTGCTTTGATTTTCCTAAAAATGTGAGAATTAATTTAAATTTTATTTGGAAATTTTTAGAGGAAATTATGTACAGTGTTTTTCTGTTTGTGGTATTCAAGATGATCCACAAAAGGGTTAAGAAGGCAAAGTAAATTTTGTAAATCTTAGCGATTATTTCTGTCAATCGTTAAAACATTAAAACATAGTCTATAAACATATCCTAACCTTTACTCTTTGATGAGTTTAAATTTAAAAAACACAATTTAATGCCCAGAAAATAACATAAATTACCGAGTTATTTCCACTCCCCCACACAAGACTTTCAAGAGTATCCTTTTCATAAAATGGGTCCATTCCATCATTTTTTGTTATAATAAAAATAAATAATAATAAATTTATTTTTATAAAATTCTTTAGCATTTTCTTTTTTTAATTTTAAAATTTGTTAATGAGTAAATAAATAAATATTTATTTTATAAATAAAAAATATTAAAAGGGGGAGTTTAAAAATAGCGGATGTGTCCTCGCTAAATTTTTTTTATCTAAATCAGTCGTCTCGAAATTTCGATTTTCGAGATTTTCTCTTTCGAATCCTAATATAGAAAAGGGAATAATAAAAGAGCGTCGTTGCTTAAGTCTTGCAAAAAAAAATAAAAAAACATGTGACAATAAATCAATTAAATTTATTTAATTAAAAAAAATTTTTTTTTAGTTTAATAGAAAAACTTTTACATAAACCTGATTAAAAAGACTTGATAAAATATGTAGATATATTTAAAAAGTTTAAGGATTTTTGAAGAATGGAAGCCAGATTTCTTCAATTTTTTGATAGGGTTGGGGCGATATTTAGGAATTAATGATCACCCCTTTCAAGGGTTATGGAAGGATAAAGGGACTTGAGGGAATAAAGAATGATTGGGAGGTATATATTAGGGGCGTGATTAAGTGAGATTATCACCTGTCAACAATACTTCTTTATACATTAGGTTACCGCAGATAAAAAAGGGCTCTATATTAGGACATGCGTCCCATGAACTTTTATGCGTCCCATGGAAGTATATGCGTCCCATGATCGTATATGCGTCCCAAAAGTAGTATATACGTCCCATCAGAGTATATGCGTCCCATCTTCTCAAATCCCCTGATATTCCTCTCAATAGACGCTTGTTTGACTCAAGACTCGCTCAAAAATATATGTAAGGATTTGCATGTTAAAAAGGACTTAAACTTGGCAATAAAGTAAATAAAGAAATGCGATTTAGGTGTTTCTAGTTATAAGGCCATTCAATTGGAGGGGCCATTCAACTAGAGAGGCCATTCAATTAGAATAGATACGGTATTTTAGACACACCAGGAAATATAATAAGACATAGTCGATCCGGCCAAATGAAGTGCTGTATTTCTATTTAACACAGATGGGAAAAAAGTTCATCCATGTGAATTTAAATATTAATTTACTGCTCGTTGTCCCTTGAGCAAGGAAACATAATAACATATTTAATTGTCATTAATAAAATTAAAAATATTTACAAATTGTTTTGCACTTATACATATTAATGTTGGGACGCATATACTTCAAGGGACGCTTATATTAATTTTGGGACGCATATACGATCATAGGACGCATAAAAGTTCATAGGACGCATATACTTTCATGGGACGCATATACGATCATGGGACGCATATACGATCATGGGACGCATATACGATCATGGGACGCATAAAAGTTCATGGGACGCATGTCCTAAGATAGAGCCAAAAAAAGTACGTGAGAGGCTATTTTTCACTGATTCCCAGAAATTACAATCCTTATTTTGAAATTTAACTTTTTTTTTAATTTTTTATTTCAAAATTCCTTCTTTTACAGCCTGAAAAAGAATATATAAAAGTTGTTTTTTGAGTTTGATAGGGGTTCTTCAAAGATCTAAAACCCTTTAACCTTTAATATCCCAGATATCCCTCCCTATCCCCGCAATCATTTGATATCTCTCTAAATCCTCTTATTCCCTTTATATCTTTCCTCAAATACTTCGAATCCACATTCTATTTTCAATCATACTCCAAGGGGGCATTCTAATAGAGGGGGAATTCAACTGGAGATTCAACATTCAATTAAGAGAAGATTCTGTATCTTGCTCAGTTCAGGTTTATTATAGGCATCCTTTACTCATTTAATTATAATTATATCTTCTTCAACTTTTTTTAAATATTTATTTTTAAAAATCATTTAAAAATGTAAAAATAATGTATAAAAAATTTGCACATTAAAGAAAGGTCATTAACAAAATTTTACAAAAAAAAAATATTTTTTAAATAGTCTTTGAAAGTCCAACAAGTGTAACTCCTTTAAAAATAAATTATTATTTTTTAAAATTAATTAAAAAAACCAAAAATAGTAACACAAACAGCAGATAAAAGTAATTTCAAATCCTCCATTTCAATTTCTTTAAAATAAAAAACAGACCATAAACTGGCTATTAAACCAGGCAAAGTTGCATTAATTGGAAAGGTTATTGCTTGTGATAACTAATATATTTAAGTATTTAGAAAGTTTAAAAGATTTGAGTGGATTTAATGGAAGTTGTGACCAAATATAAAATTTTAGGGGAAATGACGAAATGAAGTTTTTGTTGATATGTAGTAGCGAGATAATAATTTTTAGGGTAAACTTTTCCGGAATAAAAAGGTCAGAGTTTTACAGAAAATGGAAACAGAAATATATAAAAATAGATAAAAATAAATTTATATTTTTACTAACATCGTTATGGTTAGTGTATGATCTTGTAATATCACAAGCTTGAAATACCAAACCTCCAAAAACGCTTGAAATACCACTGCGGAAAGAACATAATACCAAATAAATACTAAAATAACTTTTTAGTTATTTACTAGGGTTGTTCGCGGACATCAATTTGGTATTTCAAAGGTCTTTGGTGGTTTGGTATTTTAGGCTTTTGGTATTACAAGACGTTCCGATGGTTAAAGAATAAAACTTTTAACTAAAAACGATTTTTAGTTTAAAAGTTTGAATAAAAAAAGAAGGGATTCAAGTAAAAAGGAGTGTTTTTAAATTAATTTAAAAATTATTTTTTACAATATCATTAGCCAAAAACCAAGCAAGCATAGCCACTGCCCACAAAACACCGGCCAATAAAGAAGGGAATACTAAAGCATTATCCATATAAGGTTTATTTTGTTTATAAGCACTAAAAATAATTAAAAATTTAAAAAAAAGAAAATGTCAAAAAAACATATAAATAAGTAGAACAAATGTTGATGTTAAATAAATTCCAGTAAAATGTGAAAATACATAATCTATTGCATTTTTGGAAGGATTTTTGAAATGTTGAGGATTGTCTTGAATATATATTACTGGAGTAAAACTTTGATAAAAAAAATAAAATTAGGAAAAATTGTTTCTAATTTTACGTCGATCCATAGCCAATACCAGCAAAAATAGAAGCTACAACAGCTCTAAAATTTATTTGGTTTTTATTAGGGTTGTCGGCGACCGGTTTTAAAATAGGAATTTTTTAAATTTTTCGCCAAAAATTAAAAGTTTTTAGAAAATTTTAAAAACCGAAAGCCTGAAATTTGTGAAAATGAGTGAATTTATTAAAAATTCCTCCAAAATAAACCGGTATTTGCCTAAAATTCAAAACCGAAAACCGGGTTTCTAAAATTTAGATTAACCGAAAACCGGGAGTACCGGTTAGTAACCGGTCGCCAACAACCCTAGATTTTATTTTAAAAGACAAAAATTAAAGAAAAACTTGTAAAACTTTAAATAATAAAACTTATTCTGAAAACTTTTCCGGAAACATTCCTTCCCTGTTAAATTCTGCTCGTAAAAGTTTTTCGGAAATTTAACCCATTAAATTCAAAACAAACAAATAATTTCCTTACAATATCCGTTTTTTCATTCCATCAGAATTAATTATACTTAAATTAATATTATTTTCTGTTGTTTCAATATTTACTCTTTCTTCTTCATCTATTTGTTGTTCTACCAAACTTTCCCCTTCTTCAATATTTGTATTTTGGGGTTCTTCACGTCTTATAATTATTGGAGAGCCTTGTTGGAGTGAATCTCTTTTTGGTGTAAGGGGAGGTTTGGGGCGGACAAATGCAAAAAGAATTCCTCTAAAAATTTGAAAAATGACGATATTTAATTTTGGAAATTTTGGGAAGATTAAAAAAAATTTTTTTAATTCAAAAGCCTTTGTTGTTCTACCTCGAAGCACTAGTGTTTCTCCGGAAGTTTCGATTCTGGTAGGCCAAGTTCTGGGATTTCTTGGTTCCGGTTTGTTTGTAAAGTTTTGGTTCCAGTCCTACTTTTTAACACCACTAAGGATCGCCTGCGGTGCAAGAAAAATAAGATTTTTGGCCCTTGACCTTCCAAAATTCTCAAAAATAAGCAACCCCCCCCCCCTCCCAATTAAATATTTATTTATTTACCCAACAATAACAAAAACAAGTCCAAGATAATTCAAATTAGGAGAGCTAGGAGTACTTGCATTTACCTAAAAAAGAAAATTTAAAATTTGTCCTTAATTAATTTTTCAATTTACCCCAAAAAGTCCAAAACGTCCAGTTGCCCAACCAACTTTTTTTGAATTAAAAATATAATTTTTAAATTTAATTTAATTAATTACCAACACAGTTAACAGTTCCCCAAATTAAAATACCCATTCCTAAACCAATTGTTTTAATTATTGGAATAGCTGTTAAATTGCCTGAAAAAATCTTTTGAAAGGAATTTGTTAAATTTATTTTCTACCAATAGCCCAAAGAAGTCCACCAAGCATTGCCAAAGGTTGAAAAGGAGGTGCTCCAGTAGCGATATACTTTAAATATATTTTTTAATTTAATAAAGATCTTTGGGTATTTTTGAGTAGCCTTCTAGGTACGATTTGGAGAAATTAAAGATTTTTAAATAACCTTACAAAGAAAATATTTGGGAAGATGTCAGCAATACGAAATTCAATTTTTCGCTTAGACAAACTGTTAAAAATATTTTAAAAGTATGTAGTACCTTCTCACTAGAATTCTTAAAAGAAACAAAGGGACAATAAAGGACCAGGCCAAAAAGAACTCGCCTCGTGTTACTCCATAAACAAAAGAATTTTTATGAATTTTAAAAAAAATCACCGTAACAACTCCAGACAGAAATATTGCAGAGCAAACCCAAAAACAATCAAATTTCCAAAAATAAACTCAAAATATAAACTAACAATCCACTGAACAACCATTCCATCACCAGGATCCCCAGCAACTCTTACACCCTTTTAAAAAAAGTTTTTAAATTTCCAATTAAAATCCCCACCACATACATAGAACCAAAACAAAGGGAAGAAATTGCACAAGAAACGAGTCCAGTTAATGTACTCATTTCTTTTAAATAGGCCAAAAAATAAATTCAAGTTTAGAATAAATTTTTAAATAAATTAAAAATAATTAAATTTTGATTTGTTTGAACAAATAAAAATTAAAAAAAAAATTTTTTTAATATAATTTTTCTACAAAAATTAATTTTTAAAAATTAGAGCTTGGAAAACTCAAAAAAAATAATTTTTTTCGGTAGGAGGAACTACTTTCTCCCAAAGCTCTAACATCAAAAAATCAACAAAAAAAAACAAATTTTCTTTTCTCAAGAATAATCATCCCCTAAAATAGACAAAGTTAATTGATCATTATTACTCGAAACATCATTAATTCCATCATATCTATTAACATATTTGGCAATTGACCTTTTTACATCTCCAATAGGGCTAAATAATTTGTCACCTCCACTAAGCAAATCTCGTAATATTCTGTGAGGGATTTTATTGGAAAAATTATTTTAAAAGGAAAGGACCTGTTTCTGCTAAGAAATTTCATATAATATTCTTGGCCCCCTTTAGTATGCAATACTGAGAGATTTGCTGCCATTATATCTGCATGGCATTCATTCATAAAACTAAACAAAATTAATATTTAAAATAATCTAGGACTAAGAGAAAAATAAAAGAAATTAGTGGAGTGACCAAAAATAAAAAATACATAGATCAAAAAAATTAAATTTCCCTTAGAAAACTAAGAGATTAAAAAATATTGTTTAAAAATATTTTTTTAGGTTTAAGAGGGAATTAAAGCCTTAGATCACTAGTTGGAATAAATTAAAGTTGTAGTGGGTGGAAGGATTGAGAGAACCAAAAAAATGTAAACAATGAATGACTGTTTTTAAATTGAATTTGAATAATCTCATGTTAAACAGCCTTAAATAATCCATAAATTAATTAATCTCAATATAAATTTATTTACATTCCCAATTTATTCCAGTTAACAGCAGCATAAATAGCAATTCCAGCAAGAATTGGAAGAGCAACAGCAAAAACTAAAGAATCTCCTCTAAAGGCGAAAACGTGAAGAGCATAAAAACACAACATAAAAGTGAGAACCTAAAGAAAAAAGAAAATATAAATAAATAATCGGTTAAAATTTAAAACAAACGTGGCAAAAATATGTTAGTGCTTCCTGAAAGAAAAAATAATTTTAGACAATCAATTTATTATTTTTATTTAAATCAGGGGGACAACGTTTTTTGTAGACAATTATAAAAACAAAAATATTTCGAGAAAAGAGTGCGGGAAAAAATCTAAAATGTCTTTTTGAGACAAAAAATTGTTTCAAGTCCTGTAAAAAGTTGGTTTGGAGTCTGTGTGCAGTCTTGGTCCTGGACTGTTCTATTAATTGACCAAACCCCCCTCCAATATCCCCTACTAAACAAAATTTATTTTGCAAAAATTGCCTGAGTCAATAAATACGGCTTTTGTACAGCATAAAGATCTCTAGCAACCAAAAAAGCCAAAGCCTCATCAGATAAAACAAAAGTCGACAAAATTTGTTTACCAATTTCAGATTCCCATATAATACAAGCTGTTTTGCCAAGGATATTAAATGGCTAGAAAAATATTAAAATATATTTTTTTTTTGTAATAATTGTGAATTTAGAAAGGAAAACATTAAAATTTTATTTATTTATTTGTTTGGAAGGAATTGATTTTAGAAAAAAAATATTCAAATAACCTTGTCAACAAATAAAAATAAATATTTTTGGATTTATAGAAAAAAGGGGGAGAGAGAAAGATTTCCATTTTTTTATTCGCAAAACAAAAACTTTTGTTGAAAATAATAACAAATTAATTTTGACTTTTAAACTTTGAATTAGTTTAAAAAAATAATTTTAAAAATATTGATAGAATTTCGAGTTTTTTTTTGTTAAATTATTAAAAGAATAATAATTATGGAAAGAAAAATAAAGATAAAAAAATTAAAAGAAAGAAATATTTTTTAATAAAAAAATATTTCTAAAGTTTGTACTTTTCTCTCTTTTTTAGATTTCTCAATAACAAAATGGAATGTAGAGGAAAGTGTAATAATATGTATAATTATTTTCTCTTAAAAATAAATAAATTACCTCCAAATTTTGTTTAGCATATTCTAATGCCTCTTGCTCATTTTTAAATTTAACATAAAAAGGTAATGCAATTTGTGCACCTGTTGGACTAGCCAAAGTTCCAATTCTAATTGAATCAAAACTTTCTAAGAAAAATAATAAAAATTGAAATTATAATTCACATCAAGAGGATAGAGGGGTATTTGTTTTATTAGGAAAATCCCTGAGAAACGGGATATGTTATTCTATACACAATGCCTTTTATTTTCGGCAGAAATGCAAAATCCCTATAAAATTGCCGATAGTCATTGTTAGCAAGGGCAAATCCAAGGAAGCCAAAATTTCGGTGCACACTCCATGTTAGCTCCCTCCGAAATCAACCCCTGGCTACGGCCTTGATTGTTAGAATCCTAGAAAAGAGAAAACTTCAGAAAGCGTTAGATTTTCCACAGGTTCCTTTTCCCCGCTTCCCTTTTTAAACTAGGTAAATTCAATTCAAAGTCCCTCAGAAGTTCTCTCTAATACCCCAATCCCGCTTTTTTAATTTCTCTTATCAGACAGTCAAAAGTTAAGAAAATTTTAAAAAATAGGTAAATTATTATCCAAATAAAATTAAATAAAAATTACTTTTAGCATCAAGTTGACATGTAAAGGAAAAGAAAGTATCACTTTCACCTCTCCCTTCTTTTTCTAACCAAAAGAAAGATTGCTGAAAAAAGAAATTTATATTTAAATTTTTTAATTAAAAAGTTAATAACTTGTTCAATCGTCTTTTTTAATCGGTCAGGAAGTCTTAAAAATATTTAAAAATATTAGAAAATTAATAAATTTAAAATCCAAAAAACCACCACTACACCCCTACAGAACTGAAAATTTTTTTAAAAGAGAATCTCTCCTCCTCCCCTCCCACTAAATTTCTGTCCATAAATTAAACAAATTTGCTAAATTTTCAATTAAGAATTTTTAATTATGCCAAATTATTTAAAATATAAATTTATTTACTCACTCATTGCTAACTTTGTACCTCCAGGGAAATAAAGCGCTGAGTAATGGACCAGACATAAGGAGATTTGCAATGGGATAAGCTTAAAAAAATTTTTTAACTGGAAGAATTTAGTTCTAAAAAATAATTTTTGTAGATAAATCGTTTCGAAAAGAATGAGTTTAAATATCTTATAACTGATCTCAATGAAAAAAAGTTCTAATTAAGAAATCGTGTCAAATTTTTTAATTACAGGCTAGTGACCGATACATGTCCCTTTCTAAATTTACATCAAATTTTGGAAGGCCACAACTTTCCAAAGATTCTTTAAAAATATAAAAAACAAACCTGCAGTCACTACTCCAATAACACCAACACGAAATAATGCCCCTTTCTTTGTAGCTAAAAAGCTGTCTGCTTTGCTTTTTGTTAACCTAAAAATTATTTTTTTTAAATTTTAATTTAAAAAATAAACCAAAATCTTTGATAAAATTCATCAATATCCATTTTTTGTTTAAACATTTTTGAAAATTATTTGAGAATCTAAAAGTTATGTATGTTTTGATTTTTGGAGTAAATCAATTTAAAAAATATATTTTAAAGAGTGAAGAGAAATTCTCGAAAAAAATTTCTGATTTATGGATGCCTTACATTCGAAAATGCTCCGAAAATGAGTCAAATAATAAAAAATAAAAATCAATTTTTAAAAAATGTGTAGTAAAAATCAAAACTTAAAAAAACAAATTTATTCAAACAAAAAAATATTCAAATTTTAATTTTATTATCTACTTTAATTCTTTCCAATCTGTCAACATAAGTAGCTGAATGACCCAAATAATTTCCATTTTCATCAAAATCAGATTTCCCTTTTGTTAATTTATTGAGTAATTTGCATAATTCGATACTGCTTTTTAAATAATCACTAAAAATTTAAAAAATAAATTTGTAATTTAAACAACAAACAAACATGCATCCATTTTTGTGATCCTCATCTCTAAAATTTAAAAAAAAAAATAAAAGAGAAAAATTAAAAAGTATTTAACAATTTAAGGTGTCGCGACTATCTAGTCAGCGATAGGAAAGAAAAGAAAGAACAAGGAAATGGGCAGCGGCTGAAATAACAACAACAGCAAAATTTGCAACAGCCTGGGAGGGGATGGCCGAACAAATTAGGCCGCATTTTGGAGAGAAGGGGCCCTGGATCGAAGGATCAACCAAATTTTTCATAAAGGGTTTATGGCCTCCTAGAAAATCCCTCATTTTAAGTTCCCCATAAAAATTCAAAAAAAAATAATTTAAGGTCATAAAAAAATGATTTCTCCACCAAGAAATAGTTTCTCTAAATATTTTCTTCTTTCCCAACTTTTAATTGAAAAATATTCAAAACAAACATTTTAGCAGCTTGAAAATCTAAATCAAAAGTTTCATCTCTATAATACATTTTCTCAGATAAATAAAACAATAAAATACATATAATCAAAGAAGGAATAAAAGCTAGCCAATCATTGTGTTTTTGTGATCTTAAATAATAACAAAGTGCAAAACCCGGCATAAAAGCAACAATTGAGACAAAAAGCGGAAGTAAAAATTTTGAACTGAAAAAAATTTTTCGAATTAAAAAAATTAATTTAAAAATAAGGATCGAAAGGGAAAGGCTCGCCAGTACATGAGTGACAAAATCAAGAGGGAATTTTGGGGAGCTAATTTGGCTAATGTAAACCCCCACCCCTAGATCATTAAACAGTCATTAAACATTAAACTAAAAATTCTGAATACGCCCATGAATGGAATCACTCGTTAAAATATCCCGCTAGTCGTCAATCCCTAATAAAAAACAAATACATACCTAGAAGCATATATAAGTTCTCTGGCAATTACAAATTTTTTGGCGTTTTTAGTCAACAAAACAGTTTTGAGATCAGAATCAGTCAAAGATGAAGTATCTAATGCATCCAATTTATCCAGTCCACTAAAGTTTTTAATTAAGGTTTTAGTAAAATATTTTTGGAATATTTGCTAAAGAATTTTAAAAATATTGAAGAGGAAATTTTTGAAAGTATGTTCAAAAATTCAGAGAGAATTTTTATGTTACCAGAATTAAATAAATAGCGTTTCTTCCAATCACCTTAACAATTAGAGATAGGAGATAAAAAGAATTAAATAAACGTTTTTAGAAATTCAACTTCGTCTATCCCAAACAATTCAATGAGGCTTAAATTAGGGAACCCCCAACATTAACAATACATTATTTTAAAAAATCAAAACAAACTTTTCTTTAAAAAGCCTGAAGAAATTTGGATAATTTTTGCGTATTTGTTCTACATTATTAAGTACCAATCTACTTGAAAAACGTAAAAGAGCATTATATCTATGTTGAAAACATCCATGAGTTTTTGATTCAATATTGTCGCTAACCATTATTTTAAACTAAAAAATTTTTAAAAATTATTTTTAGACCAACAACAGAAAACCCTTAGTTTTGCTTTACAGAAAAGTGTTAAAGGTTTGAATCTCACCAGTAAGAAATTTTTTTTAATTCCAGATTAATTTTTCTAATTTTGTATTTTAAATAATTTTCTGACAAAAATGTTAATTAAATATACTTCACTTTTCCAATGCTTCACGTTTTCTCCTTTTTCATAAAAAGGAGAATTAAGAAGCAAAGAAATAAAAATTCTCGGATTATTATTATAGAAAGAAATAAAAATATAAAAAATTGGCAAAATAATCCCCAAAAATCTTTTAAAATTTTTTTGCAATTTTTAATTCTTAAATTAATTATGAATGCCTTAGAATTTTTAGTGTTAGTAATTATTAAAAAAATAAAAGCTAAAATTCTACAAAAAAAATTAAAAAAACAAACAAACGTTAGTGTTTGCATCTGCATATAATCTATCTTTTGTAATTGCAAAAAGTTCGTTATCGATAGCTATCATTAAATCATCATCTATTGCATTTGGCAAATCTGTGTGTGTAATAGTTAATTTTTGTATAGCTGGATATCCATGAGCATCTTTTAAAAATAAATTTAAAAGAAACAAAAAATTAAAAAAAACCTTTCAGAAAAAAATATCCCGAAGTAATAAATAATCCACCAGTAAGTGTGTCGTATGTCCAATGTGTTCTAAATAAATGCCTTATTCCAATCATTGTTAATAAATTTCTATATTCCCGGAAAAAATCAGCGTTAAAAAAATGACCAGCACAAATAAAAAAAGAATAAAAACAAATTTAGAATCACAACGTAAATCAGAAATTAACCTAACTCGAAAACGAAAACCGAAAAAATAGCTTACGACAATCCGGGCACGATAAGTTGTTGGCGACAAAATAGGCCTTACCTAATTTAATTCAGTAAAACTTCAAATTGGTAACTTTCTTAAAAATTTCATTTTATCAATTTTGTTTTAATTTACACGTTTTTATTTTTTTGTTTCAAAATTAATTAAATTTAGCTTTGTTAGTCAACATTTTATTTAATCAATTAAAAATATGGAGGACCTTCAACGAAAAGCAAGATTATTGGAAAATGAAATTGATATGCGTCTTATATCTCTTAATAAATTTCATATTTCTAATGCAGGTTGGCTAATTTATTTTTTGGAAATAACTCTTATTTAACGAGGGTAATGGTTCTCATTTCTTTATCCAGAATTTTAATTTCCATTTAAACCCAACAAACTAAAAAGTACCAACATTAAAATTTGTGGATTCCACAATTTTGTTTAAATTTAGGTCAAACAGATATTCAAAGCAAATCCCATTCAAGACGTTCTTTTGACTCGCTTACCAGTGAAATTGAATCAAAATTGTCAAAATTAAGTGAAATTAATTTTCAGGTTTTTTTAAATATTTTTAGAAAAAAGAATTAATTTTAATAAATTAGATGCAAGAATGTTTTGATAAAGATAAAAGTGTTTTTAACAAAACACCTCAACAACACATTCTTAGAAGGCATCAGGATATTCTTAGAGATTATAGTGCTGAGTTTCGAAGAACCCATGAAAATATTAAAAATCAATTACAAAGGTTTTTTATTTAAATTTAGAATCATTCTTAAAAGGAACCATCTTTTACTGTATGTGCGAATTTGATATATTTTTTGATACCATTCGATAGAAGACCTCCGACTTTCTATTGTGAAGTTATATCCATTTTCTTGCAAAATAACTTTGGGCCGAGTTGTGGCCAGTCAAAAGTTTAACGTTAAAGTCTGGAATTTAAGGATAAATGAATAAGTTCTCTTCTCTTTATCATCCTCAAAGAATCTTCAGCCCTCTTTTTTGTATCAAAAAATATATCAAATTTGCATTTACAGTAAAAGTTGGTTCCTTTTAAAGTCCCTTTAAATGATTTCTTTGAAATTTTTTAAATCAAAGTTATACTTGGGATTGGAATTTTTCTATCTTTATTTTCTAAAAAAATCTTGTATTTTATCGAAATTTTATTTATTTTTCCAATTTTATTATTTTTTAAGAGATGAATTAATGGAAATGACGTCAACTGTGAATAATCGTTGTAGAACCACAGATTATTTAACTAGAGAAAATGAAAGCATTAGCGAGTTTGTTTTTTTCTTAAATTTTTTTAAATTAAAAAATTTATTTTAGTTGTGATCGTCTTTTAAATGATCAAATAAGTATTGCTATGTCTGTGAGAGAAGGGCTTTATTCACAAAGTAGTGGACTTGGAGCTATTAATAAACGTGTTCATCAATTGACTAGTTTGTTTTTATTTTTGTGTTACTCCTTGGAGTCGTTAGGCTTTGGGAAGGGTCTGAATTTTTTAATTTTAATTATTGTTTCTCCGGACAGGTTTTTTGGCCCTATCTTAAATGAGGTGCGTAATCATATTTTTTTCTCCTTTTTTTCAAAGGTAAAAAGGGTCAGTTTTTCCTTAGTATTTAATTTGTGTTGATTTTGCCTTAAGGAAAAATAATGCAGGAGGGCTAATTTTTTTTACATTTTCTTTTCTGCCCGTGTTGTCTGTCCGTGTTCGTCCTTGTTTGTCTATCGTGTACGTGTATTTACAGACAAAACACGGACGAAGACGGACAGACAAAACTCGGACGCTGATGGACAGACAAAACACGGACGAAGACGGACAGACAAAACTCGGACGCTGATGGACAGACAAAACTCGGACGAGCAAGGACAGACAAAACTCGGACGCTGATGGACAGACAAAACTCGGACGAGCAAGGACAGACAAAACACGGACGACGATGGACAGACAACACGGGCAGAAAAGAAAATGTAAAAAAAAATTAGCCCTCCTGCATTATTTTTCCTTAAGGCAAAATCAACACAAATTAAATACTAAGGAAAAACTGACCCTTTTTACCTTTGAAAAAAAGGAGAAAAAAATATGATTACGCACCTCATTTAAGATAGGGCCGGTTTTTTTAAACAAAATGGGACGGCGCTACTAGATTGTTTTATGAAATGAAATAATCAAATTTAATCCTTTCCTGGACGGGGAAAGATAGGAAGTACAAGATTCCGAAATCCCTAAAGTGATTGGGAGCTAGATTTGAACTCTCGCTCCTAATTTGCAATAATTAATTTTAAATTTACATTTTTTTCTTTTAAAGAAAAATATCCAGCACTTAATAATTTGATGAACAAAATTCGAATGAAAAAACGCAAAGATACTTTAATTTTGGCAGCAGTTATTTCTAGTTGTCTTATATTTATTTTCATTTATCTTATGCATTGAATTGATTCTTCTTTAGAAAGAATTCTGTGAATGAATATTTTGTAGTGGTAATTTTTTAATATAATCATGTAATTGTGTACTTTTTTTTTAGTTTAAATAATTTTTTTAGAATTAAAAATTAAAAAAAAATTATTTTAAATTGAAAGAGTACACAACTAAACTTTGATTTGTAAAAATTCTTTTAGAAAATGTAAATATACATATATAATTGTTTAATATTTAAAAAGGGTAAAAGATTCTTTAATTCTACTAATTTTTTATTGGGAAATTCCTTTCATTTTATTCCAAAACTAAAAATATTTTTAAAATTAAATTTTTAACAAATTAAATATATATTTTAAATTTTCCTCTTTCTAAACTTTTCATCGTTGTTCTTCTCCCTCTTGGTCTTCTAAAAAATTTTTATTAACAAAATATATTTAAATAATTAGTAAATATCCTAATAGAGCCCATGCCTGATTGTTAGAAGCCCACTAAATGAACCTCATTGAAAATAAATGACCAGGGCTTCTATTAGAATATTTTTGGTAATTTCAAAAAATTCCAACCATAACTTTCCTCTGCTGCAGTTGTAGTAGTTGTTGTAGGGGTTGTAGTTGTTGAGCCTCTCCTACGTTTTTTCTTTTGTTTTTTAGTTGAAATTTGTTCCTTATTTGCCTCTACCGTTGTTGTAGAATTTAAAATGTTTGTTGTCATTTCAGTTGTTTGTAAATTAATAATTGTTGTTGTATTGCCTAATAATTGTTGTTGTTGTGTGGATGTTGTTTGGATGTTTAAATTTGTTGTTGTTTCATTTTTATCTCTAACAACATTTTCTTCATTTATTTTGTTTTGTTTCTCTTCCACAAGTTGAGAAACATTTGTTGTTGTTGTTGGCTGTCTATTAATTGTCTCATTTTCATTCATTTTTACAACATTGTTCTCAACTGTTGTTGTTGTATTTTCTAAAACATTAACAGAAACATTGTTTGTTTGGTTTGTTTGTTGTTCAACTTGTTTTAGTTTTTCTTTTGTTTTTCCCTCTTCTCCAATGTTTTCAACTTCTTCTTCTTCTTGAGAGTTTGACGAATCTGTTGGTGTTTTTGTATTTATTAAATCAGAATTTGTTGTTGTAATTTCTGATGTTTTTGTTGTTGTTTTGGTTTCTTCTGTAGCAACTTTTGGTTGTTCGGGAAGTAATGTTGATGTTGGTGGTGGTTGTTTCTTTGCCTTAAGGTTTTGTTTGTTTTAAATTCTGATTTCTTAAAAATCAGAATTTGTTTAAGTTTACAAAACCAGAAAAGTTTGTGTATTTTTCTATGACAAAATACTATTTTTCTTTAAACTTGCCAAAGCTTCTTGCCGCAGTCTTTGTTCAATCTCAGCCATCTCTTTACGATTTTGTTCTTCCAATTCTGCTTGCATTACTTTATTTATTTAAAAATTTAATTTTAAATTTTTTCTTATTTTTACCCCTGTCTTGTGCAAATCTTCTCACTTCATGTCTAAAATCAACAATTTCCCCCGGATTTAAATCCCCACTTCTGTCAACATCCACTTTATCAAAAAAGCGTCTTATAAGCTAAAGATAATTTTTCAGATATTTAAATTCAACAAAATAACCGTCGGTTCCAATTTATAACGATCTTTAACTAAACGTTCCAATTCATCCAAAGTTATTTGTTTATCTCTATTAGTGTCATAATCTCGAAAATGGTCAGAAACAAATTTAATAGATGTTAGTCTAACAAGACGAACAAAATCGGCTAATTCAACCTTTAAATTAAAAAAATTTTTTTTTTCATTTTTCCCCCAAAACTTTGTCAAGTAATCCATTTCTGTCTTGGTCGGCGACAGCAAAAAGACTGTGTGTTTCTGCACCTAAAAATACAAAAAATACAATAGATTTTTCTTCTTTTAAGTTATACCGCTCATATCGTCTTCCCGACGAGCTCGCTGCTCGGCTTCTCCTTCGTTTATACTCTAAAAGAAAATATTTGTAGTCAGAATTAATCAATTCAGAATATTTTAGAAAAAATCAGAATAAATATCAGAACTCGGTAATTCCAAGGCTGGTCCCCCCCCCTTTTTTCCCTTTCCAATTTTTTCGATTTTTAAAACTTTTTATGGCAAATTATATATCGTTCGAAAGAGCTCTTCAAGCTGAGTCGAACGGTACTAAATTCATCGAAATCCGACTTAAATAAACATAGTTATGAGCATTTGTTTTAATCCCTTTAAACATCACAAAAAGCATGTCCATCGAGGATTTAGCTTCATAATTCTGCTCAGAATCTCCAAATCGAACCGATCATAGTATCATTCTACTTAGCTCGAACAGCTCTTTCGAATGATATATTGTAAATTATATGTCAAGCAAAAAAGCTCAAAATGGTCAGGGGACAGAAAAAAGGGGGGGGACCAGCCTTGGAATTACCCAGAACTCTTTTTCGAATTTTCTGACAAATAATTCAAAATTGGTTAAAAATTGGATCAGAATTTAATCAGAATTTGTCAGAAAAAAATAAATCCAAATTTTAATTCTGATTTCATTTTTCAGAATTTTTTTTCAGAATTTTTTTTCAGAATTTTAATTCTGATTTCATCTATTCAAGTTTATTTTCTTTCCTCCTTTTCCCTCACTCACCCCGTCCCCATCCTCATCCATCTCCGGAAGCAACATTAATGCATTTTTGACTGCTCTGCCTCTAATTACCGAACGAAAACCAGCAAATTCAACAGCATCTAATTGACCATCCTTTTATTTAATTTTTAAAATTAATTTTTATTTTCTTTCTTGAGAAAAACTTCATTTTCGTCTGCTTGGGCAAAAAAAGGTTCTAAAGTAGCCTCATCAAAGCCATAATGATCAAAAGCTATTTTCTTAGCTTCATCCATTGTTAAAGTTCCACTTCCATCTGTGTCCACTACTTTTAAAGCTTTTTTTGATGTTTCGACAGCTTTGGCTCGAACCTTTTTTAAATTTTATTTTTTTTTTAATTTTAAATTCTTTTCTACAAACAATTCTCTCAAAATCAGCAAATTCTGGTGCATTTAATTGCCCATCATTATTATCATCCACACTAGCTTTAATTAATTTTTAGAAGAAAAAATAAAATTTTTTTCAAAGAAAAATACCAAGCATTTCAACAACTTCCCCTGCTCCAATACCTTCTTGTTCAAATGCTATCATCTATAAAAAAATTTTTTAAGAAATAAAAATTGTAAATAAAATAAAAACTGTAACTCTCCTAATCCAAATGATTTTTTATTTTGGTTTTCGATAAATCTAATAGGACTGATTAAACTAGAACCCTTCACTAGGTTTTGTTTCGGCTAATCGAGTATGTAACCTTTATCAAGATAGAGATATTGAATTCTATTTCCGTATTAAAGGTGTGGAAAACAAAATAGAATGATAAGAAGGAAAAGATAATTCTTAAATTGTTTAAACTGTTTTCTTCACGTTTCACAACATCTACAAGTTTTACGGGACTAAACAAAATCCAGAACATTTTAAAAAATAAATCAAATAAAGCAAGTCTCTTATTTTTGCAAAAATAAAATAAACAAACAGCAGCTTCTCTCATGTCAATATGTCCATCCTGGTCCCTATCAGCAGTCTACAAAAATTCTTTTCTTTTAATTATTTCAATAAACAAACTTTCATAATTTGTCTAGCTAACCGAATACTCATTCCTCGAACTCTCCTTCAAAATTTAAAAACAGATTGAAAATTAAATTCTCAAAAAACCTTCTCAATTTACTAAACAAAACAGCATCCATTTCATCCCCACTACTAGGTACCTTTAAATTAATTTTAAATTTCCCCTTCTATTTTTTAAATTCACCACTAAACGCCAAATACGTTCAACATCTCTATTACTAATTCCATATTCTCGAAGAATATATGCTTTTGCTTCGTGTAAACTAAGCAATCCATTGTGGTCAGAATCAACATTCTTTTTAAAGGGAATTTAAATATTTTATTAATAAAAGAATAAATACAACTCCTAATTTTTTGAAAAATTTCCAAAAATTAGAAATATTCTACAATTTTCCGGAAATTAAATTATTTTTGACTTTCACACAATATAATTTCCGGAACATAATTAAATAATAATCCCAGATATTTCCGGAAATAATATTTTCTATCAGAATTTTAAATTTTTCCGGAAAATATATTTAATAATTATTTTTAATTACCCAAAATTACTTGTAAATAACGCAATGCAGCATTTTCCGCCTTAGCCAATACCAAAGGACGAATTTCATTAAATTCTAATTTTAATTTATATTTTTATTTTAATTCCCTTTAAATTACCAATAGAAGAAAGAAATCCGTCTTTATTAAAATCAACATCACTAAATATTTTTTAAAAATCAAATTAAAATTAATTTAACTTGAAAAGGTTTTCGACTACAGAAGAACTTAATCCGTGATGGACAAACTATATTTAAAATATAATTTTTAATTTAAATTTAAACAGAAAAACAAACAGCAGCATATTGAACTTCATTTAAAGAGAGAGCCCCGTCTCCATCCAAATCAACACTTTTATCAACCGAAGGAATGTGTGATGGTGAATTAGTAGAAGAAGGAGAAGATGTTGAGGTTGAAAATGGGGAAGAGGATGTTTGTTGTAATTCATTTTCTGTTATTTCTGTTGGTAATGTTGTTGTTAATTGTTCTGGTATTGTTGAAGTTATTGTTGATGATGATGATGGTGCTCCTTCGGGAATAGGGGATGAGGAGGAAGATTCACTACCTAAACAAATTACATTTTTAAAAAAGCATCATTTTTCTATTAAAAAAGGAAAAATAAAATAATGTTGAGGAATAATCTTTTCCGCAAATTGTTTAATGTTTATCAAATAATTATTTGATTTCCGGAAAAAAGATAAATATTTCTGGAAAAATAAATACCATATTTACTCGATTAATTCCACTGAGGAATTATTTTTTCAACCTATCCGTGGCATGGGGAATTATTCAAGGGAGGGGAATTAATAGTAAATACGGTAAATTTCTGAAATATCCAAATATAAATATATCCTCTGGTAAAATATGTTTTTGAATTGTTTAATTTGTAAAAGATAATTTAAAAAATATTTTTTGTAGAACAAGTTTGGCGAAATAACAGGTATTCAAGGGAGGGGAATTATTTAATTATTAGGAGAGGAATTTATTTATCTTCAAGGAGGGGAATTATTTTTATTTTCTCACCATGTTCAACACCTTTACTTTCTGGTTGAATATGAGATTGTTGTTGGTTAGTTTGTATTGGCTGTGGTAATTGACGATTTTGTTGTTCTGATGCAGACTAAAAATAAATAATTTTCTTTGTAATTAAATTTTTCTCAAACCGTTGCCAAAACAAATTGGCCATCTGGCATTCTAATTAAAGGTCCATTATTGGCAACAAATTGTGGTTGAGATGATTGATGTGGGTCTAAAGGAAGGAAAATAATCGAGATAATTTAGAGGCAATTAGAAGGGTCATTAAAAGAAAATAGCTGACCGTCCAATTGTTTTGTAACTTTTGGAACGAGTGATTCTGCTGGGTAAATCTGTCCAGAAGTATTGTTGTGATTTCTAGCTGTACAAATATATTAACCAAAAATATTTTTAAAAATATTTTTAGAATTACCTTGTCTTTTATGATGAGATTGATTACTCCTTTTTAAATTTTTACCATCTAAAGGTAAACTTTCTGTAATTATTAAGGAAAAGGCTAATAGATAATTAAAAATTAAGAAGACATTTCTTAACCGTTGTCGATTTAGCGGTGGCAATGCCATCGCGAGAGAAAAACTGTAAAAAGTTGAAGTATTCAAGTTAGTTTAATTTAAAAAAGGTTGGACAATACAATTATTATTCTTATTGATATTCCGGAAAACAATGTAGTATTTTCCGGAAAATACCAACTCAAGACAGGGTTTACCTTATTTACAGGGTATTTGCCCTATTTTAACATTATCTCCTTATTTTTTCATATTTTCTGTTTACAATATTTTTATTTCCTGTAATATTCTTCAAATTTTCGGCATCTTGTAAATAAAAAAGGAAGAAAGCTGGCTTCATGGCCTTTTTAAAAATAATTCTGATTTATTTTCATTAAAAATAAATGGAAATGCTTTTCAAAACAAGATCTTCTTTAAAAGTAAAATGAACATTTGTTAAAGTTAATCACCCAAAATAATTAAATTTATAAAAAAAAGTCAATGAAATTAGCATTTAAGAAGAGTTAATTCCCGTTGAAAGTTGATTTATCTAAAAAACCCATATCCGTCACAAAAAAAAACAAAGTAATTGCGCACTTCTGCCAATCTTTCAATCGAATGTTTGGGAAGAATCAGTAGATAAATCGCCCCAAAAAATAATTTAGTCACCTCTTTTTTTTCTAAATAAAAATAACCCGCCACCACTCCCCTTATAGAAATAACTAGATTTGGGTCATTCCAGTAATATAAAAGACACAAAATATGTTTAACGGCATAATCGAGAAAATAGCTAAAAATCAAGCAAGAAGATAAAGAAAAGGAGAAGCATTTTATTGTTAACCAAAGAATTTTATTTTAGAAAAAAAAGAAAAGTTTTATTTGCTTATTAATTGATTAATTGCTTATTTTTGAATAAAAAAGATCAATTAAAGGATAAATTCGAAAGGATTTTTAAAAAAGGAAAATTTTGGGCAATAGGGAGGGGTTTGAACGGTTCCAGAATTTTAGAGAGAAGCAAAAAATTCTCTTTAATTTGATGATAATTTTAAATAAAAAAATTAAATTATAATCTCTCTGGGACCGCCCACATAAAGGAAAGTTTACAAGTTTACGGAAATAAAGACCGGATTAAAAAAAAGAAAATAAAGGCAAGAAAGACAAAACAGAAATTAAAGTGTTAAATAAAGATATATTAAGTGTATTAAAAAAGAACAGATTTTAAAATTTAAGTATAAAATAGACAGAAATCATATGAAAAAAAGACAATAATATTATTAGAAATTAAAAACTACCATATATGTATTATTAAATAAAAATATTATACATTAAGAGAGAATGCCTTTAATTTAACCCGCAAAAATTAGGAAGAATCAGAAGATAAATTTCCCTAAAAATGTTAGTGTTCGAATTCTCAAAAAATTCCTAGTTTTCACATTTTAATCTGGATCTAAATTTTATTAAAATTAAAAGGTTTCAAGGTCCTGATAGTTATAAAAGTCCAGTTTCAGTCTGAACTCCAATAATTTGTTAGAATTTTATTAAGGCATTAAAAATCATTGTTTCCCTCCAACCCAAAAAATAAAAATTTAATTAAAAAAAGGGAAAATCACAAATTGTCAACAGAAAAGAGATTTTAAGAACACAATGGAGGGAAACCAGAAAAGACTTTAGAAATTAAATATAAAAATTAGAGGTTTTAATTACTATCCAGCCAAAGCAGTCAAATTATTCTGACTTGAGGCTTCATTTTCCTGGTGAGGTTTTTGTAACTTTTCTGGGTCAATAACTAACTCCTTTGCTTTATTATACCATTTTTGTTCATCTTTATGAATTTGTTCAGTTTTTATTCTGACAAAATCGTCAGCCTTTCCATAATTTGGAGGATTGGCATTCTGTTTATTTTTTAATTTAAAAAAATTCTTTAAATTAAAATTAACCGGATCATAACCAAGCACTTTAAGCATCGGTGCTATTTCATCCATTTGATTAACCACATCTTCAGGGATTTTTCCAACCCATTTTGAAAGAGCATCTAAAGAATAATTCTTTAAAAAGGGAAAAGGTATTTAAACTATAGAACGGTTAATTCTTCACGAACGGTTAATTTTTGCCCGTGACGGCTCGAAAAGAGAATTTTAAGGACTTTTGAGTTGCGACAAGCAAAAATTAACTGGTCGTGAACAACATTAATTTAAACTTTAGAATTCTTAAAAAAACGAGACGAGGAAGATTTCTCATTTCAATTCAAAAAGCGATCAATTTTTAAAGATTAGAAAGTTTCTTAAAAAATAATCGAACCTAAATTTACTGGTTTAATTACTTGATCTGTACTTCTCTCAGTTTTAGAAATTGAAATTTTATTTCCAATAAACATCTCATGGTGTAAAACAGACATATTCCAAGGTAAATTTAAAAAATCCAAAATTTTACGCATTTCTTGTTCAGGATGTAAAACAAGCTTTGAAAATTTAATAATTAAAAAAATATTTTTGTTAAGAAAAACCTGTTCATAATAAACTTTTAAACATTTTTCTTCTCCAACCTGCTTGCATTGTTCATTCATTACCTTTAAGTTTTAGAAAAACTATATTCAAAATTCAAAATCAATCTTAAAATAAAAAAATAACATAAAAATCAGATCCGTAAGCAGAATATTTTCAAGGAGAGGGAGGGGGGGGGGATATTTATGAAAAATTCGTCCTTTCAATTCCTAAAATACTAAAGGGGCAACTAAAAAAATCTTTTTTCCGATTTCGAGGGGAAGGATAATTCCCTCTCATTTCCCCTTGATCAGCCTAATGGAAATTAAGATAATCCAAAAAACACTAATTTCCAATACTTTACTAATAATCTAAAAATTACTAAAAAAGTTAAGAGGCCCTAAAACATCAAGTCAAATCCTCTATTCATTTTCTAATCATTTTTAGATTAAATTCCGAAAAAAATATTTACAAATTTCTGTTAAAAAAACCTCAATTCCAGCATTCCATTTCTGTAAACATTGTTTAAAATCATTCAAATCAAATCCAGTAATTGTAATTTTTCTTGAAATTATTGAATGAACAGTTGCCCTTCCATCTCTTATCATAAAAATGAATTTTGCTTTTGGAAATAATTCAGATAGATAAACTGTTGATTTTAATGTAAATGGGTCTTTATTGCATAATCGAGGTGCTGGGTCTCCATGCCCAATTATTACATTTACAATAAATGAAGAAATTGCTGAATTAATTACTTTTTCGTTTACACCGGCTTCCTTAAAATTTTAAGAAAATAAATTATTGATTTTTTAAACTTTTTTTAAATTTTCCGAAAAACCAGCGAAGTGGGGGAAATAAAGTAGTTAATGAGTCAATTTCGCCCAATCTGAGAAACTTAGCTATGGCTATTGGTCCTATTTTTTATTTCTATTTTTCCTTTTTTGCTATTTTTTCTATCTATAACTATTAACATAAAAAGAATCCATTATAAAAGTACCAAAAAATTTAATTTTAAAATAAAAAATACTTGAAGTCTCCTCCATTCTTTTTCACTCTTTTTCCATTGAGCACGTAAAGCTAATACACGGGGAATTATTCGAGTTTCCTCTCCACTAAAATTTAAAATAAAGATAGTAAAAAATATATAACCAAACCATCTAACATCCGGATGAGCATCTAACATTGCACGCATTAAGGTTGTTCCAGATCTTTAAATTTTAAAATTAGTATAAAAAAGTTGAATTGAATTTTTTAGTTTTAAATTGGAAACAGTATCGGCATTTTTGCAAAGCCTAAAATCTATGATGCCATTATTCCATGGGACTGGTTCAGGGTTTAACACCATTTTTTTAGCCGTTTTCCTCGGCTCGTCTCCCACTGTCTGCAACCAATACGTTAAACTATGGGTAGCATCTTTGGTTAGCTATACGCCTATTTATAAAATCCAAGACCCATACAACCCAAAAAATGTGGTCTAACAAACCACGAATTGTACAAGGAAAATGTATTAAAAATTTAAAAAAAACCTTGGAATTCCACCAATAAAAATAAAAGGATTAAAATAAGCCAATTCATCTATTTTATTGTAATCAACAGAAGATCTAACAGCATTGGAAATAATAGTTCTTTCAAAATAATTAAAACAATTAAAGGAATTTAGCCAAAGAAGGCAAAAAATAACAAAAATAGTTAAAGAACAAAAAAGGAAAAGTCTCCGTCTTTGCCGTTGGAGCATGTTTCCTCTGCGGCTTGAAAGAAAAATTTTAGTTTTAAAAAATAATGAAAAAATATCGGCAAAAAACAAAATTTTTAAAAATAATGAAATTTAAAAATAAAATTTATAAATTTTTTAAAAATTCTAATGACAAATTTACTCAATAGCGAAAGTGAAAGAATTTCCCATGAAAGCCATTGATCCATCATATTCGTCTTCAAGTTTGAAGAAAAGACTGTGCCTACCAAGGGCGTATCCAGGGGGTCGGTTTCGGGGGGGGGGGGGGGGGGGGGCTAACACTGGGTGGGCGCAAAAATTTTTGGCGTTTACCTTGGCGTTCCGGACGCAAATTTTTTGTACATAAATTTTCATCACTTCAGCGCCGCAGGCGAAAATTTTTAAAATTTATAAGGCCGTAGGCCAAAAAATTCACTTTTTTAGCGCCGCAGGCGAAAATTTTGAGGATTTTGGAGCTCAAGAGGCCAGATTTCTTCCACTTTTTGCGCCGCAGGCGAAAATTTTTTAAAATTTGAAGGTTGTAGGCGAAAAAATTTCACTTTTTCGACCATCCTTCTCCTAATTTTTTCCCCCTTTCCCCCATTTCGGGGGGGGGGGGGGGCTCTAGCCCCCCCCCCCCCCCCCCAGCCCCCCTGGATACGCCCTTGGTGCCTACTTGAATGTATTCTAACTGTGGAGGTTTTGAAACGAAAATAAAACATATGTGAATGTTGAATTAGAATCAAACGATATGAATATGAAAACTAATCTGTGAAAACAAAGCAATATTCATATCGTTTGATTTTAATTCAACATTCACAGACCGTGGTGCTTTCTCCTTGCAAAACACTCAATAAAGTTACATTCAAGTAGGCCCTGTCTTCTCTTGAAATTGGATTGGTCGCCGGTAAAGGGGAAATTTTATAAAAAAATACACTTGTCTCGGGAAACATAAACATTTTAAATTTAAAAACTCAGTTAATCTTCATTCTCCGAATCAGATAAAAATAATCCATAATCCAAATCATCAGCGGTCTGTTGATTGGTATCATCCTATAAAATATTTTAAATAAAACTTTCTATATTTGTTTAGCTTACATTATTCCCAGAATTATTCTTTAATTCTTGTGGTGTTTCATTATCCGCCCTTTCCATTTCATCAATTGAAACTACTTCCCATCTAACATTTACTGCGTCCAAATCAGATCTAATAAAAGTAACAGGCAAAAATAAAATTTAAAAAATAAAAGAAAATGGAAATGGAATGATCCTTGCCTTTCCATGTATTTTCACGGTATTTTTGGATGCAATAAAGATAGACAGGAAAATATTTAGAATGCGCCCAAAAATCGTTCCCAACATTAACTTATTGGGAACAGGAGAGGAAAGACTCTTTAGTCCGGTTTCTCGACCTAATAACAAAATCTTTAAAAAAATTCCAAACCTCAAAAGTCTTTTCAATTCCCTCTCAACATCAGAAGCATCCATATATTTCTTTCTCTTGACTTTTCTAAATCTTTTACGTTGTGCAAACCTCATAGGCGGACAGATACCATGCGGCCATTCTCGCCTCTCGTGTTTCTCGTTAACAGGAAGTTCAGTCTTTGCTCCCTTCTTCCTTTCACCTGGAGGTGAACAAACAATGATTTGGGATACATCAGCTACTTTATATACTGTCTTTTTATCGAGCGTTTTCATTACCTAAAATAAAAAAAAATTTAGTTAGTAAAGTTGAGTTAAACATTAAAAATTAATAAAATCTAAAGAGTAAATGGGAAAATTTTTGGTAACTAGATAGTCTGTTAAAATAAAAAAACCTTTAATTAACTAATATTATAAAAATTGAGCAATTTATGTAAATGACAGCCAATTTGAAAGAGCTATTAATAAACCTTATCCGTCTTAATTAGACACCTGAAGACCATTTTGTTTTGACTTCTTCATATGACCTCCGTAGAAGTTTTTGTTCAGAATCACGAACTCCTTCAAGAGCTATCATTTACATAAGTTTCCAAATTTTATCTAAACGGGTTAGTTAAAAATTTGTGATAGAATGAGGAAGCAAAAAAAAATTTTGCAGACAAATTAGTAGAAATTTATGCACAAAAAATTAGCTTTGTTAAAGAATGATAGAATTTGGGGAGATCTCAATAATTGCTAATATAAAAAAGTAATTGGAATTTATAAACTTTTTTGAACTAAAATTTTGTTCACAAAATGACTAACGACCAGATAAAAATATTTAAAAAAACCTCAGAAATACAGGGCAAATCATACAAAGAAAAATCCATTTCATATTTTCCAAAATTTAAAATTCCAGACCGCAAATTTTGATTAAAATTAATATTCAGTTTTGTTTGGCTAATATGATGAGCATCTTCATCCAAATAATCTTTTACTTTGTTTGCTATTTCTGGTGGAAATCGAATAATTAAATAATTTTCCCATTCTAAATTTGTTGAAGAAAAATCATTTTCTACTCGTTTTGTTTGAATTCTTTGCGACGATGTTGTTGCTGCTGCACTGTTCGCTTCAATCATTTTTTAGAAAGCTATAAAAAAAAAAGAGAATGAAAGGGAAAATTAGCGTGAATAAATTAATTTAATTAAATATAGAAAGAATAATTGGATTTTTTGATAAAAAAAAACTAGTAAGCTGATGATTTCTAATCAATCATTAGAAAGATGGGGGATTAGCTTATGAAGACTTTGTTGTTCTTGAAATAAAAAGGAACATTTCATTAAGGAATCACGGTGAGTCGGGACTCAATGATCCCCTAACGCCAAAATACGGAAAAGAACGATTCAGTATCCGCCGATTCAGTATATGGCCGTAACTTTCCTGATATTCGACCGATTCGAATAATTCTCGAGATTTTCTCGAGGTCTCGGTATCCGACATCTTTTTCATAATTGGCCCGATCTGATCTGATGATCACAAAAAAGTTACAGCCTAAAAACTGATTTTTTTCTGCTTGTGACGAAGTTTATCAGTGATAACTTTTTATAGAATGATCAGATCAGGTAAGTCCAATTATGAAAAAGATGCAGCACCCAGAGGACTATCAAATCATATATAATAATTTCTACAATATTGATCGAGCAAAAAGTTATGGCCAAAAAGCCCAAATACTGAATCGTCCCCTACCCATACTCTAGTGGGGTAAGGCCTACTTTGTCGCGACCTTTTTGTCGCAAAGGTTAAAAATTTTCAAAAATTTTTATGCCTTGTTGGATTGAGTAAATCAGTAATTTCAACACTTTTTCAGATTTTTTTAGAAAAAATTTTAATGAATTTATTCCATTTAAAACAACAATTTAAATTTTGTCATCGACATGTTTCAAATTATTATTTTCGTCCACAACCCCGTCCTTACAAAAGAAGAGTTTATGAATCAGCTTTAGCTCCAATATTACCAAAACAATTGGAGGAAGAAATTAAACAATTGAATAATCCATATAATATTTATGCAACATCTTTTCCACAAAAAGAATTTTTTGGTGAAAATGAGGTTTTTTAATTAAATTTTTTGTTGGTATAATTTTGTATTTTCCCCCTACTTTTTTAGTTTATATTTAGGCTTATAATTTTGTATATTTTTAAATGGGTTAGTAATTCTCGAAGTTTTTTCTAAATAATAAATATAAGGGAACGGGCCATCCCGATTCCTGAAAATCGGGAATTTTGTTTTTTTTTGTCGGCTCGTTCCCTGAACATATAAGGCGTTTTACGTCTTACAAAAGGGATTTTTGTTAGGGTTTTGTTATAAATCAAACAAAAAAATCAAAATTCATTTTTAAGTCAAAATCGTAATACCATTTATTTATCTTTATGTCAATGTACATTTTTTAACTTGAAGGTAATATTGAAGTTTACAGACTTATTTTCTTCACAAATTTTATCCTTAAAAATGTACATAATGGTCAGTCTTTTTTCCTTTTACTTCACAAATTCCCTTTTCTGTTATTGCCAACATTCAAAAAGGGTTTATACAAGTGCTCATTTTTATGCTACTATTTGAGCAAAAATAAAGTAAAAAAACTTGGAGAGGAAAAATGTGGGGTCTGTAAACTTCAAAATTACCAACTGGACGGAAAAAAATTTCTCATACTCCCAATGGGAAATCAAAAAATAATTTTTTAAATTTTTTTATTAATTTTTAGTTCAGTTTGTACGAATTAGCTTTAATTGAGAAATTAAATAAATGGATTAAAACTGAAGGTTTTAGATTAATGGCTATTTGCCATACAAATTTTGTGAAAGAAGATGTTCTTTGGCTTGCTAAAAATAAGTTGGTTTATTTTTTATTCCAAAACTTGAAAAGTTAAGAATTTAATTCTTTCCGTAATTTAATTTCCAGATTAGAAAGAATTTTAAAATTTAATTTTTTTGTCCTCTTTTTTTAAATCTCAATATGTCAAAGGTAGGGATCGGCGCGGGACGGGATCCCGAACTCCCGATTTTTTTGATTTTCGGGATCCGAGATTTTTTCCAGGATTTATCCCTCGGGGTCCCGGCATCGGTTAAGAAAAAATTCCGACCCGGTATCCCGGAAGTTTGATTTTGCCGGTCTCTAGTCTAAGGCATTTACAGGGGCGAAAATTGTTTAATTTAAGCAGGAATTACCTTATGATTGGAGTCATTTAACTTTTCTTTATTGGCTTGAAAATGTGCGGACAAACTTTTTATTTTTTTCAGATTTCGTTTAGAAGGAATTGAATTTTGTGATTATCCGAGTAAAATATTCAAAAAAGTTTTTGAAAATTCTCCCTATCAAAATCTCAGCAATTTTTTGATTGAGGAATGTACTTGTTTACTTTTTGGGAAAGAAGCTGAAAATATTAGTGTTTTGTTTAATCAATGTTCTCAATATTCTTGGATATTTCCTATTGGTGACTTTTTTTGAAGTTTTAAATAATTAAATATCCGCAAAATACTGGCGGGAATAATTTTCCTTCCAATTTCCTGTTTTACCCTCCTATTCAAGTAAATTAAAAAAAATATTTTTTAGAAATTTTTAAAAATTTGCGGACAAAACTTGCGGACTTTTCAACTCCCCAAATAAAATTATCTTAAATTCTAATCATTTTTCCAGTTGTTACATTTGACGAAAAAATTTTATCGTTAGAACAAACAAAAGAAATAACAGAATATGGCACTCTAAATAATGCTAGAACACAAACAGTTTTACTTTTAAATAATTTTATTAGCCAATTATCAACTTCATTAAATACAATTTCTTGTCAACTTCCTCAAATATTAGATGCACATTTGGTGGCTTCTAAAGAAAATAAAAAAGAAGAAGAGAATAATTCTCAAAATTCTTCTATTGTTGTTTAATTTTTTTGTTGATTTGAAAAGTAAAAAATTATTTTGGTATAAATTTTGAATATCCTTTTGTTTAAATTCTGGCAATCAAAGCCGTAGAATGGAATGTTAGGTGTGAACATAATTAGCCATTCGAACAACTTAATGGTCCCTGGTTATAAAAATTTTTAAAATGCGAATATTTCGATTAGTGCTTAAAGCTCGTACCAAAATTTGTACTCGTAATTAGGTACGAATATTGCCCACGAGGTCAAATACTAAAACACAATGAAAAAAAGAAGGAATGAAGAGGATTTACAAATGAAAAAAAAATAAATTTACAAAAAGTTCTTCAAATTTAATTTTTACGTATACATATCTACTACATATAAATTTATATAAATTTTAAAATTAACAAAAAAATTTTTGATAAAAAAATTATCTTTTCTAATAATTAAATTCATTTTTCAAATATAAACCAATAGAAATTGCTCCAACATTAATTATTTTCTTTTCTTCAAGAACATTATATCTAAAAAGAATATTTGGTAATATCTCTCCTTTAATTAAAAAATTAAACTCACTTATCAAATAGAAATAGATAAAAATCACGAGCGTTTAAAAAAATAAACTCTTTGTTTTGTCCAAAAATAATCTCTTTTTGCTCTTCTATATTATTTGAAAATGTTTCAAATAAATAATCAAAATATAAATACAATCCAAAAATAAATAATTGTGAAGTAATTTGTTGGATATTTTCTTTAAAAGAGGAATTTTTTGTTTGATTTTAACATTAGATTTTCTTAAATATATGGGAATGAACCAGCATCTTCAGTAGACCGGACTGATGTGTTAGCCATTACACCACTCCCCCTACTGCACAGCCTTAGGAATTAAATAGCTATATATGTATGCTTTACAATAGCTAGTCCAAGTCTAGAATCTAAAAAATCCTAGCGGTCGAAGTTGAATACTAAAACTCAATCGAATTAAGAAGGAGAACTAAACGGGAATTTAAAATCCATTAAAATATCGCTCTAGCAGCTAAATTGTTAAAGCTAATTTTTAAAGACTAATTTTTAAATTAAAAACCCCCTTTTATTTAAAAAAAGGAATAATTTTTGCATACCTTCCAATTTAAATTCTTTCTCCAAATTATCCAAAATATTAATTATTTTATTAAGATTATTTAACATTTTTAAAGAAACATTTTCCTTTTTTAATTCCTCAATAAAAGCCAATCTTTTTTCTTTATTCATTAAATATTTTGTTTTTTCAAAAAGTAAATCAGGGTCCCGCATACTTTTTAAATCCACAAATTTTGTTAAATTTTCGTAGAAAAGTTTTGTTTCCTTCTTGCTGAATGCTAAAAATAATTTTCGGATTTTATAGTTTAAATGTGTGCTTTCCCAAAATTCAGGACAGTTAACAACCCCCTACTTATTTCCAACTCTTTATTCCATTACTGAATGGGGAGCAGGCCAGTGTACCTCGAGCCCAATGTACCGCCGAGCCATAACTTTGTTCAAAATTGTCGAATCTGTGGCGCCCTGGTATGGTTCGATTCAGCTGGTCGAGCCGCATCGAACCATACCAGGACGCCACGGATTCGACAATTTTGAACAAAGTTATATCACGGCGGTACATTGGGCTCGCGGTACATCGGGGTGTACCCTACTGAATGACTGTTTTTATTTTTATTTTTGAGTTCATTAAAATTACATATTTATCGTAAATGCTCTAATTAAAGCCCCGGGCTACCATTTTTCAACATGCCTCTTTGACTGGGCTTATATTTTTCGATGGGCCTCCTTAGGTAGGCTTGTATTAGATATGGGCTTCTAATAGAGCCGGGCTTTAATTAGAGCATTTACGGTATTTTATTCAGTACAAACAATTTAGGATTTAATTTATTTAAATTTAAAAAAATAAAAACAAACGTCTTTCCCTATTTAAATCAAATCCATTTATTTTAGCCTTTGGAATTAATTTAGAAGAATTTAAAGAAATTTTTGAATATAAATTATTTACTTAAAAATAATTATTTTAGTATTTAAAGGTTGTCCTGTGAAATTTAAATTGTTTTGGTTTCTCCAAAATTATTTCGATCGTTTAGGATCAAACCCCCCACCCCTTTAGATTAACCTTTAATTATTACTAAAAACTTTAAAAAATAAATTTAATGTCAAAAGAAATTCTGGTTGGCTGAATTAATGAAATTTTTTGGTTCTGATTTTCCGCTTCTCTCACCCCGTTACTAAATTTAAACAACAATTATTTCAAAAATTTTGAAATATTTTCTATTTAAATATTTTTAGTTTCAAATCTTTGAATAAAGTCTCTTTTTATTGATTTATTTGAAGCTTTTTTAAATTTTGAAATTCGAAGAGAAACTTTTACTTCCCTTAAATTTCCACCTTCTTGAATTTTTGGCTTTCGCGCTCAGTTTACCAATTCTTCAAATTTTTAAAAATGCTATTGTGCCCATCCCTGCTATTTACATAATCCCTACAAAAGAGGAAGTGGAAGGACCCTTATTTTAAAGTTTTCCTGATTTAATTATTTTTAAAAACATATTTTATTTATTTCAATTCCTCCAAAAGAAAAAATATTTTTATTTTGATTTAATGGAAAAAATAATTTTTTGTTTTCATTTTGTTGGCCTTTGTAGGGAATTGAGGGAACTGAAATTTCAAAATTTTAATTTTGTTAAAATAAAAATACATTTTGGAGAAATAAAATTATTTGTAATTGTTGAATTAACAAAAATAAAAATATTTAATAATAAAAGGAAAAGAAGAAAATAATTAAATAACATCTTTTTAATTTAAATTTTATTAATAAATTTAGCTAAATTATGTCTATTTAAATAAACAATTTAGACATTAAAATAATTTAAGTAAATGTCTAGGTAAATATGTATATAAATAAACATCTTTATTTTGTAATTGCACTTTTCTCTTTAATTTTGTAAAATAAGACTGATGTAATAGAGGAATGTACTTTTCAAATATTTTTAAATTTCAAAATAAAAATTCTAAATAATTCTCAAAGACGATTCTTTTAACTTTCTGTATAATAATTTTAAAAATAAAAAAAGGCGAAAGATGAAGCATCAAAAGGTGAAATAAATGTAACGAGGAGAAATCTCTTGAGATCAGTCAAATCAAGGCCTTGGGTCATTCAAGTGGAAAGGATACTAGCGTATCCCACCAATTGACAGAATGCTTGTAGTCGTTGGTTCCAATGTCAGGAAAAACAAACATCGGGGTGAGCGGAGTTGTGGAGAGGGGGATAGTGCAAATCTAAACCTGAACTTTTATATTGAAGCATTAATCTTTGATTGTCATCGTCATTGATTCACTCCCTATAAAAGCCCTTGTCTAAAATGGAATGTAAACTCACTTCAACTCAAGCAACACTGCAAACGTCGACTATCGCCTTCTGCACGACTTCGCTCACTCGCAATGGCGGCTTTCCCTGTGACATTGGAACCAACAACGATCAGCGTTCCGGCAGCTGGAGGCAGCATCAATCTGCTACTCACGAATACCAGCGCTGAGGTGACAACTTTTCTTTCTTTATTTTACTCTCCTTTGATTTGTTTTTAACCGTTTCCGGCTTTTTTCAGATCCGCTACAGCTTCAAGTGCAAGTCTACGTGCAATGAGTTCTACCGAGTCAACCCTGTCTATGGGTTCGTCGAGTCCGGCACCAGCACACAAGTGGAAGTGCTTCGTCTGGTATGGAGCTTCTTTCTTTCACTTTTAAACTTCCTAAAACAACAAATTTAATTTTGCAGAATGGACCTCCGAAATCGGACGATAGGATGGAAATCTTGCTCGCGCCCGTCGACCCGGACATCAACGATCCACGTTCGTCATTCAGTGACGGGTCAGAACCAGCGCACAAGTTCGACATCCCCTTGGCTGCTGTATGAGCAACTCCAGAACGGGAAGCGAGAATGAAAGGAAACGGATGAGCAGGATGTGTAAAGATATATCGCGGAAAGGCTCTAATTCACCCATAAATCTCTCATGTGATTGTATAACCCTCGCTATATTTGTTGAATGTAACTATTGTAATTGTATATATATATTGTCATGTATATATTGTCATCTTTTGTATATGTATGTGATTGTTGTATATAAACTTGTTGTGTGAATAAATATAAATTGATTTGGTAGCTAGTTTAGGAAAGGATATATGAAGGTTGGGGGGGGGGGGGGGGGGGGGGACTAAAGTTTTTTTAATCTGCAGGATTTTTTAGATTCTTAGTCCCCCCATTCAGTTTCCCTGCAGGATTTCTAGGTCCCCTTATGTGACCACAAAAAATCATTAATTAATTGTTGATGTTCTGGGTAAATGTTGTTTGGTTAGTTTATTGTTATTGTTTTTAATTTTTCTTTCCTTCCCATTGAAAATCATTTCCGGTATTTTTTCATTAAAAACACTTCTTTTTCGGATTTTCCTCAACTACAATTGTTTTTCTCTTTTCTTTGTATGTCCGTTAAGTATTTAAAAAGGGAGAAAAAAGGAAAACTTTACTTGTAACAAAGGGAGAGAATAAGCAGAATTTAATATATTCTTTCGTGGATTGTGGTCACAAATGAGAGAAAATATATTTTTTCGTCTTTCTCCAAAAGAAATATTTGAAATTTTCACTCAAAATTTTGAAGTTTGTATATCCGTTCTTTAGTCAAAGATGCTTACGGCCTCAAGGAGTGTCCTGTAGTAATGACTACGGTTGTCGGGTTAGAACTTAACAGATGATTTTTCGGGTCAGTTCCGGTTACCCTAAGATTTTTCAAGAAACGACAACCCTACTATTTTATAAAATTACCTATAAACAAATTAATTAGATTAAAGCTTTTAGATAATATTTAAATTAAAGGAAAATTAAATGGACTAAAAATAAATTATATAAAACATTTTAAAAATACAAAAAAAAATGAATTTTTCTTCTAAATTATTTTCAATCATTCCCCTTTTTGTTTTAACTGAAATTTGTTTTGCTGTCAAAAATTTGACACTTTTGAGGATAGAACCTTCGAAAAGGCAAACATATGGACAAGCATTTGGAGGTTTTTAAATAAAATAAACAAAAAAATTCTTTTAACTTTTAAGCTGTTGGTCCAGCTACGTGTGGACCTTTACCTGCAGGATGGTTAGAAAATTTGAGATACTAATTAATTTTAAAATTATGATTTCTCGTTTACCTGAGATTCTTAAAAACCGAATTCTACTTATGTAAATCAAAACTAAAAATAAAAAAAATTTTTAATGATCAAAAACACAATTCTATTTATTAGCGCTGCTATGCCAGTTGCAGCGCTTCCTCCAGCACCAGGCGTCTCAGCACAACCAATGCCAACTGGAAGACTTATTCCACAGGTTTTGAACAAAAACATCCTTTTCGCTGACTAAATTTCTGTTTATATATTTTTGTAGGCACTTCCAGGCGCTCCATGCGAGCCAGGTGTTGAATGTACTGGAGGAAGTGTTTGTTCACAAGGAATTTGTAATAAAATTAAATTAATTAAAAATATTTTCAAAAAAATTTTCAGGTCTTTGTCCACCAGAATTAGTACAAGAAGGGACTGTTTGCGTCTCTAGAACGTAAGTATATGGTAATTATTGTTTCAACCTCTCCCTGTAGAGGGTAATTAATTGTGGGAAGATAATTATTTGAGTGAGGACAGTGATTGTTTAGACTTAAATATTTTTTATTTTGCCAAAGCATATGAACAGAAATATACAATTAGTGTAAGAAATATAGGGGGTAATTATTAGAAAGGGTAATTCTATTTAAGCAAATACGGTATTTATACATAGAACCTCTTTTTTTTAAAACCATTTTTGGTTGAAACACATAGACTTTTTTAGCATAAAGATTCTATAAATATATTCGAGATTTTTATTTAAAAATTATTTTAATTAGAATTTACGGTGTTGTGCCTCCACCTCCTGTTGTAGCTGCTGCCCCACCACTGCCCCCACCACCAATTCCAGTGGCATTTGTAAAATTATATTTTTTTAATAATTAAAATTTGGGTGGTTTTAAAAAATTTTTAAAATAGTATTTAATAAAATATTTCAAAATTTAAATTTTTCCAAAGATATTTTGATATAAACACTACAATATCAGAATATAAAAATTCTGATTTTATGTTTTAAAATTAAAATCAGAAATACAACAAATTATTTTTTAAATTAATTTTTTCTAGTACCCACCACCGCCCCCACTTCCTCCACCCATTCCAGCACCTATTGCCCCAGCCCCAATGCCAGTACCTACAGCAGTTGTTGCCCCCTACCCCGTAGCAGCCGCAGCAATTCCATCTCCATGTATTCCTCCATATGGCCGTTTTCGTGCTGCTTGTGTTAGAAGTGCTGATAGAAAACAAAAAATAAATAAAAATTAAAAAGGTGGGCACCTCCCTTTAAAATTTAGAATTTCTTAAAATAAAAAGGGAGGTGTCCAAAAATGTTTAAAAATAATTAAAAATTAAGGAGAACAACAAATACAAAATGAAGGAGGAATTTTATATAATTTGGATGATGATGGATCTAATTCTATTGAAAGAGATGTTGAATGGAGAAAATAAAAATAATTTTATATTTAAAAAATAATAGGAATATTGTAAAAATTTAATTTTTTTCCTTAATAAAAAAATAATTAATTTATGAATTTTTTGAGTTATAACTAATTTAAAAGTATTTTAAAAAATACTTTGAATATTGAGAAATTTCTTTCTATTAATCAGAATTAATAAGGCATCAACAATAGTTCAAAGAATCGGGATTTCAATCATTTTTGGATTTTGGAGAACTCATTTCAATATTATTTAGATGAGTTTTACTTAAATTACTCCCACAATAGATCAGTGTCAAGCGTTTTGTTCCGTGCATTTTATTCTCAATGTGGGAGGGGCGCTTGACACTCGACAAAACGCTTGACACGGATGTCATTTTGGGAGTAGCCTTATATTTTTCAAATTATTTTTTAAAATTTTCGAAAAATTTTTTAGTTACCATATACTCTGTATTGTCTACTCTGAATCGTCCATATTTTGTCCGGTTAAGGACGATTCAGTATCGCCGATTCAGTATATGGCCATAACTTTACTGATATTCGAACGATTTGAATAATTTTCATATCATTCGAAAGGTCTCGAGATTCGAAATCTTTTTCATAATTGGCCCGATCTGTTTCGATCCATTTCCGGCCTAAGTCTTGAGTCCACAAAATTCCTTTCTTAGAAAGCTCTATAAAGCCCCTTTAAAAATATTTTTAGGTTTCATTCCTCGATGCTGAAAGCATTCAAATCCCATCTAAAACAATTAACATCATGTCTCTGCATTTTTAAATGTTGTTCCAAATCAAATAATTCTATCCAACCACAACCTGAACTTGCTATAAATTCAATTATGCCATTTCCACTAAATGACCCAACAAAAACTAATAAAAGAGTAAATAATTATAAATCAACCAAAGCTTTATTGACTGGACAAAAATTAATTATTGGGAGAGAAGAGGAACAACGAGTTTATTTTAATGAATTGCGTAAAAGTTGGGATGTGCCACCCTGTGAAATGAAAAAGAAATATATTAAATATTAATTGTATGTATTAAATATTATTATTAGGGTTGGACGTAAATGTTAATTAATTAATGATTAAAATTATTAAATGTTAATTTATTTATTTGATTTAAAAGATATTTTAATTATTATTTTAAATTTTTAAATAACCGATTTTTTATGCCTGTGACGTCGTTTATCAATGATAACTTTTTGTAGAGTGATCAGATCAGGTCAGTCCAATTATGAAAAAGATGCAGCACCCCGAGACCTATCAAATCATATATTTAATTCCTACAATATTGATCGAGCAAAAAGTTATGGCCGAAAAGCCCAAATACTGAATCGGCGATACTGTATTGTCTACTCTGAATCGTCCCTATTTTGTCAACGTTCAGTTTAAGTCGTTTTGAAAAATTGTTCTTTTGTTTGGGAAGCTTATTTTTTTGTTTACTTTCCCAAAAAAGATTAATTGGGTCATTTCTTATCATTTTTAACTCATTTACCTGTTTATAAATGAACTAATAATTTTATTTTGATATTCTTTATTTTTTCAGTTTTATCAGAAAATGGCCCGCAAAAATGCAAAGAAAAAATTAAAAGAAATTAATGTGGGCAACAGAAAAACAGAAAAAATTGAGAATGATTTGAAATCGATTGGAGGGAAAACGACAAATAATTTGAGAGAAGTTAATGGTTCAGCTAATAAACCCTCAACGTTTGTTTCTTTTATTTTAATTTTTAATTAATTGAGGATCTTTAAGGGCAAAGATAGTTAAGGGCAAAGATAATCCTCTAAATTTTTTAAATTTTAGAGGATTATCTTTGCCCTTAACTCTTGTCATAGCAGATCAAAATAGCAAATCTGTTCTCGCCTTTCAGTGCGGGAATATGGCTTAGTTGGATAGTGCGCCAACTTTAAAGCGAAATATGGGCAAGGTTCGACCCCTTCCAGTGAAAATAAATTATATAACATCAAAATCTAACAGAGAACTGTAGTATTTTGTTGATTTTTGAACGAATTACCCAAAATTAATAAATTATTCCCCAATTTTCCTCAATTTTTAGAGCCAAAAAAATCACAGAAAAAGACAAAAAACAAACTCAAAACTCCAAAAATCACCAAGCAAATGGAACTTGTATTGTAAATGGAGGTCTACACACTTCTCCAAGTATGGCAAATTTAATTGAAAGGCAAAATATTGTTTTGTGGAAACGACCTTTTCGAACTATGCAATATTTTATATTTGAGCTTTTTTCAATTACTTGGTCATTCTTTAAAAGGTTTGTCTATTTTATTTTTTATTAGGTGTTATTTTTTCTTGTCTCTTCGATTAACATAAGTATGAGATTGACGGGGTTTTTTTAACCAAACCTGCTCGGTTTAAAGACCGAATCGGGCTTCGGTTTTTGGCCTGAAAAAAGACTCGAGCGGCCCAGTTCGATAAAAATGAGGCCCGAAAAAATGACTCGAACGTCGGCCCGGTTCGAAAACGGCAACCCTAGTTAAATATATATTGGTGTAGTTGTAGGTATGGGTTTTGTTTCTGTTAGTGTTGTGTTCTGTTCCTCTTTTACCTAATTTATTTTATAAAAAAAATCTTCTCATTCTTACTACTGTTAATTTTTAAATTCTTTTAATTTTTTCAGTCTTCTCTGCATAAAACGACTTGTTCCAGCTATTTTATTGCCTTCATTAATTGCTTTTTTGTATATGGTGCCCGGTTATCACACTCAATTTGTACATTTATTTGAAAAAAAGTTGTTGTGGTGTCTATATTGGCTTGGTTTGGGTGTTCTTTCTTCTGTTGGATTAGGGACTGGTCTTCACACATTCCTCCTTTATTTGGTTTTTATTTTTTCTTTTTATTTAGTTTCAATATTTTTAGGGACCTCATATTGCTCGTGTGACTTTGGCTGCTTTTGAGTGCAATTCTCTTGACTTTCCTGAACCGCCCTATCCAGAGGAGTTTGTATTTTTTAAATTAAGGTTTTATTTTTAAACATTTAAGTGTAACTTGTCCAACTTCGCAAGGATCAATGGTCTCGGCAATTTCTCTTTGGGCAATTATTAGCAAGGTAGCTGTTTAAATTTTTAAGGAAGGTTTTGGTCATTCCAAATTTCGATTAATCGATTTGAGATTATACAACGTTACGGAAGATTTTGCGCTGGTCTAGTTTATGAGTCCAATGAACTTTTTGCGTCCAATAAAAATAAATTGGATTTTTCTTGGTGTTGCAAAGTTGGTGTATGGTTCCATAACATTTCTTCATGTTCCACTGAAAATGTTTAATATTCTCTTCGAAATTGGAGTTTCCCAAAAAATCGACAAAAATTATAATTTCCCCATTGACTCTAACAAGAAGCCAAAAGTCCCTTTTTAATTTTTGTTTTTTTAATTTACCAAAATTTTTAAAGGTTCGATTAGAATCGTTAATGTGGGGAGCAGGTACAGCATTAGGCGAATTGCCCCCTTATTTTATGGCTAGAGCTGCTCGTCTTTCGGGTGAACAACCAACAGATGATGAAGATTATAAAGAATTTCTTTCTATTGTGGAAGAGGGTGATTCTAACAAAAACATGGTAATTAATTAATTTACACATAATGTAACTCTAACAATAAAGTTTTAAAAGTCCATGTCCTCTGTTTTGTTACCCATACAAACTGACAAGGGAGTAGTCAAGGGGTCGTTTTCAAGTGGGACTACACACTATCATTTTTCTCACAATATTTTACCTTTTCCCCATTTCAAGGGGCTTTAGCCCCAGATGCTCCCTAGCTACGCTCTTGCAAACTGATGTGAATTTTTCTTGAAACTTTTGGGCTACGTTCCTTTCTGTAGACATTTTAAGATTTTGAATGTTTTACAATTCAAAAAAAATCTGGGGTCACATGTCATTGACTACAAGATTAAATTTTTACAAAAAAAATTATTTAAAAATTCAATTTTTAAGTCATTAATGAACAAAACAAAGCTTTGGATGGAGCGGGTAGTTACTAGAGTTGGTTTTCCTGGAATTTTATTATTTGCATCTATTCCAAATCCTTTCTTTGATTTGGCTGGAATTACTTGTGGGCATTTTCTCATTCCCTTTTGGACATTTTTTGGTGCAACGCTTATTGGGAAAGCTTTGATTAAAATGCATGTACAGGTTTGTATTTATTTTTGAATTATTGAAATGATTAATTTTGGTAATTGGTTTTTGAGTAGATTAACTAAAAAGAAATTATATGAAAATTTTCCGGAGTACTTGCAAAGAATTCTGTGTTTTAAAGAGAGTAACATGAGATTTACTTTTCAGTCTATCAGAGAGCTTCCTAAGTTAACAATAAGAATAAGTTAATATTTTGTAACTTTTATTTGATCGCTATTTTTTAAGCCGATGTTTTTTTTTAATTCGCTGTTTGACCAAACATGCGAAATTAAAAATGATTAGAATTTTAATATTTTTTTAAATTTTAGATGCTTTTCGTTGTTCTAACATTCTCAGAACACCATGTTGAACATTTAGTTAGCCAATTGAAAAATATTCCACATATTGGCGCTTTTATCCACACTCCATTGAGGGAATTTCTTTTGGCACAAAAATTGAGATTACACAGAAAACCTGGGGATCCAATTCCTATCCAAGCTTCTAGTATATTACAACAAGGTTTTTCTTTTAATTTTTAAATAATTAAAAAAAATTTTTTTTAGTTATGTCCTATATTGTCTCTGCAATGGTTTGGAATTTAAAATTTTTTAAAAATAATTTTATATCGGTTAGGAAAATCAGAAGGGACTAATAAAACCTTGATTTTTCATTAGGATAAAATTACTGACTAAATTGGGATTTTTTGGGATCTATATCCTTAACTCGTCTATATTTTTAATTTTGGGATTTAGGTAATAGTGTCGTTTCCCGGCCCCATTTTTTCCTCCCCAATTTTTTACCCTATGTTTGTACGGAATGGTCAATTTTTCCCCTTTCTTTCATCAAATTTGCCTTTCCATATTTTGCCTAAGATATGGAAAGGCAAATTTTCCGCACTTCTTTTTCCTTCTATAATAGCCAGAAAACATTTTCCATGCTTGGTGTTTCTCCTTGTGAAAGAACTGAATAAAAAATTAATCTTTTTGATTGTTTTTAGGCAAAATATGGAAAGGCAAATATGATGAAAGAAAGGGGAAAATTTGACCATTCAGTACAAACATAGGGTAAAAAAATTGGGGAGAAAAAATGGGGCCGGGAAACGACACTATTACCGGGATTTATTCCGCGTAATCATGTCACTCAAAAAATTTTAGACAAATCTCGCATGTGAGACCCCGAACACGATTTTGCGGGTCATTAGTTAAGACTGCTTTTCTCTCTTTTACTATAAGATTTTTCCGATTTCAAATTTTTGTCAAACCTTTAGTAAAGAACTTTAAAAAATTATTTTTTGTTAAGATTCTTTGGTTTATCCTTTCTTTGGTCAATTCATTAGCACAACGTTATCATAAAAGACTTTTCGATTCTGACAAAAAGTTTGTACAACAAAATAAAAAAATTAAATAGAAAAACGACAATAAAAAATTTTGGGGAAAAAAAGGGAAAAATAAGTTTGTGATTTTAATTTGACTTTATTTTTAAATTTATTATTTAATTGTATTTTGATTGATTATAATACATTAATTGCTCCACAAAATATTAAAAATACTTTCAATAGTAAAAATTTTGTTTGGCTGTTTTGAGAATGATTCGCCTTAGAGCATTTAAGATGCTTATGTTAGACGGGGGTTATACGATCTAAAAGGACAAAAGAGAAAGTTTAGTCGATCCCGGTACCTCATTGCTCCTGTATGTGGTGAACGAAAGCGCCTTGCTTCGTTCAGAAGGAAAAAATAAGTTTGTGACGAGGAGACCTGCCTGGTGGCTAAACTTTTGCTAAACTCTTTCTATATCATTTGCCTTGTCTAAATAATTTCAGTTTTGTATATTTTAGTGAATTGGGTAAAATAATATTTTTTCGTTCTTTAAGACATCTATTTTTAGATCCAAGTGATGTATGAGGAAGCCCCCTCCTTTGTTAAAGACTATATCTAAAAACATTAATTCATTTTCTAATTTTTTTGTTATATTTTAAGTGAATATTTAGTAAAAAGTAATTCGTCATTAAAACACTTCTAATTTATAATAATCAAAAAAAAATATTTTAAAATGGGCAATCCTCTCCTCTTGTTTAAACAAAAGAATTTTAAGGGGGAAGGGTCACGAGTGCCGCAATTCTTGGCATTAATTTGTTTTTTTTTCTTTTTTAAAAAGGGGTTTTACCGTAAAATGAACAAATAATTTTAAAGAGGATTTATTATTATTTCCATTTTTCTGCCACTTTTTGCCTGGAAAAATTTTTTATTTTAAAAATCCTTCTTTTAGTTTTCGTCATTTTCCGTCATTTTTTGGGGTTGTTCTAATCTTTTTTGAGAATTTGGTTTTTAGAAGAATTATTTTTTAGTTATTTTTTAAATTTTAAGTCTTTAAGAGTTGGAAAAAAGATAGGGAGAAGGGTAAGCAAAATTGAAATTGCCTATTATCTCAGTTAAAAAATATTAAAAGAAATTTTTGCGTGATTAGATACTCCCTTTAATTCTTTATTTAATGAGTATGGGGTTTGTCGGATTTGTATTTTTTAATATCCAACCCTAACTTAAATAAAAAAAGTTGAAACTTTCTCTGTTGGTTTTTCTGTTCTTTCCTCTGGTCCGGAAAATTCTGGAAGAAATAAAAAATAATCTCTCACACTTTCCGGAAAGAGTGAGAGAGTGCAATACATAATGTACATTTTAAAAGAGACAAAATCCGGAACAGACAAATTATAATTTAAAGAATTTTAAGTTTTAATCAATTTTTATCAAAAAAATATTCTTTGGCTATTTGTTGTAAAATATTTTTTTGTTGTTTACTTAAAATTATGCAATAATCAACAAACACAAATTAAGTATTCCCCCTTTTCTCCCAATAAAAACATTTATCAACAAAACTTTGTGGGGGTTCTCTCATTTCTTTTGAAAGGGAATTTTCGATTTATGAAGAATTTTTACAAATAAATTAATTGACTAAATTGGAGAAAAAATTTTTTTAATAAAGGTTAACGACAATTTGTAGTTTTGGCGTTGGTTTTTTGGGAAAAATTATCTGGCGCACACCCCTAATAATTCAAAAATATTTTTTTATTTAAGAAAATTTCTTTTAAAAAATCCATTTTATACAAAATTAATAACTAAAGAAAATGGAAGATTTCAAAAATCAACAACAACAAGAAACAACAAAAATTGAACAAAAACTACAAAATGGACCTTTCTTTACTGAAAAAATGGAAAATAAAAATTTATTTGCTACGGGTAAAATAAAAAAAATTTTGATTAAAAAACAATTTTTAAAGATTTATTTCCCCACAATCCTCGTGGGTGGGAAGAAACTTCTAAATTTTTAAAATCAATTATTGAATTACTTTTGGGGTATATTAAAGAAGAAAATGATAGATCTACTAAAGGTAAATTAAATAAAATAAATGTTTTTCAAAATTGAGAAACAAAGGTATTACTCCGTTATCCCTACGTTTGCGGAATTTTTTGAAGACTTTTTTTCTATGCCACAGGGAAATAGACTGAAATTCAGGAGGGAAGGAAATAGACGCAAAAAAGTCCGCAAAAAGACGGGATAACGGAATAGTACTTAAATAAATTAATCTTGTATCTCTTTACTAAATTAGTGATTGGTTAAATGACAAAATTATTTGAATTTTTTTTAAATCATGATCAAACAAGTATCTGATTTTCCAACGTCAAGTATTTTTGTTTGATCCGATCTCTATTAATTAGGATAAGAACGACTAAAAGATAATGATAGGGGGTTGTTATAAACATTCGAATATTACCCATCATTTGGTAGATGATGACACAATTAGTTATACTCTTATTTGGATCTTTCTTTGATTACTCTGTCCCTTCCATTCAATTAATTTTTTCGACGATTTTAATTAGAAAAATAAATTACAAAATGTCCATTTTTATTTAAAAAAATTTAAATTTTTTCAGTTCTTGAATTTCATCAACCTGAAGAAATGGCTAAACTCATTGATTTAAATATTCCTGAAGATCCAATGTCGTTAAATGAATTAATTAAGGTGTTTTTAATTAAAAGGAGTGGAGAGAGGGTTTACAAATTTTTTAGTTACGCTTACAGGGAAAATAAATTAATAAATACTTTTTTATCACAAAATATTTTCTTTCTTAAAATTTTATTTTTTCCAGTCTTGTAGTGAAGTTCTACGTCTGGGTGTCCGTACAGGACATCCACATTTCTTTAATCAATTATCCCAAGGATTGGATTTAATAGCAATGGCCGGGGAATGGTTAACTGCTACTTGCAATACAAATATGTTTACTTATGAAATTTGTATGTATTTGGAGAATTTTTTTGAAGAAAAAAAATTTTTTTAGCGCCCGTTTTCATTTTAATGGAGAAAGAGGTAAATAAAAGAGAAAATAAATTTTAATTTTAAAAATATTTGTCGGACAACAAGAAGGACAAGAAGGGATATTAAAATAGAGAAGGGGGGGGGGCTGGGACTCGGAATTGTCAAAATATACTTTAATTACTCAGTGAGGTTGGCGGATCCGGAGAAAAAAGGCGGGATATCCGGAAATTTTCGGTTCGGATATCCGAAGATTTCCGACTATCCTCCAACCTTATTACTCGGTAACCCAACCAAAAAACCATTCAATTCGATTTAAATTATAATTTAATTTTAAATAAAAGGTAACTAAAAGAATGATTGAATTAATTGGTTGGCCGACTGGAGATGCTATATTTTCACCAGGCATTTTAAAAATAAAGTTTTAATAAATTTATATATAGGTGGTGCAATTGCTAATTTGTATGCAGTCAATGCTGCTAGGTAAGTAATAATAACAAAATCAAGACTAGAAGATATACTAGTTCAATTACCCATTCTCAACAAATTCTCCATAAACGGGAAGGGTTGATTTTCACCTCAAAATTTTCCACCAAAATTCCCCATACCCAAATCCCCTAATGCACGCACAAATTTCAAAACTCTAATAATTCCACTCCTTCGAATAATTCCATATCCACGTTTGGTTGAAACATTAATTCCCCAGGGGAATTTATAGATGAAATACGGTATATTAGAATTTGCCCATTTCGGCACATAACCGTTAAACTCATTTCAACAAATTCTTAAAAAATCCTTTTCCCTTAATTTTTTAGACATGCAGTTTTCCCCCGTGCAAAACATTTAGGGATGGTGTCAATTCCCCCACTTTGTTGTTTTACTTCTGAAGAGGTTTTTTAAATTTTGTTTTTCTATTTTTTCCCTCCAATTTAGAGTCATTATTCAATAAAAAGTGCTGCAGCAGTTTTAGGTATTGGGGCAGACAATTGGTTAGAGAAAAGAATTTAAATAAATTATTTAAAATTAATTTAAAAAACAGTTTTAATATTCCAACGGATGCCTCAGGCAGAATGCTTCCTAGGGCATTGGAAGAACAAATAATTAAAAGTAAAGAAGAGGTAAGTGTAAAAATTGAGGGATCTTAAAAAAATTTTAAATAAATAATGGGAGAATATAAATATTTCATTGTCTCTCTTAACAAACATGCAGTGTTTTATACTCTCTCACTCTGTGTCTAACCAAAATTCGGAAGAATATGTTTACTGAAATACAGAAAACATTACAACAATGTTTTTTCTTTTTCTCACTTATAACTCATTAAATGTTTTCCGGAAATTTCCGGATTCCGAGTTAGAGAAAAAGAGAGAGTACTGTTATTGTAGGAGAGCATAAGAGATAACATGTTCAGTTACTAAGAAAATTTTCTAATGAAAATTTTTTCAAAGGGTCTCTATCCTTTCTTTGTTTGTGCAACAGCAGGTAAACATAAATTTTTTAAAAAATGTTCTCTTATTTTCAATTTTAAAGGAACAACAGTTTATGGTGCTTGGGATCCAATAGAAGAGATTTCTGAAATTTGTGAAAGACACAATCTTTGGTTACATGTTGATGTAGGGAAAGAGATTTTATTTTTAAAAAAGAAATTTTTTGAAGGCAGCTTGGGGTGGTGGAATTTTGTTAAGTCCAGAATATCGACACAAATTGGCGGGAATTGAACGTGCAAAGTCTGTTACTTGGAATCCACACAAGTTAATGGGGTCTTTACTTCAATGTTCTGCTTGTTTTGTAAGACAAGAGGTGAAAATAAAATTTTTTTGAATTTTTAAAGAAAAGAATTGGGGGTTAGCCAAAACATGTAAATGAATGTTTTGTGCCTTAAAAATGGAACTAGGGCTGGCGGATTCAGATATTCGGGGATTTCCTAGGATCTGCTAACCTTAGTCAGAACACAATCATAACAGACATTTTACCAAAAAATGAATTTAAAAACTAATTTTGAAGGGTTTACTCTTCCAAGTCAACCAAATGTCTGCAGATTACCTTTTCCAACAAGACAAACCTTATGATGTAAGTTATGATACGGGAGATAAAGCAATTCAATGTGGTCGACATAATGATATATTTAAGGTTAAAAATGGGAAAAAATACTTTGAAAAAATTTTGTTTTTAAAGCTTTGGTTAATGTGGCGTTCAAAGGGAATGGTGAGTAAAGAATTAATTATAAATACATATTTAATTAAAATATTAAATTTGGATATCTCATTTTCTCTCTTAGAAATACCTAAATCAAATAGCTTAGAGTGAAACGGGAGGGTGGAATATGTAGGAAAGGGGTGGTCGGCTTTTAAGTAGTTGTTTCCAAACACTGATTTAAAGGTAATCAGTCCAAAAAACTGACAAATTAAAAAGGGGAAATATTGGAACTTTAAATTTTTTGAAAAAATTTGTTTTCTCTAGGAAGGCTATCGTCGTCAAATTAATCGTCTTATGGTAATCAAAATTATTTATTTAAATTTAATTTTAAAAAATAAGGATATGGCCAAATACTTTACTGAAAGAATTAAGGCAACTGAAGGATTCGAAATGGTTGTGGATGAAGTGAGTTGTTTAGTTGGAAAATAAAATATTTTAATTTTTGTTTTTTTAGCCAGAATTTTTGAATATATGTTTTTGGTAAGATTTTATTCAAAAAACCTTCTACTAATTCTATCTTATCCCATCTAGAATTTACCAATCTCTCAGTTATCCCTTGGTGAGATAATTAGAAGATTGGGAAATGTGTGAGGGATAGTTTAAAATGGGGTAGCTCCCCGAGCCTTCGGGGTCGGAAGTGTTGGGGATCGGGGTTTCCGGGAAGGGCATGTCGGGGTTGACTTTTGGTTCGGGGGCGCGTGTCGGGGTAGAGCCTTCGGGCCGGGTCGGGATTTTTGCCAAAAAAATTGTCGGGTTACGAGACGGGGAGCTACCCTAGTTTAAAGATTTATAGGGATATCTCAAAGTTTGGGACAATTTTTAAGATGGAATAACTCAAAGATTGGGATAATATAGAGAGTGTTTTTCTCAAAAAATGTTTTTTGAGGTACGTACCAAAAAGTATTCGAAGTGTTGATTTGAGAGAAAAAATGAGCCGTTTAGAAAAAATTGCCCCAAAAATAAAAGCACAAATGATGAAAAGAGGGACGACAATGGTGATTTTTGTTAAGAAAAATTAAAAAAGAAAATTAATTTTTAAAGGTTGGATATCAACCAGATGAACATAAAAAACGTCCAAATTTTTTCCGAATGGTTATTTCGAATTCTAATGTTCAGGTAAGGAGTTGAGAATTTTTTAGAGAAAATAAAAACAATTTTTAGAAGGTTGATTTGGACTTTATAATTGATGAAATAGTTAATTTGGGGTATGATTTGTGAATGAAAGATAAAAGAAGAGAAGAAAATTAAAAGGAAGACATGAAAAAAATAAAATAACAAAATAATACACAATTTACACAAGCTTTATAATTTTTAAAAAGTAAAAGGAATTTGCCTAATTAATTTTAATTAGAGTAGGTATTTTTGTTTGCGACTATTTGGAAGAAAGGGGGCGAATATGTGGACTTTTCAGGAGAACATTTCAGAAAAAACTTGCGATTATGTGGCCCTTTCTGTTGATAATTGACCATCTATTCACAGCAAAATAAAATCGAATTAATCGTATTTCTTTTAAGAGTGCGACTTTCTCTATTAGATTGACCCTTTCTAATAACCCGACCGATAGCATTATTGGGAGAAATGCGGAATTGAAAATTAGTAAATCTTGAATGTATCTTTTAGCTTTATTTTTGCAAAGAAATCACGTTGTTTAATTTAATCACAAATATATTTACTTTTGATCGATACACATTTATTTCTCACTAAATTATCATTGTTTTTAATTTTATTTTTTTTATTCTTTAATTTTAATCAAAACTATTTATTTTATTCTCCAACAAAAAAATTTTTTTTCTAAATTTTTATTTAAAAATAAATGAATCTTCGTCCGAGAGCCGTTAATTTCGACGATGTTTGGTCAAAATTGAAAGAGACTGCTCAAGCTATAATTTCTTTAAAGCCAATTGAACGGTTAACTTGGGATCACAATTTTAGGTTTTTAAAAGAGAAACAGTTTCTTAAAAATAATTTTTAGTGATATTTACTTTGTTTGTGTCTCTGTCCCAGAAACACAATCTAGACAACTCTATGCTGCTGTTAGGGATTGCTTGGAAATTCATACAAAAGAATTGCGTCGGGTAGGAAGTTTTGGAGTTTTTAAAAATTCCTTTGCGCAAAAATTTTGGCGTTTACTGTGGCAAAAAAAAAATTCACTTTTTTTTGCCCAATCCCCTCCTCAAATTTTTCCCTTTTCCCCATTTTGGGGAGGAGGGGGGCTTTAGTTCCAGAAGCCCCCTTCCCTGGCTACGCCCTTGAATAAATATATAAAATCCTAAAAAAGTTCCTTAATTTTCTAGACTTTGGAAGATCAAACTGGTGATAATCTTTTGAGTGCTTACAATCGAGAATGGAGCAAATACAAACAAGGAGCGGGTTATTTACACAACCTCTATTGGTTTGGTTTTTTAATTAAATTATTTTTTAATTTTTTTAACAGTTATTTAAATAAACAATTGGCCAAAGAGAAAATGGATGCAGAATCTCAACATACTTTTATTGCTGATGATTCTGAAGGGCCTTTTCCACATTTGGGTGTTGGAGACGTAATGCTATTTTAATTTATTTTTTTATGAAGGCATTTCCTCTCCTCAAAGTTTTTTTAAAATTAATTTTTGGATAGGGAAATAAAGACTCATAACTAGAAATTAAAACTTTCATAAATCCTCTGAGTTTCAACAGCATAGCCAGGGGGTCGATTTCGGGGTGGGGGGCTAACATGGAGTATGCGCCAAAATTTAGGCGTTTTCTTTGGCGTTCCGAACGCAAATTGTCTGAATCTAATATTTCCCTTGTTCATGTTTATTGTATCATAAGTGTCTCCGGGCAAAGTCCCGCATTTAAAAACTAAAAGATTTTTGAATTAAAAAGATCTTTTTTTTCTAGTTAGCATTTGCAATTTGGAAAAGAGAATTAATCATTCCATTAGCTTCAAAACTTATTAAACACATTATTGGATTAATTCAACAAATTAGAAAATTGGAAGGAACTTATTCTGCAATTAATTTGGCTGATATTAGAGGGGCTATACTTTCTTTTGTTGAGGTTAAATTTTTTTAGAGAAATTGTTATTTTTCATCTAGAGTATTAGAACCAGGCCCGTAGCCAGGGAGGTTTGGGCTTTAAAGAAAACCCCTTTCCCCCGACCCTACCCGTAAAAAATCTTGTCTACGGCCCTGACTAATTGTAAAACAAATATTTTTTCTATTTTTAAGGTAAATGAATTATTTCTGAATGAATCTTTTTTGGGACAACAAAAATCGCCTTTTACTTTGGCTGGGGGAAATTCTGTTACTGAGGTTATATTTATTAATTAATTTTTGTTGAAATATTTCTTTTTTAGTTTTATGAGGAAATGTTTGAAAAACACTTTCTCGAAGCAACAGAAAATTTTTATAAAAGTTTGACAAGTGAAGCTTTTGCTTATTTAGATTGTTGTCCTTATATGGAGGCGGTAATATATTTAATTTTTTAAATTTATTGGGGTTAAAAAATTTTGTCTCATGTCAGATCGCAAAATATTGATTTTAGTTTTGTAAAAATCAAATATATCAAGTTACCCTCTAGAAATTAAAATTTCTTTTGGTCGCAGATTTTAAACAAAAATAAAGAATTGTTTGACTGATTTCTAACCATTAACTTAAAAATTAGAAAATAATTTTAAGAAATTATTCGGTTGTAACATATTTAGTTGCCGATTTTTATTAAAAGTTTTGGGGTCTGAATTTTTATAGATTTTTTCTAAAATTTCTATTTTTTCTAAAGGTAATAAAAACTCTAGACGAAGAGCGAATTCTTGCTCAACGATTTTTGCATCACAGCACACTCCCAAAAATTGAGAATTTGTGTTATGAAGTTTTGGTTAATGAACAATTGGAAAAAATAAGTTTAATGTGTAAAGATGTTGTTCAAGGGGAATTATTGAAAGGTTTTTTTTGGATTTTTTTGAAATTTTTAATTTTTAATTTTATTTAGATTTAAAAAATATGTATATTTTATTTAAACCTCTAAACAATGCTTTGCCTATTTTATTAAAAGAATTTGAAAATTATATTAAAAAATTGGGAATGGAATTTAATGTTTCATCTACTGTTGATCCTGCACAATTTGTTGGAAATATTACAGGTTTTTTTAATTGAAGAGAGGATTGGGAAAATCTGATTTTATTTTGTACCATCCTCACAAGGAACCATCTACTATAACTGCAATTTGATTTTTTTAGTACCATTCGATGGATGGTCCTTAATTGAACGGTACCAAAAAACCAAATTCACAGTTACAGTTAAAGATAGTTTCTTGTCAATAAAATTATTCTGTCCAAACGGAGAGGGAAATTTTTTTAATAAAATTTCAAAACAAATAAAGACATTTTCCTTGAATCATTTCTAACATTTTTTGTTAATCTTGGTATGTTAGTTATGGTTTGGGCTCCTGGAAGAAGGAGTGGAAGGTGAAAATCATTCCAAGCCTACCTAAAAATTTGTTGTCTGCAGAAAAAGAAAATCTAATTTTCCACGCCTTTACAGAAATTTGAAATAATTTTTAAATTTTCCACAGATTTGCACACAAAATTTACTCAAATGGTTATTGAAATATTTTCTGGTGATGGGGAATTTACAATTTCCTTGGATAGAGCAATTCAATCAATTGTTAATTATAGAGAAGATCCAAAACAGCCTCCAAAAATTTCTGAAAAATTAAATCGTTATATTGATATTTTAATGAAAACAAGAAAAGGAAGAACGGAAGCGGAAATTGAGGCTCAATTATCTAAATCAATTCTTATATTTCGTTATATTGACGATAAGGTTTTTTTAGAATAATTTTTGGAAACTAAATGTTGGATAGTTTGGGACGGGGGTATCGTTAATTTTACTAATAAACTTTTATTGAAGAAAAAAGAATTTTGACCTCGTCCGATTTCTATTGATTTAACCCTGGCTGAGAAAATCGGAATTTATAAGACCGTATTTTCTCGAATAATTTTTTTCTTCAACCCTTTTTTGACATGGGGAATTAATCGAGGGATGGGAATTATTCGAGTTTTGGCATTTGAACGTGCAATAGGATATTTGGGGTGGGGATTTATTGTTTCAACACAACTCTAGCATGGGGAATTAATCGAGATAATTCGTTAACCTGTCGTGTTTTCTGAATTTAATAAATATTAAAAGGATCCCCAATTCTTGCCTGAAAATTTCTTTAGAAAGTTTCGGTTAAAAGTGAGCTTCTATTTTGCCAAAAAAATTTTGAAATCGTTTAATATTTAAAAAACATGTTTATTTTATTAAATAAATCTCTTCTTAAATAAATTTAAAGGACCTGTTCCAAAAATATTATTCAAAAATGCTTTGTACTCGTTTAATTGCCAGTTTATCATTCTCAATGGATTTGGAAGAATCGATGATTAATAAAATGAAAGATGCTTGTGGTTATGAATTTACAAGTAAATTATCTCGAATGTTTACGGATGTAAATGTCAGTCAAGGACTTACTAAACGATTTTTGGAGGTTATTCAATTTTTTGAGGTTATTTAAAATCTGGGATTAATTTGGACTTGAATTTTTTGAAAGTTCCGTAACAAATTTCAGAGTATTACATATAGACTGTGAATCTCCCCAAAAAATATTTATGGGCAGAATATGTGCAAGTTCGTGATTCGATTTTACTTAACGATAATCATCACGAAAACTTGTTTCAAAAAGTGTTGAGGGCTACATGCTTTGTGAATAAAGATTTACAAATCCTATACCACTCATAGATTTAATTAATTCTTAATTTTATTTAAATTTCAAAAAAATTTTAAGGAAATGGTCAAAAATAATAAAAAACTGGAGGTATCAATTTCCGTAATGGTTCTACAAGCAGGTGCTTGGCCTCTAACTGCCCCTCAAAATGCTTCGGAACCATCTTCCTCTCAAAACCAAAGTGAACAAAATGGTGATTATGCTCCCCCAATAATTTTGCAAAAATCTTTGCGTTTGTTTGAGGAATTTTATGGAACTAGCCATTCTGGAAGAAAATTAACTTGGTTATATGCTAACTCTACAGGTTATTTTTTAAATTGTTAATTTGACCCCTTAACAAGTTAGGAAGATGGTAAAGACCGGTGACTGTCATAGTCAACTTTGTTTTTAGCAAAGGGAAATAGCTCCTCTATTCAGTTTATGAATAGGGCTGTCTTGAACTGCTCAATTTTATTTTTGGAGCGGGGATTAGTTGGTACTTTTGACTGAAGATAATTAAAAATTAACTAGGGGATTTACACATTTCTGTTCTTAATAAATTTCCACCTTTTTTTGATTATTTCTAATCTTTTTTAAAAAATAGCTGATGTTCAAATGAATTATTTGGATCGCAAATACCAAGGTTTTTAAATTGGAAAAAATATTTTTTAATATATATTTTTATTTTTTAGCAACAATGAGTGTCCACCAAGTTTATTTTTTGTCTTGTTTTTTAATTCAGAAAACTTCTCTAGTTATCTATTTTGCTACAATATTCGAATCAAGATGTCTTTCAACTTGGCAACTTTGTCCCCTTAACTGCTCTTTCTCTTCCAACAATTATTAGGGCAGCTAAAGCGCTTGTAGAAACTGGATTTTTAATTTCTAACGAAGTAAAGGTTTTTTAATAATTGAAATGATTTTAATTTTTGGTGGGTTTTTGATAATATTGGATTCAGATTTTGGTTTATGATAATAATTCAAACTCATTATTTTTGAAGTTCCGTTTAAATGTGGGGAATAATGTCAAGAAAAAGATTTTTATAAAGAATTGTTAAGCAGTAATATTTTTTGGAATTATTTAAGTGTTTAACATAAAACCCCAGGCTTGGTAATAGATATGGATACAGATAAGTTCAAAATGCCTGCGGATCATCTGTATCCGCCGTAACTATTCGGATAACAAAATCCATGTCCATTACTAATTGTAAGTTTGGAAAACCCAATAGAACAAAATTTCACATTTTGACAGAATAATAGAGTTTTGTGAATAAGAAGCATTATTTTGGAAATAAAATCGAATTTTAGGGGGTAAAATTTGAATTTTTTCAATTAAGGAAATTAATTTTTCTTTTCAATTTTAGAAAGATTTAACAGAACTTTCTGTTTTAACACTCAATACTTCATTTTATTCTAAACGAATTAATGTCAAAGTAGCACTCCCTCAATCAAGTAAACCACAGGAAAAGGAAGCTGAAGCAACATGCAATACATTAATGCAAGACAGAAAATATTATATGGAATGTACTATTGGTATTTAAATTTATTTTTTTAATTAAAAATAATTTTTTTGTAGTAAGAATTATGAAAGCAAGAAAAGTAATGAAACATAATTTGTTAGTTGAGGAGGTTTGTATATTTTGTTAAATAAAAAAATAAGGTTTCTTGTAATAAGGTTGCCCCCTCCCCCGTGGCAAAATTTTTCTCTGATTGTGAGCTCTTTGATTATTCGATTGAATCTTTATTTTTTTGAATTTTGACTTTTTTTAATTTCTATTTTAATTAGGAAATTCCAAAATTTGCGCAAAAAACTGAATCCTGATTTATTGGAATTTTGGCTAAAAGAATCTTTTATTCTCCGTAATTTTCCAAAAATCACCCAATCTTAATCCTTTTTATTTTATTGTAGACATTTTGTCCCACTTTTTGGACCCAATTTTTTAAATCCTCATCCATTTAGACGGGCCTCTTTAATATTTAAAACTAGAGAGATCTATTGAAAAAAAAACTAATCTTAAAAATCAAACATTTTTTCAGGTTTTAAAGCAAACACAATCAAGATTCTTCCCTGATGTACAGGTAAGGAAAAAGAAAATTTTCAAAAGCTTAATTTTTTTTAATTTTTAGTTTATCAAGAAAAACATTGAAGCACTTATTGACAAATTATATATACAACGAACTGACCAAAATGATGAATATGAATATATTTCATAAAAATATATATTTTTTATAGTTATTCATAGCCAATTGACTTATTATATTTTTAATGATTTAATATAAAAATTTTTAGTTAAACATTTTTTTTTCTTTGTTTTGCACATTTAGCAGGGCTGGGCGTAATAAAAAAAAAGCGAAATGCGAAACTTTTCGCGCCAAAAAATGCGAGAGTGCGAAATAAGCCCAGCCCTGACATTTAGGGCCAAGAGGGGACACGCCCAAAACGGCGCGAGGCCATAATGGCGCAAAGCCATAACTTGCTTCAAGATTTCTTAATCCTTCCAAATTTGTATCAAACGATTCCTCTCATCGAGCTAGGGAGATTGGTACCAAAATTGACAAGGACCAGACAATTTCCAACAAGTTTTGGCTTTGCGTCGTTATGGCCGCGCGCCGTTTTGGGCTGTTTCCAGCGGTGACCGAACGTTTCGTCACTGAACTTTTCGTCACCGAACCTTTCGTCAAAACCTTTCGTCACTGAACCTTCCGTCACCAAACCTTTCGTCACTAAACCTTTCGTCACTATTCGCCATAAAAAAGAGAATGCACATCTGGATGGACAAATTTAACAAAATAGATTTATGGAAATTAAGTTGAATAAAAGAAAGTCATATGAATGAAGATGAAATACATATAATAAACAAAATTAATAACTTTTATAAAAAACAAATAATAATAAGGATGTTAAGTGGAATAAATTTATTTTGATTTACTATTTTTACTATTTTTATTTTTACTAAAAAATTATTTTCATAAATTTTTTTACTCATATTGGCTAAAATGGACGTAGGTTCATCATCAGATGAGGGGCAAATTTTTTCTTCATCTTCCGAGGAGATGGAGGATTTACTCGAATTTATTGAAGTAAAATCTAAAAGAGGTTCATCTCTCTTAACTCGTGACGGCTTTGAATACCAGCTTGAACGTTATTCTGCCGTGGATAATCACGTTGAATATTGGAAATGCCCAAAAGTATGGATTATGTTTGGATTTATTTAAGTATTTGTTAGAGACCTCCGTACTGTCCGGGCCGTATCCATGTCGCGTCAGCATGGCATGAAGGAGACGGGAACCGTTTTAAAATCGGATGGATAAAATATGCTAACCATTCACATAATGTGAGCCTTACAAAAAAGAGGTAAATCATAAAAGTATTTTCCGGGGTATTTTTTTAATATTTGCTGAATTTGCGGAAGTCGGTTTATGTCATTCAAGATCAAAATTTGCAACAAATATTTGCTGAATTTGCTCAGCGAGCTAATGACCCAATTGGGTACCTACGTACTGTCTCCTATCATTTAGCAACACAGTAAATATAACTAAATTACCGATTATGATCAATTTGTCATTTTTGACAACTTCTTATTTGATTTTTAAAAATAAAGTCTTGGTGACGAAAGGTTCAGTGACGAAAGGTTTGGTGACGGAAGGTTCAGTGACGAAAGGTTTTGACGAAAAGTTCGGTGACGAAAAGTTCAGTGACGAAACGTTAGGGAACCGTTTCCAGCCAAGCGATATTATCGGGTTTCGCAACGATATCTGGCGTCGAACTGTCCACAACAACTTGGATAGAGAAAATAGTGCAGAATAATAAGAGTTAAAGAACAAAAAAAGAAATAGTGTATGTGCAGAGTTATTAATTCTGCTCTGAACCGTCCAGTTTGTCGTTCTGTAATGTTCAAAATATCAAATGATTTGTCAGATATTTGGCTATTTTTCTCTGAAATTTTTGTTTTTTTTACTTGACCTTAGGGCAAACAGCTGCAAACCGAAGATATTGTTACTACATATTACTGCAAAACTAATTTTCATTTATAACTAATTTTCACTTAAACATTCTTGTTTTTTTGCAGAAAATGGGAGATAATAATATTCCTCAAACAAAATCTCAAGTTAGCGAGGCATTACTACGCAGTTTTTTCTTTGATGTTTTATCATTCAATAATTTATCTGAATTGGACGAATCGAGGTTATTTTCTTTAATTTTTGTAATTTATTTTTGATATTTTAGCATTCCATCTTCTTTGGAAAATTCTGGTCTACAAAGTCTTGTTGCTGATATCGGAAGACATTTTGTGCCTTCTAGTTCTCATGATGAACAATTAACAATAAGGTAGGTTATGTTTATAAAACTTAATTGGTAGTCTATAACTCCATATTTTGGTCTCGGTCTGTTCTTAACTAGGTTTTTTGGCATGTTTAAATTTATTGATTAATTTTGGCCATCCCCTTGAGATTCAACTATGAGTTCTACAGGATAGAGGCCTTTTTAAGGATGCTGAACCAGGCCCGTAGCCTGGGGTTTCCTCCGTCGCAAAAATTTGGCTCCGAAAGTGTTTTTCCTTGTTGCCCCTAGAAAATTTTTCATGGCTGCGGGCCTGTGCCGAATTGTTAACTTTTTGCGTATTATCTGCCATCTCCCTGTTTAGAACCCTTTCAAATATCAGAAATTTTCTTCAACTGCTTCGTTTAAATTTTTCTATTCTAATATTAATTTAAGTCTGCCGTCAACTTCAAGTGCCGTTAATGAAGAACAAGCTCAGTTCAAACCTATCCAAATATTTATTGATGCAAACAATGTTTTTTTGCAATTTTTTAAATTTAATATTTTTATTTAAGGAAGTTGATGTTGATCAACCGTCAACTAGTTCATCATTGGATAGTTCGCAAATGGATTCTCTTCAGGTGTGTTTTTAAATATTTTGCTTATAATTTCTTACATTCTTAATTTTTATAATTTCCTGTTAGCTTTCAAGAAAAATTGTCGAAAATTCGTTAGGAAAGAAGGTCCCAAGAGGTTTCTACCTTCTTTTTAAACGCTGTTAAAAAATGTGCAAATTTTTGTAATTTACCTATTTTACTTCCTCTCATCTGGCTTTCTTTCTTTAAAGTCTTTGTAGCCGTCCCTAATTTAATTATATTTTTAAGGATGCCAAAGTTTATGAAAGAATAAGGGAATTGCGTGAGGCAGGTCTTTGGGAATCTACCCGTCTTCCAAAATGTATGGATCCACCAAGGAGAAAAACACATTGGGATTTCTTTATGGAAGAAGTTTTGTGGTTGGCAAATGATTTTTCGAATGAAAGAAAATTTAAGCGTCGATTGGCTAGCAAAGTTTTTTTAATTTTGTAATTTAATTTATTTTTAAAATTTAGTTTGCTTCTAATGCAAAAGCTTCATGGCGTAAAATCAAAGAATTGAAAAGAATAAAGACTACATCAGAATTGTTAAGGGATGAGAAAGAAGCAAAACGCATTTGTGGATCAATAGCTAAAATGATTCGTGAATTTTGGCAAAATGTGGACAAAGTTGTGGACTTTAGAGCAAATGTAAGTAATTTATTTTTAGTTTTTTTTTTGGAATTTAAATTTTGAAATTATTTATATAGCCAAGCGCGTAGCCTGGGGGAGCTTCTGAGGCTATAGCCCCCTGAAATCGACCTCCTGACTGTGCCCTTGTAGCCTTGTATCTTCCTCGTTTTTAGTCTGCTTCAAGCCAGGGGTGGACTTCTGGGGCTAAAAAATTTTTGGCGGACACCCAATTTTAGCTCCCTGAAATCGAACCCCTAACTACGCCCTTGGTCTGCCTTGCATATTTTTAGCTCCAACACGAAACATTTTTTAACCATCAAGATCTATCCTCTTTCTTAAAACTAATTTAAAATATTTATTGTTAGGAAATTGTTGAACTTAAAAAAAGAAGAGCTCTCGATCAACATTTAAACTTTCTTGTTGGTGCTGCTGACAAAATAACTTCACTAATTCATGAAAATTTTGCTACTCAATCCAATGGACGTTCTTCTACTGTTCTTTCTAAAAGTTCGGATGATTTTGAAATGGACAGTGAAAGTGATGATAATGAATCAACACTTGATGTTGAAGAAGCAAATGGGACAAAAGGATCAGTTGAGGAAGAATTAGATGAATTAAGTAAAGAACAAGATATGGATATGGATCAATTACTTACATCGGTTTGGTTTTTATTTATTTACATATCTTTTGCCTAGCAAGATTTTATCTTTTTTCTTTCATTTTATCTATTCTTCATCCTCCTCCTCCAATTTTAACTAAATAAATCTTACAAGGAAACATTCCGAACTGATGTAAAAATTTCGAAATTTTTTGCACCAAAAATAGGTATTCGGTTTTCGACCATGTTCTACACGATGGTGTTCGGAATGTTCCCTTGTTAACCCTTGTACGCTTTCTCTGTGAAATTTATCTAACAAAAGTTCGTATTTGGAATTTTTTGAATTTAAAATTTTGAAGGTCCATTGGGAATTATTTTTTAATCAAATTTCTTTTAGCTTCCCTTTCATTATAATTAATTTTTTAGTTACCAGAAGGCTATCTCGAATCCTTGGGATATTCAGTTCCTTCAAAAGACATTCAACCTGATATTAATGAAAGCTTGAATGATGAACAGACTCGAACAACTGCCGATTTAGAACAAGAGGAGGAAAGCACAAATTTTAATGAAAAACCAGATCTTCGAAATGTTGATTATAACAAATTAAATTCAGAAAATAGTGAAGTTAGAAGACAACAACTTGATAATATTGCTGAAGCTGCTTTAGAGTTTCAACCTAGAGGTTATACTTTGGAGACTACCGAGGTTAGATTTTTTTATTTTATTGAAAAGCCCGGGTATCTTAAAGCTTTTTAAATAACCCATTCGATGAAAATTTAAGAGAAAATTGTTCTTTACTAAATAAAGTATTGTCTTGGGTTCTATCAATTACTCTAGTTTTGCCTTTTCTTGAAGCTATCCTTCCCACTTTTTCTAATTTTATTTTAAATTTATTTTCAAGGTCAAAACAGAAGTTCCATTCTTATTAACTGGTCAACTTAGAGAATATCAATTAGTTGGTTTAGACTGGTTAGTAACTTTATATGAAAAGAATTTAAATGGAATACTTGCTGATGAAATGGGTCTTGGAAAAACAATACAAACAATTGCATTACTTGCTCATCTTGCATGTGCCAGAGCTGTTTGGGGTCCTCATTTAATTATTGTACCAACATCTGTTCTTTTAAATTGGGAAATGGAATTAAAGAAATGGTGTCCATCATTGAAAGTTTTGAATTATTTTGGTTCAGCAAAGGAAAGAGCAGAGAAAAGAAAGGTAATTTATTTTGGAGAAATGTCTGGAACAGAACAAAAAATATTCAATATTCTGGTTTGAAAGTCAAAACTAATTTTAATTCGGTTCTGAATGGTCTTCGTTCCTTCCCTCCTTTTTTCGATTTTCGTTTTTACCTTTTTTAATTTACCCCACCCATTTTCCGTCGTGGTTTCATTTTCTGTATAGAACTTGAGTATGGGCTTTACTACAAATTTAGTTGTTTTTTATAATATTTATTTTTTTTATCAGGGTTGGTCAAAATCTAATGCATTTCACATTTGTATAACCTCATATAAGCTAGTAACTCAAGATATTCGTGCATTTAAAAATAAAGCTTGGCAATACTTAATTCTGGATGAAGCACAAAATATTAAAAATTTTCGGAGTCAGAGATGGCAATTATTGATTGGATTACGTTCTCGTAGACGTCTATTGCTTACAGGTTTTTTTAAATTAATTATTTTTTCAAACAATTTTTAGGAACTCCTTTACAAAATTCTTTGATGGAACTTTGGGCTTTACTACATTTTTTAATGCCAAATGTTTTTGCTTCTCACGATGATTTTAGAGAATGGTTTCATTGTCCAATAACAGGAATGGTTGAAGGGAATACAGAAGTCGATCAAGCACTTGTTCAACGTTTACACAAGGTTATTGTTTATACATTATTTTTCTAAATTTTTTATTTTTTATAGATTCTTCGCCCATTTATACTTCGTCGGCTTAAATCTGAAGTTGAAAAACAATTACCAACTAAAACAGAACGTGTTCTTTTATGTCATTTGTCTAAAAGACAACGTTATTTATACAATGAATTTTTATCTAAAACATCGTTTGTTTCTTTTATTTTTCTTAAGAATGTTTTTTCATTTTTTAGAACAGTAGAAAACCTCAAAACAGGCAGCATGTTTTCCGTTTTAGGAGTTATTATGCAATTACGTAAATGTTGTAATCATCCAAATTTGTTTGAACCTCGTCCAGTTGTTTCTCCTTTATTTATTCAACCAATTTCACCTCAATTTTCTTCTCGTATTTTTTCTATCAATCAAAAACTTGATGCCTCAGAATTGTGTTATGGAAATTCTTTTTCTTCTGATTTTGTTTGGAAAACTTTTAAAGAACTTTTATTAAATGGAAATTTTGGAAATAATTCTGTAGATGAACACCAAATACTTCCTTTAATTGATGGATTGAAATTTGTTATGGATAAAAATGGAGGGCATTTCTATAGGCCTAAAATAATACAAGAACATGGAGAGGATGAATTAATATGCAATGGTTTGGAAGAAAATGTTTGTTTGTCTTTTAAATTTTTCTTTTGAGAATATAACGGGGAATACTTGCAAATTTAAAAAATTTCCATTTTGTTGGCTGTTACTGGATTGTAAATTTTTTTTGGTTTAAAAATTTAACGGGGAATTCTATTAGGTCGCTCCGTTCGGAGCTACTCGGTTATCTTATTCTCATGGCTGTCTTCCAATTTTTAAACCCGCCAATCTTTCTTCTCATTTAATTTTAAAGTTTATTTTCTACTTTTCAGTCATCTAATCCCATTGAATTTGTTAACAATACAAGAAAACGTAAAATGTCTCCACAAGAAGCAACAACTTCATCAGAATTATGTCTCAAAATAAAGGAAAATACAGAATCTAATAGAATATTACCAAACTTTTTAAAATCTCCAAGTTTCCGTTTAAATACATTAATTCAAAACAAGGAAAACGAGAATAAACGAATTGGAGTTTGGTTAAGTACTTCTTTAAAACAATTTTCAAAGCCATTAATATCTACAGAATTAATGAATTTTTGTAGAATAATTCCAAATAATTTTCAATTAGAAGAGCCTTTAACAACAAAGCTACCAAAAATTAAAAGGTTTAATGGTCAAGGTATTGTTGATGAAATAAACGAAAAAATTGGACAAAATTTACTTGAATGGATTGAAAATTCGTTGAATAGGTATTTTGGATTTTTGTTTGGGATAAATCAATAAATAAATGGATATTGGAAGGATATTTGTGTCTGAGGAAGTTAGATTGAGAGGAAAATTTAAGGAGATTAACTGCATCGGTTAGATGACATTTGATTATTTTACGGATCTTAAATAGGGTTGTCAGTTCTGGGTCAAAAAAAGGATTGAGGATTTTCGGTTCGGAATATCCGAAGAAACAACTCTAATTTTGATTTATACTTATAAGGTTCCCTTTGTAACTTGTATACAAGATGGATATTAGAAGGTTAAATGGTCAAATTTGAACCAGCTATTTATTATTTATGATTTTTATTTTTAGTTTTCTCATTTGCGTGCGAAGGCTTCTTGTAGAAAGATGTTTTGAACCTCCCCAACGTTTCACTTTACAACAAGAGAATCTCCGTTTACTTACACATAATATTTATTCTTCTCAAATTTCTCTGGCACATAAAGCTGAATTAGCAGCAAAATTGGAATTTCCAGAGTTGCGTTTAATTGAATATGATTGTGGTAAGTGAGAATAAATTATTTAAAAATGGAATTCCCAAAATCCGAGCTTAAGAATTTTGACAGATCTCTTAAATTTTTTTGAGTTTTTAAAAGTTTGGAAATTTTCTGAAAAATATCTTCCATATTTTTACTGGATAAATTAGACAAGGTCTCTATAAAAATAGAAACAGTTTGATAAATAAGCTGGTAGCTGAACGTTGTATGTTAGGGGAAAACAGCATTTTGACTGCTAGGAGAAAAAAATTATGCCGTAGAATTTGTAGGTTTGATTTCTATCTGATTGGAATCTGGTTTAATTTTCACTTATATTTTCCTAATTAGTATTTTTTCTTGTTCTTTTTAAATAAAAAAATTAATTTTATAGGAAAACTTCAAGTACTTGCCAGGCTATTAGAACAATTATATGAAAATAAGCATCGTTGCCTTATTTTCACTCAAATGTCTAAAATGTTGGATATACTTCAAGCATTCCTTTCTCATCATAATTATAATTATTTTCGTTTGGATGGTTCAACTCATATAGATCAAAGACAAGCAATGATGGAACGTTTTAATACTGATAGTTCTATATTTTGTTTTATTCTTTCTACAAGAGCTGGGGGTATTGGTGTTAATTTAACTGGGGCTGATACTGTTATATTTTATGATTCTGATTGGAATCCGGTAAGAAATAATTTTTTGGAAATTTAAATATTTAAAATGGCAGTTATTGAGTTTGGTGTGTGTTGTTAGGGTTGTCTTTATTGGGACAGAAAGGCGAAAATATCTTGTACCTGGGGATATAAATTTATAAAAAGTTAATTAATCATTATCCAGTGGGAAGCCTAGGAATTTACTCTAATTTCTTACAAAATAATATTTGCCTTTCATTTCATTGTTACATTTATGACCGCTTTTTTGAGCGTGTTTACTTTTTGTAGAAACTTCTTTATTTTGATTTTTTAAAAATTCCCAATTTTTTAATTAAAATTTTTTTTTCCTAGACAATGGATGCTCAAGCACAGGATCGTTGTCACAGAGTATTTTTTTATTTTTATCAAATTTATTAATTAAATTAATTTTTTTCTATAGATTGGACAAACAAGAAATGTAACAATTTATCGGTTAATTAGTGAAAGAACGATTGAAGAAAATATTTTAACAAAATCAACACAAAAAAGGCGTTTAGGGGAAATGACAATAGATGAAGGAGAATTTACTCCAGATTTTTTTAAGTCAGCAAATAATTTGAGAGAATTATTTAATAATGAAGAAACTGTTGCAAATATATTAAAAGAAAATGAAGAATTAATTAAAAATAATAAAACTTCAACAAAAGAATTAGAAATGGCTATGTTAAGTGTTGAAGATAAACAAGATGTTTTGGCAGCACAAAAAGCTAAAGAAGAAAATAATGTTGATTTAATTGAATTTGATGAAAATACTCAAATAAATGGAAGAGGAGGTGGGGGAGGAGAAGAACGTGGAAATAGTTATATTGAAAGTCCTTCAGAACAATATTTGGAATTAATTAATGAGGTGAATTTTTTGTAGTAGTTTTCTGATTTAAAAAAAGGAAAGTTGGTGTCTCATGTCAGTTTTTTAATCTTGCCCATATAGTTTCGAAGTTCTTGTTTGGTCAAGATAGCCGCCGGGTTTATCAAAAGAATTTTTTCTATTTTTAAAATGTGGCCTTAATCAGATTTTGTTCTTGATAGTCGTAATTTTTCATTTGAGAAATTAACTTATCGAAACTAAAGTTTAATGTTAAATGTTCCGTTGGTGTCCTACTTCTTGAAGGAAAAAATGCAAGAAAAGGGAGGAAAAATCGCATTCTCTTTGCAGACAGGTAGGACACCAACTGGACATTTACCAAGTTCAATTTATTTTTTAAATTAAATTCCTATAATAGAAATTTAGTATAAAGTACAATAATAAACGTTTTATTTTTTAGTTAAAACCAATTGAACGATATGCCGTTAATTTTCTTACAAATGAGTACAGGCCTGCTTTAGATAAAGAATTTGAAGAAACTGAGGTGATTATTTAAACTTCTTTAAAAATCATTTTTTAAATTAAAGGCCCTAATTCGAGCAAAACAAAAAGAATTTTTGCAAGATAGTAGTGAGGATGATGTTTCTGATAAAGGAAGTATTAAAAGCAAAAAATCATCAAAAAATGGGAAACAACAAAATAAACATAACAACAACAACAAAACAACAATTGAACAAAATATTACTTTTGATGCTAACTTAAATGAGGTATTGAAAAAAGAGGAGAGGGTTAGTAGAAAGAATAGTAGTAATTCTCTTAAAAATAAAAAGAGTTCTAGTAGTAATACTTTAATTGTAAAAAAGCGTTACAATACAAGAAATTCTTCATCTTCTTTAAATATACCACCAACAACAACAAGTCAACAATCATCAAATAATAATTTTGCTATCCCTCAATTACCTCAAACAAGCAGTAATGGATTTGGTAGTAGTAGTAATAAGAGCAGGAAAAAGGGCTCTTAAAACTTTTTTTTAAATAATTTATAGGGTGTTTTAAATTAAATTTTAGAAAAAAAAAGATTTTATACGAGTATTTTTTTGTTTAGTTTTTCTTCGTCTATTTTTTGTAGCGTTGGTTGGATTTGCCTTTTTTGGTTGTCAAGAATCAAATTAGAGGAAACGATAAATTAGAGGAAACGCCCTTCAAAATATTTTGAGATACCTCTGTACTTCAGTATCAAATACACCTCTATTGATAATACAATTTTTAAAATTTATTTAGTCATTAGTTGGAGGAGATGGTCCTAGGAGTAATATCCCCTTATAATTAAAATATAGACTTCAAATAATTTTAATTTTTTTCAAAAAGGCAAATCCACTTTTGTTTTTTGTTCAATTGTTTTATTATTTACCTGCCAATATTCTCCTCTCTCTCTTTATTTTTATCATTATTATTACACCTCTTCTTCTATATCCAAATCTTAAATATTTTATGCGTTTATTCTCAATCACATCAACTGCAAGACTTTGCTCTTTTGTATAATTGAAAGTTTTAAAGAATCTTTTTTTGGAAAAGAAGATTTTTTTATAATAAATAAATTTATTAAAATTTTTGGAGCAATTGTTTTCATCGCGAGGCCTTGCTCTTTAAAAAATATTTTTTAAAGAAATACAAGCTCCAAAATATTATTTTTTACTCGTAGAATTTTCAGATTTTTATATAAAAGAGCAAGGTTTTGCTTGATGTTGGGGATTGGTGGTTTAGAATATTAAGAGAGGGTAGTAGTCTAGGTTTAATTTTAAGCGTAGAATTTTTAAAAAATTATTTTGGAAATTTAGCGAGGTTGGGAGGAGTTAATCAGATTAAGCTTTAACTTCCCCTATTTTCTCTCAACATTTAGGGTCAAAATTAACAGAAACTCTAAAAAATACATCGAAGCAAATTAATTTAAAAGCGTCTTCTTTTTCCTATTTAAATTTTAGTGTATCTCTTTCCGGAAACTTTTCGGGGATATTAAATTAATTTTTTTGATTACATTTATTTATTTCCCTTTTATAAACTTATTTTTAGTTACCATTCTTCGCAACTTTGGACATGCCATTTGAAGAAATCCCGGTTATTTAAATTTTTTTTTAAATTTTTTTGTATACATTACAGGCTTGGATGCCTCCATCACCACCAAATTCAATTTTAGATTTGGAAGAAGAAAATTGGAATTTTAATTCATTTGAAGATTCATTTTTCTACGAGCCTTATCAAATGCCAGAAGAATGTTTACCTCAATTACCTCCACTAATTTCTATTAACGAAATACCTCCACGTATTTCTATTCGAAGACAAAGAAAATTTTTGAGTTTAACAACAACAACAGAAGATTATTTGGCTTCTTTACCTTTATCTCCAAAAATATCCCCTCCTCCACCTTCAATTCCAAAACACAGAAAAAGGACAGGTTCTGCAGCTTCTAGAGGTTCTTCTGTTACGAGTGGAAGAAGATCTCGTTTAGGCAATTTTTTGGGAGATTCTTTTAATTTTTTTAATATTCCCTCCAGGGCAGTCTGCAATCGCTAACTGCTTATTGCGTAAATTGCGAGGTTTTTCGGATTTGCGGATTTCGGCTGCGGATTTTAAAATTAAAATTGCGGATTATTTCTGCGGAGAATTTTTTTCAGTTGCGGACAGCCTTGATTCCCTCTCTTCCCTCTTTTCGTAAAATAAAAACACTTTTTTATAGACCAACACAATAAAGGATTACTTTCAATATCAACACCACCAAATACAACAACAACACCCTCAACACTTTTATTATCACCTCCAGGTACTCCATCATTAATTCCATCCTCAACAACAATTCCAGTAGAAAAAACTACAAGAGAGGAAAAATTGAATATTCATCAAAGATCAGCACAACCTTCAAAATCTAATGTTACTATACCTGGAACCGTTCCCTCCTCTTCTTTTAGTTCTCTTGATGGTATTTAATAAAAATAAATTTATTTGTTTAAAAAGTTAATTATTTGTTTGGATATCCTCTTCGGTTTTAGAGAAAACAAGTATTAATGTTCGACAAATGAAATTTTCCGGTACCGGTAGTACCGAAAAGTACCGGTGTACTGAAATTTTTAAATCACTGGTTAGTAGTGCCGGAAAATACAGAATCGGAACTTTCGTTAGGACCGGAAACTATGTATCCTCAAAAATTTTAAAGTATTTCCATTGGGACGTGGATAACCGAAGTTGAATCTTTTCATTTATTATTGTTCTTCGATTATAGTAAATAAAAATAAAAAATAATAATTCAGAATCAATCGAATCAACAGTCAGAAAAAGTCGAAAACAAGCTGGACATGGTCCTATTTCTCGCTACATGTTTGTTTTTCAAAAAAAATTGTTTAAAAATTTTAAAAAATTTAGAAGTCGAAATAATGGACAACCCCCTCAAAAATGGGAGGAACGTCTTCCTTCAGATCCTTCACGTTCTGTATTTCGCCTAGTTTGTCCTGAATGGCGTACAAATCCTTCACTTTTGAATTTGCCTACAGGAATCGAGGATCATGATTATGAGGGGCAGCCTATTTGGAGTGCTAATGAAGATATTCGACTTTTGAAGGTGCTTTATTTGTTTATATTCTGATAGATTTTGTCTCACCTAAGAAAATGTACTATCTAGAATCTAACTATCAGAATCTCTAACCAGAATCCAGAATATTTTAGAAGTCATAATAATGTAGGGAAAGTATTCTACATTTCCGGATTTGTTTATTTTCCGGAAAGAGGTTAGACACTAAATGAGAGACTGAATAACATCATAGATTAATATAAGAGACAAAATCTCTAAAAATCAAAATTTTTAATTAAAATTAAAAATGTAGGCATTAACTTCTAAACATGGAATGGAAACATATACAACGCCAACAACAACAACAACAACAACACAAAATGTCAATTCATTCCAGCCAAATTGGGATTTTGTTTCGCAATATGTTAATATTTGTTCTAGTCATTATAGGTACTAAATACACCTATTTTTGTAGAAGAGATTAAAAATTATTTTTTATTCAGGTCACCTCGGCAATGTGCTCTTCGATATCAAAACCAAGTATTACATTGTGATGAGTCTACATCCTCCTCATCTTTTGATCGAGGTGAATTATCTCCCCCCTCCATGCAGGGCTGCACGCAATTGAAAACAATTTCGCAACTCGAAATTTCCTTTTAAAAATCCGCAATTTACACAATCCGCAATTGTGTGCAGCCCTGACTCCATGTCATCTTTAAATTTAATAAAATAATTTTTTTAGCTTCATCTTCACGTAAACGTCAACAATCAACTTCATTATTAACTTCAGTCATTGTTGACAACAATTTCTGTAATACAGACACAACAAATTTAGTTAGAAGAAGGGCAGGATTAATAACAGAAATAACAAAACAAAATCGTTTAAAATATTTACCGGAAAAACAACAACAACAACAAACACATCACCATCATTATTCATCACAACAAATTTTGTGTTTAACTGGCAGATTACCACAACACCAAGAACAACGTTTACTTGAATTAGGGGCTAGATATACAAATGTTGTTAGACCTATGGATGTTTTGGATGTTAAATTTATTAAAAAACAGCAACAAAATTTGACAGAAAATAACAACAATAATAACAATAATACATGAATTGTTAAGGAAAATCAGAATAATATTTTTTGTTTTTTCGAAATTCTGATTTTTGTGTTTTCTAGAATTTCATGCAATTTCATCTTTCATAAATTCATTTATTTGTGGATTCAATCAAGATAAAAATGATCTTTTTGTTAACCTATTTTTTTAATTTTTTGGGGTTTCAACGATTTTGAATTATTCTCATCTCGCATTAACTAAAAAGTAATGCCTAAAATGAGGTGTTCCAATTTTTTATGGTACGTAAAGTTTTTCCGCAAAATTCAGTTTCGATTTACTCGATGAACACACTATTAAAATTTTAAAGGGAGGAGGAACTTAGATTCGAAAATTCGGACCACTCCGATTGATGGGAAAGCCACCGGTAGGCTCGTTCCCGTGCTTTCGAAATATCTCCTATATTAGATAGAATGACAACATAAGCATTTAAAAACAATTTATTTACAAACAAACAATATTTACAAAACATCATACTGGAAAATAGAGACAATAAGAATCACACAAGAAAATAGGGGGAAATTACATAATAGATATACAATTATGAGGGAAGAATTGTTTTCCTATATTATCACATTTCGACGTCATCATCCTCCGACAACCGCTTACATGTTGTACTCGATTGGAAGGTTCTTGCGGCGCACCATACCGTCACCCTGGAACCACTCGCGGCGGAATTGCTTGGCTGCTCCTTCCGGTGTGTTGGTCCATTCGACGGTGACACGATCGTTGTTGGTCGCTTCCGCAGCCGGATCGAAGGCGTCACAAGAGATGGCGATGTTGATGGCCTCCTTCGGGTCGAGAACACCGTTGGGCGGGTCCATGTTCAGACGGCGAGGGTTGGTCGTCTTGAATGCGAAGCCGATACGATGCCCACCAGAGTTGATGATCTGTAAAAATGAAGAGAAATTATTTTTAGCTGTTAGATTAAAAGAAGAAATAAAAACTTCACCTTCATGTAGTAGGTGTGCTTGTCATCGAACGGCGCGTTGAAGATGACCTTCACGGCAGGAAGAGTCGTGATGTCGCCGGGTGGAACAGACGCCATTGTTGTTGTTGAGAACGGTTTGTTGTAGCTGGAATTGACGTTGAAGAGAAAGCAAGTTGGGGAAACTGGTGTTTTACTGCCTCTTTTATACTCTTACGCTCAAACCCATTATGCTTGAGATCGAAACTATAAAAACCCTAATAATGCTCCAGTTTCCCCAACCTGCTTTCTCTTCAACTTCAATTCCAGCTACAACAACAAACCGTTCTCAACAACAACAATGGCGTCTGTTCCACCCGGCGACATCACGACTCTTCCTGCCGTGAAGGTCATCTTCAACGCGCCGTTCGACGACAAGCACACCTACTACATGAAGGTGAAGTTTTTATTTCTTCCTTTTAATCTAACAGCTAAAAATAATTTCTACTTTCACTTTTACAGATCATCAACTCTGGTGGGCATCGTATCGGCTTCGCATTCAAGACGACCAACCCTCGCCGTCTGAACATGGACCCGCCCAACGGTGTTCTCGACCCGAAGGAGGCCATCAACATCGCCATCTCTTGTGACGCCTTCGATCCGGCTGCGGAAGCGACCAACAACGATCGTGTCACCGTCGAATGGACCAACACACCGGAAGGAGCAGCCAAGCAATTCCGCCGCGAGTGGTTCCAGGGTGACGGTATGGTGCGCCGCAAGAACCTTCCAATCGAGTACAACATGTAAGCGGTTGTCGGAGGATGATGACGTCGAAATGTGATAATATAGGAAAACAATTCTTCCCTCATAATTGTATATCTATTATGTAATTTCCCCCTATTTTCTTGTGTGATTCTTATTGTTCCTATTGTAGTATAATTGTTTGTTTGTAAATAAATGTAACTTTTGGAGTGTTTTGTTATAATCGTGTTTAATCCTTGAGCAATTCCAAATCCTTGAATTTTACTTTTGCTTGAAAGTAAATGAAACAGACAGTTTTAATAGAAAAGTTAGGAATACTGCATAAAATAAAGTTTTCTCATTTTAAGGCCCAATCAAATATAAAGCAATTTTTAAAGTCTAGTGTCAGCTTTTCTTCAATATAAAATTGTTAAATAAATTAAAGGTGGGCCAAACAAAATTATTAAAAAAATTAAGGAAATAAATTCAAAAACAAGTAAATAAATATTTTCATTAGGACTAGACGCAATTCTTTTATCCATATGGATACCAAAATCTATTCGGAAGAGAATTTTCTGGGTTTTTCATATAATTTCCAGGATAAAATATTTTCTAAACAAAAGCAAGTTGTGGACAATGCAAATTCCAGCAAATCATAATTGCGTCCACCCTGATTATTGTTCTGATATCCTTATTGTTGCTGCTGATATCCTTAAACAATTTGTGGGAAATAGAAGAAAGTAGCAGGAACGGAAAAGAAAAATGGGGGGTAGATATGGGAAAAATGGGCTAAATATTGGAAGTTTAACTTTACATAGTTTTTATAGAAAATTTCGAATTCCTTCCGGAAATATCAAAAAAGAAGTGTTTCATTCATTTCTCTTTTTATTTTCTTCTTTTATAGACCCGTATTTTATACATTCTTTTGTAAACAAATTTCCACTAATTTAATAAAAACATCCCAAACACAAAACAGAATAAACACAAAACATCAAATCTGTGTTTTGCCCAACTTTCAGAATTTGTTGAAATTGTGTTGTTTTTTTGTTGTGTTTCTTCTGTTGTAGTGTTTACAACAACTTTTTCTCCCTCTTCTTCTTCTTCTGCCCAAATTTCTGATTTTGTTGTTTCAGAATTTTTATTTTTCTCTTCTTCATCTGTTTCCAATTTTTCTTGAATTTCTTCTTCTTTTTCTGTTTTATTTTCTATAAAATTTAATTTTGTTGTTGTTTCTCTATTAATTGCTTCCTTTGTTGATTCACTTGTAATTATTTGATCGGAAGAAAAGTCGATTTTCGGAAGCATCTTTTTTTCTTCTTTTTCAATTTCTGGTGGAGATAATGAACATCCTAAAAAATACTTTTTAATACTTCTCTAGTTTATTTAACAAATGAAACATACAGAAAATAAAATTTTGCATGAAAATTGTCAACAACTCCAACCTACTCCTTTGATAAATTTCAGAGTTTTTGTTAAACTAATACTCGAATTATCTTATTTAACTATAAAATGATATTTAATCGAGTTTGAAGCCCGAAAACCCGGATTTCATCAAAATACCCGATTTCCGGACTACCGGGACCGAAAACCCGCTCCCGGCTTAGGACCGCCTTCCTACTGTGGTGTAGTGGCTAAAGCGCTGGTTTAGCCTTGTGAGAGGGTGGCGGTTCGACCCCGGTTGTTAGTTTTTTTATTTTCTGAAGCAGAAGGGTTTATTTTTTAATAAAAATTAAATTTAAAAAATATTTTATTTACCTCTATAAAATTCATTAGCCCAAATATTATTTAAATCAAAAACATGAAGCAAAGCTTCCTCTCCACATTTAGAATTTATTTGGATAGCCAAACATTGTAATAATTTATTTATTGCTTTACAAACATTTTCCCCAGCATTTTTAGCCAATAAATCAACATTTCTAAATTCATTTAAGCATTTCTGTCCATTTTCTGTTTCGGTTACATTAAATAAACAATTGCCAAATTGCCGGTGATCTCTTCGGGTTATCTTTTTTTGAAAACAAAATTTTTGTTAAAATTAAATGGAAAAAAGGCTTTTCAATACCTCTCTTTCACAAACATTTTCGTATAAAGTTAGTGTTGCTTTAGTAGCTGGTTCTGGTCTACATTCAAGTACCTTTAAAATAAATACTTTTAAAATAAAATAATCAAGTACCTTTAAAAAAAACTGGGACGGGGGTTGCGGTGGTTTTAGCCTCGGACGGAGACGGTAGCTCTGGGGGAGAGCTTCCCACCGTCCCCGGGGACGGTGGTTGAACCCTAGAGAATTGGAGAGATACCCATTTTCTAGTTAGAAGGAAGTTTCTAAAGTATTGGAACGGTTCTGATTTACTAAAATTTTTATATCTTCTTTATAAAAACCCTCATTTCCCCCTTCAAATTAATATACCCTCAAAAATCATTTCTTTAAATTACCTCAACACATTTTCGAAATTTTGTGTAGGCATTATTACAAAAATCATCCCATTGACTTTGATTTGAAATAAGAGAGATTGGTCTAGGTCTAAATCTGTCAAGTCCGGTCTCGCATTCCAAATAGTTAACTAATTGTTGTCTTTAAAAAGAATTAATTTTTAAAATGATTAAACGAAAATAGAGGTTAAGCTTCCCTTAGATTTTAATTTCCCCTTACTTCCCTTAGATTTAGCTCAAGCCTCCCTTAGATTTTTTAATGAAGTAGTTTCTCAAGCCTTGGAATTTTTCGGAGTTTTTTTATTTTAATCCTTGGAGAAATTCATTCTCCCATTTTTTATCACTTTATTAAATAATAAACAAACTCTGTACAGCCCGTTTGTAACGAAATAGCAGGCGTTTCTAAACGGCATTTTGTACTTGGAACTAACTAGAAAGATTCAATTCAATTAAATATATTTATTTTATATCCCCAACCTGCCCAACAAATTCATTACTAGCAGAAAAAACAAAATCTAAAGCTTCATTTCCACATTCAGTAAATATTTTAGAAGAAATACAATGAGAAGTTTTATTTATTTTAAAACAAAATTCTTCATTATTTAAATTTTGTTTTTGTTTAATATTTAATAAACAATTTTGGCCTTCTTCACTTTTTTGTATATTTAATAGACAATTAGATACTTGAATATATTCTGTTCTGGAAGAACAAATATAAATAGAAAATGCTCGCATTGCTCTGGGTAAACCATAGGGCTCCTTTAAAAATTAATTAAAAATCAGAATTTTTGTGTTTTCTTTTAAATTCTGATTTTTTATTTATTTAAATTAATGTGTTTCAGAAATAGAGAGAAAATAAATTCTGATTCTAGAAAAATACATTTTGTATTTCTTCTTCGTAAAATATGTAAATAAAAATCAGAATTTTTGTGTTTTCATTTAAGTTCTGATATTTTATTTTAAAGAGAGAATTCTGGAATTCTGATTTATAGAAAATACAACATTTTGTATTTTCTTTTTGAAATACAAATAAATACTAATCAAAATTATTTTCAGAATTATTTTCAGAATTATTTTTTCAGAACTATTTCAGAAAATACATATTTTTAGGGAATAATCTAAAATTCTGATTTCTGAAAACACAAATACCTAATATGTATTTTACATCAGAATTTTCGCATTTTTTCTTTAATTTTCAGAATATTTTAAATTTATTTTTCGGAATTCTTTTAAATTAAAATCACCTCCAAATCGCATGCATTAGTTTCACGTTCACATTCCTCCAATTTATCCAAATCAGAACAAAACAAATTTAATTCTGTATTATTTTTGTCAATTGAAATATTTAATAAAGTAATTGGTGTAAATGAGTATTTGGAGAGTAAATGTTGATTTTGACAATTTTGGCGGTTTTTCCTTTAAAAATAATTAAAAAAATTTATTTCTAAATTAAATTAAACCTCATTTCTTCAGTACATTTTGGTGGAGAAAATGTTGTTGTTGTTATAACTTCGGTATTCTATTAAAAATAATTATAATTATCTTCTGTATACCCTATTAAAATAAATTAAAATTCAATTTACTTCTTCAATTTTTGGGCAATTCCCATTAGAAGCCAAAACCCTCAAAACATTTAAAGGCACTTTTCCACATTGTTTAAGTACAATAGGCTGAACACAGTCAACAAAATTGGGTAAAACAGAACGTAAACCAGAAAGATTAAGTTGACGAAGAGGCCCAAGATGTTGACGAATACATTGACCAAAGTCTGGGTTAGAGACCTAAAATTTAAATATTCAACAGAAATAAACACAAAAATCAGAATCTTCTGTTTTGAGACATTTCTTGTAAAAATACTTTAAATTCTGATTTTTAAAAAATACAAGAAAATACAAAGAAAATACAAAAAATACAAAAAATCAGAATTTCTTTTTTGTATTTTTAAAAAATACAAGAAAATCAGAATTTCTTTTTCTTTGTATTTTTATTTATTAAAAGAATATTTTTGCCTGTTTAAAAACACATCCTAAATTAGAATCAATAGCCTCCCCAACATCTTTCTGGTCACAAATACCAGCACCTGCAGCGACTAGGCAACTGAAATAATTATTTAAAAATATTTTTTCTAGGGTTGGGGTTTTCGAGTCAGGCCGAGCTCGACCGAGTCTCTTTCGGGCCAAAATTCAAGGCCCGACTCGATCTTTCGAACCGGGCCGGGGCCCCCAACGCTAATTTTTTCAAATAAATTTAAAAAATACCTAGAAATTGTGCAATTTGTTGAAGTAGCGAGAATTGAATTTACACACTTTCGAAATTGTGCAGAGAGAATGCAACCTTTTTATTTAAAATTTTGAAATATTTTTTAATCCTTCAAAAACCCTTCTGGAAAAGAGTAGAAAGTCCATTTAAATTTTTCAAAACCGATTGAAGACCCCCTTGAAACATTTTGTCTAATTGACTGCGTAAATCGCCTAATGGAGAAGAACATTGCTGTATTAATTGTTTCTGGTCTGTTGAACAATCTTGACCAGAAAAGACGGCGACTAGAAAGAAAGAGAGAAAAAATAAATTATGTTTATAATTGGATTTAATAAACACAAGTAAGTAATTTTTATTCTAAGGGAACACAAATTTCTGGGCAGTATTAGTAATACAATTTAAAAAACAGAATTATTGTATTTCTTAATGTTTTTCTTAAAAATTCAGAAAAATTTAGGAACATTATTTTTAAGGTACTTACGTTCCCCTCCTTTAAACCCATCCAACGAACAATTTGGATCTAAAGCCTTTGCGAACCGTCCAACATATTCTCGTTCAAATTGTCCAGCTTCAAATCCACATTTTGATTCTAAAAATAAATTTTAAGACTCTCTTTCGGTCAATTCACCAATTGGGGGAAGAGCACATTCAAGTAAATGTTTGGCGGAAGTACAAGCTTCGCGTGGAGAAGCTCGAGAAAATGAAAGAACACATTCGTGAAGTTCGGGACGAGCAGTTGAACGCCTGAGGCATTGACGAAGCTTTAAGGGTTTAAAAACAATTATAATTGTTTAGTAGAGATAAATATGTAATTGGAGCTAATTAATTGATAAAATACTGATAAAAATATATTTGTATTTTTCTGAAATTATGATTTCTTTATAACTAGAAAATATTCAGTATTTTCTGAAATTTTCGGGATTCTGGTTAGACAAAAACAAGAAGAGTATTTTATATAAGAGAGTAGGGTTGTCAGTTCTGGACCGAACCGAAGACCGATGATTTTTTGGTTCGAATATCGATTCGGTTCCGAAGATTTTCCAAGAACCTACAACCCTATATGAGAGACAAAATCTGTCTCCTTATTTATAAAAATTTAATAATTTTACATCAATAAATCTCTGATTTCCTTCTCCACAAGCAAATCCAAACATTGCCGCCAATCCACGGGCCCATAGAGGAATACAATTGGGTGCTAAACCTTCACAACATTTTGTAAAATTATTAAAAGAAAGACAAGCATCTTCAATTTGTCGAGGATTTTTAATTACTGACAGAGGGTGCTTCAGAAAATTTTTTTGAAAATTTTTTTTTTAATTTAATTTAAAAAGTTTACCGGTTGAAAAGCACTTAAAGGTTGGACACAAAATTGGAATTGTTGTTGTTGTTCTGGAGAACATTCATTTTCTGAATTAATTTCCTCATTTTCTTTAGGCATTGGACGTGCCATTGGAGCACCAGAATTTTGGGGAGGTAATGAATTTATTGGTGGTGGTTTATTTGTGGAAGAAGAAATTGTTGGTGTATATCTCAAAAATGAATCAAAATTGGATGGAGGTTGGTTAGGGCAACCTTCTTCTTGGCCAATTAAATTTATCTATAAAATTTTTTTGTTAAATTTATTGAAGAATGAAGGGTTTATTAAATTGGAGAGAGTTAAAAGTTCTGAATGGTTAAATATTATATACCCTAAATGCTCTAATATAAGTCCTGGGCTTATATTTTTCAATAGACTTCCTTGGGTGGGTTTATATTAGAGCCGGTCTTCTATTAGAGATGGGCTTCTATTAGAGCATTTGGGTTTCTATTGGAGATGGGCTAATCCAGAAAACAGAAGGTTGTCCGCAAATATTATCCGCGATAGACTTTTATTGACGGAAATAATTTACAGACAAAATTTTGTAGCAAAACCCCATGATAATCCAACTAGATCCCTCCAAACAAACTCTTTAATAAAGAAACTAGCCTTATCTAATAAAGAATTAAATTCATTAATTAAAGTTTCATTTTTAAGGCAAAATTCACTCATCGAATTTCTGGCACAATTAAAAGCTTCACGTAGAGAATAAAAAGCTTTACATAAATGTGCTGATCCATTAGGTATTCCTTGGAGAACAGCACTTGAAAATAAATTTAATTGAAATTTTAAATCAGATTTGAGGTTTTCTCGGGTTAAAAAATATTTTAATTAAAAATATATTTACCCAATCGAAAACCCAAGTATTTGTAAATTCTTTTGACATGAAGAAGATGAATTGGAAAAATTTAGACAGGAAGAAACAGAATTAGTTAACACGTAAGTATTGTCACAAATAGGTTCTAGTCCAATTCTGAAATGTTTAAAAAAGAAATTGTTCAAATAAAAATCCTTCCCCCCCACCTTGCCAAAGCATTCATAGGCGAATTCAAAGCACATCTAGAATTCCAAATATTTGGGAAAACTCTGTCTTTAAGGCATTTTTGGTATTGCTCGAATAAAGAACAGACATTTAATAAAGTTGTTTGGTTAGAAAAAAGAGCTCCCAGAGAAGATAATTTTTGTAAACGAGAGGGAAGGCCTGACAATTCTGATAGACAAAGAAGAGCATTTTCCTTTAAAAAATTTGTTAAAAAATTTATTTATTTAATTTTGCCAAACTTCTTGTTCTTCACTACATTGGCCATTTAATGGGTGTAGAATAAATTTATTTGTTTCTGTTGATTTTTCTGAACCCTCTTCTTTTTGTTGAAAACATTGTTGGGAGATTGCCTCATCGTTTAGTTGCTCCTATAATTTTTAGAAGTTTGTGTTATTTAATGAAAAAACATGTTTCAAACGAATCAGAAAAACATAAAAACATCAAACATGTTTGCGAACATAAAAATCAGGATTAAAATAAACTTGACAATATAAACATTTAAAACTTGTTCCGAACATTCATGTTTCTATCATAAAAACATGTTTTTATGCATAAAAACATGTTTTGCCTAAGATTCTGGTACTTATTTTGATGTTTGGAAACATTATCAATTAGTTAAAACAATTAATTGTTAATTACCTGAATGCTAATAACTGCCTCTTGAACTCTAATAGGACACAACTCATTTAGCGAATGTATCGAACAATCCATATTTTTATTAAAAGCTTCCAATATTGAACAAGAAGTATTTAATTGTTTATTTAACTAAATTGTAGCAAAATATTAAATAAAAATAAATTTTAAATATTTACCTGAAAATTGCACTTTTTATTGTCTTTTCTAGCTAATTCATTCAAACAATCAGAATTTTCTGATAAAATGTTCACTTTTTCACACAACTAAAATTAAGTTTGTTTTATTAAAGGTTGAATTATAGAAATCAGAAAATACGAGAAAAACATGTTTACAAACATTAAATATTAAAACAAACATGAAAATAAACATTTATTTAATCAGCTTGTTTCCAAACATTTTTCAAATTTATTTAAAAACATGTTTTTATGGTTTGTTTGTTTTTGTGAGGATAAACATTGTTTTTATTATTTGTTTGTCGTTTTTCCCAACAAACAAAACAATGTTTTAATTTTCTAAACAATGTTTTAATCATTTACTCATTGTTTTTCCCATGTTTTTACCTTTGTCCAGATAGGTTTTGCCAGTTCATTGTTTTCAAGTGTTTTCCTATTTTTACAAAACATTTCTGCATTCGCCAGAATTGTCAAAACATCCCAAGGTTTTATATTTATTTGTTGTTGTTTTGAAGAATCGTTACAATTTAAATCTCCAAACCAATGTTCACTTTCTTGTCGTAAAGGTGCTAACTTTAATTGAAATGTTTTACTAAAAAGTATTTTTCTTTTACCATTTCAAGTGCAGATTCTGAACATTCTGAGGGAGGGTTTGCTTCAATACAACTAAAATGTGTTACAGATTGAGTAAGTAAAGCACAAGGGAGGGAAATTGGGGAAGTTTCATTAAAAAATAATTTTGTAGAAGAACACTGATTTGTAGCAGATAAACATTCTGGTTGGTCTAACAAAGCGGGGGTTAATAATTCACAAAGAAATACATGAAGACGAGCCTAAAATAAAATTAAAAATTTTATTTTAATTAAAATTAATTTTTTACCCAAGGACCTCCAACAGAATTTGATTGATTTTTGTTGTCGAGAAATTGACATCCTTTAAGTAAAAGTTGGCCAGATCTATGAAAGAAAATGGAAAACTTAAAAGAATAAACATTTAATTAATGTTTAATTGAGGTTGGAAACAAATTCACAAAAACATCTAAACATGCTTAGAAATCGGAAAAACAACATGCTAACATTAAATGTTCAGAGAAACTCTAAACTTGGAAAACATGTTTAAAATGAAAAAACATATCAAAACATACTCATCTGAACATTCTCAAAAAAACATTGTTCATCCTAATCTAAACACTCTTCTAAACAAGTTTATTTTAAAGTTTCAAGTTTTTTCAATGTTTTATAGAAAAGAGTAAAACTAAAGAATGTTTTACTCTCTTTAAAACAAACAAGTTTTTACTGTTTTGATTGAGTAAAAAGTTTGGGTAATTCTGTTTCCATCTGAACAAGCCAGTCAATTAGTGTTTCTGTTTTTTCTTCTTTTCCCAACATGTTGTTTGTTTCTAATAATTTTTGTTTGTTGTTTTCATTTTCTGTGTTGTTATTATAAACATGTTTTTCATCAGCCCCATCTTCACAATCAGGTTCTCCATCATTTACCCAATCAAGAGGTATACAATTTCCATTTATTGGACAGAAAAAGGCATCTGATGAGCAAACTGAGGAATTCCCCTCGCAATTAATTGGAGGTGAATAAATTAAAAAAAGAAGAAAAAATAATTTAAATTTGGGTGAATTTGTGGTGGTGGGCATTTTTTGGGGGGAATTTTTCTGAAAAATTTGGGAGAAAATTTAAAAAAAATTTTATTTTATTTTTTAAATAAATGAACTTTTATTATTTTTTTGTCCCAATTTTAAAGCGACCTAAAGGCCTAAATATATATCCATTTTTGTTAGAAAGCAAACTACAAAGTTTGGACAAATAAACAAAAAAGTTATTCCCCTCCCTCCCTTTGTTGTTTCAGAAATTGTCTCTATTAAATATTTATTTATTTCCCTTTTCAGTTCAAAATTAGTCATTAAAAAAAGAAAGCTCAATAAATTTAAATTAATTTATTTGGATTATAGAGATTTTTGGAGGTTTTTAACAAATTATATAAATATTGAGAATATCCCAACAAAAATTTATTTAAAAAATAAACTTGTTTTTGGAATTTTAGAGGATAAAAACAAAATTTATTTTTTACAAATTAACGCGCAAGGATATAAAAGTGAAAAGAAAGCTGGTCAGAAAATTAATACTTTTTTAAAATAAATGTGTGAGGATAAAAGAAAAAAAGCAGCCTTTTCTGATCCAATTGAGGCGAAAACAGCGGGGAATCGACAACAACAAAGTTTTTGGAGGGAAGAAAGGAATGGATTGCTGCCTGAGGGGTTGGAAGCAGAGTTGGGCGCGGATTAACTTTGAATTTTGTTTTCAAATTTTTAAAATTTTGCCAAAAAATCTTCCAAAATTGGAGAATTTTTGTTTTGGAAGTTTTGAAAAATTCTGATCCTTACGATTTTGACGGTTTTGATGATTTTTAAATAAATTTTTTTTGAATAACTTTTGAAATAAAAAATCAAAAAATTCTGAAAATTAACGAAAATATAGTCAATACAATTAAAAATATTTACAAGAAAAATTCACATCCCCAACTTTACATTTTTTACAACTTTTTAAACTGCGCGCCCAAACTGCTTTTGCGCCCAAACATCCTTCACAACAAGGGAGATAAAAGAAAAGGCGAGTGGTTGTTCGTAGTTGTATGGATGGTCAAAACAAAAATAAAATCTCTTTTTTTTAATCCACTGAGCGAATTGATGCGATAAAATAATAAATTTGTTGCTAACAATTTTGTTGTTGTTGCTATATGGATTTTTGTTTATTTCTTCTCCCTCTTGTTTTTGTGAAAATGGAACAATCCGGTACCGAAAAAATCGCGAAAGGATGGGGAAAATGAGAAGAGAGCCGTTATATTTTAATAGTTTATTTAAAAAAAGCTAGCAATTTATGTGTATGATTGAAAAAATAAAAAATATTTGGGAGGGAATTGTTGTAGTTTTTGTTTGGATGTGGAAACATAATTATTTTTCGAGAAATAGTACTCAGTATCCACGGAAAGAAAGGTTTTGATAAGGATTACAAAAAAATAACTAGATCAATGATTAAAGGAAAAATTCTCAAAATTCTTTTGAATTAGGGAAACTTTTCTAAGTTTTGAATTTCTACACAGAAAGATACTTCTAGGTTACCTATAAATTAAAACCATAATTCTCCAACTATTAAGTCAGAAATCTGAAATTTTGCCAGAAAATCTTTGTAGCCGAGGAAATTAAGAAGGATCTTACCTCCCCGCGTGTTCTTACTTAACTAATTTATATTTAAATAAATTATCCCAAACTGCGCCCAAAAGTCTTTTCATTTTAAACAACAAAAGTAAAGTTGGTTGGAGGAAAAAAAGAGATATTGTAAAAATCCGCCTATCCGGTCTTTCAAGTTTTTGGGAGGATTGTAATCTCCCCCTTCCCCCCCCCCCTTCCTTAAATTTCCTTCCCATTTATTTAAAATGTTGTTTAGAAAAAAGGAAAGAGGAAAGAAGACGAATATTAATAACCAAAATTCTCATCCCTTTTTAACGATTTATAATTTATTTTAATCCAAAAATTAGAACAAAATATGGAAAAAAAAGAAATATTTATTCTATATTTATTGTTTTTACAAAAGAGAGAAGAAAATCACCGGAAAGGATGGACAGTTAATTTAACGAGAAACCGTTTAATAAATAAAAACAGTACAAAAATTAGGTCATTATCAAAATATTAAAATAAATGTCAATAAATAAAAATATTTATGTGGATGTAAAATTAAAAATTAAAATTAAAAAGTGTATTTTAAATTTGATGTGTGCTGAAATTCGTTAGTGTAATATACATAGATCCAATTTGATTTTTTTTGAGAAAAGACGAAATATTTTTTCGTAGCAAATTTTAAGAGCCTTCAAATGAGCACAAAAAAATAAGAAAACCCCAAGTGTGTTAAAAAAAATTTTTTTTGAAAATTTTTGCTACATTTTCTGTTGATTTTGTGAGTTTGATATCTCTGTGATTAAACTAAATTAATAAAAAAACTAACAATAAAATAGTAAATAATTTATTAGCATACAGTACTTTGTCTACACACTCAAAAATTACACTGAAACGTCAAAATAATTAACCAAGTTTTCGTTTCGAAAAATAAACTAATTGTAACTTCAAATAAATAATTGGTGGATTAATTTGTCTAAAAAATGAAGATTAAATTAATTTTTTAATTTATTTGTTTTTTAATTATTTAAATATTTTCTAGATGGATTCATTAGATGCCAGAAAACCTTTGTTAATTGTTGATGGCCCTTATCCAGCAAGTTCGTATGGAAATGAGGTTTTCCTTTTTATTTAAAATTTTAAATTTCTTTCAAGTCAACTTTAAATAAAAAATATTAATTTCTCTTAAATTTAGAATTAACGTTTATTAACTTTTATATATTCTCTTAAAAGTTTTTTATGGTTGGGACAATGGGAAAATACTTATTGTTAGTTTTCTTTTTTGGTGGGGAGTGGGAGGGTTGAGAAACTTTAAGAGGGCATGATTGTTTGGACTTTAGTATGTGGTTTTGGCTCTGATATTCTGACTCTGGAGTTTTTAAAGAATTTTCTCGTAATCTCTTTTTTCCTTTGTTTTTAATTAAAATTAATTTTTCCCAAATTTAAAGTTGAGTGAAGACGAACAAACTGTAAATAGTACATATGAAAACACAGCTTTAGAATGCGATTCGAACAATTTATTTGTTAAAAATTGTAAAAATTCTAGTGACAACAATTCTCTTATTTATGCAAATTATGGAGAAATTTCTCGTTTACAAGTTTTTTTTTGTTAATTAAAAAAATAAATTTTTTGTTTAAGGAATTACAAGAAATTGATAGAAGGCCTTATCCTCCATTTCCGGATGCTTCTTCCTCTCCCTTGTTAGTTTATTTTTTTGAGGTTTTTGTTGTCTTTCGATTAAAAAAGATTATAAAATCCCAGAAAGGGAACAGAAAAAAGTGATCCCCTCATTTTTAAGAAATTTTGGGGTTTTTTAATTTGATGATAAAATGAGTGAAGAAGCCGTGTTGCTTTAACTCGGTCCACGGTACCGTTCATCAGAAATGGGGAAAATTTCACAAGGTATAATCTATCTGTCTACCTAATTTCATCCCGAAGTCCCACGGACACCTCAGGCACTCTCCTTTGTTAGTTCTAAATTATTTTTTGGACTACTCTGTTTTCTTCCAAACAACTCTTAACTTCGTTACCCCTTTCAACAAATTTACCAAAGTATTTTTTAAGATAAGGATCTTTCTCTTCTTTAAATATCTGCAAACTTTTAATTAAATTAATCTTCTCGTTCACTAAATTTATTTAATTTTAATTAATAATTCTTTTTTAGGCGAATAATTGCAAATGGTTGGAGAGAATATCGAACTTTGGGTGGAAGGTTTTTTTTAATTAATTTTTGCTTAAATTTTCTAAAAAATAATATTTAGGTCTTACTATTACCACCCTTTAAATAAAATTTGTCAATGGAAGGTATTTAATTTTTAAATTTTTTGGGGGGATTTTTTATTTTTTCAACAACTTTTTTATCAAAATTTGTGAAAAAGCTAAAACTTTGTAAAAATGAATAAAAATCAAAATTAACCCCAAGTTTAAATATATTGAATTATTTGGAGTGATTCATTTTTAAATGTTGTGATTTTTGTATTTTTTAAGTGAATCATCGCCTTCAATTTAAAATTTTAAGCGATTTGCGTTTTTTTTTTCGCAATATTTTCATAATTGATTTTTTTGGAATTGACTCAAAAATAAAGGAGAATTACCTAAATAAGGTTTCCATCCCTCCCCTTTTTTAATTTGACATTTGCGGACAAAACTGGAACTTTTGAAATTGGGACAAATGGGAATTTCAATAGCTAAACTTTTAGTAAGTATCATTTTTAATGTAAGATTGTTTATGTCCGCAAACGTCGATTTATCCCAGGGTTAAGATTAGGGTTGCCGGTCCGATCCGAAAAATCGAGTCGGGCATCGCATTTTGCCCGAAAATGACTCGGTCGGGCCGGCCCGAAAAAAAAGACCCGAAAGAAATGACTCGAACGTCGGCCCGACTCGAAGATGGCTACCCGAATTAGGATAACTAAAATTCTTTTTGAGTTTGTAATGGAATTTAAAGAAAAAATTTTTCTTGGCAAAAATTTTAAATTTTATTTTAAATTTTTACCCAAACTTATTGACATTTTAAAATAAATTTCCCGTATATTTTCTTTAAAATAAAATTTAATTTTCACATTTTTAGCCTCCAAGAACAACTTTAAAATTTTACTCACAAGAAGATATGGAGCCTTTATTTGCCACTAATTTTGCTCATCAAAATCGTTATCCTTCTACTTCTGTTGAATCTGCTGATTTTGCTGAAATTCCTTTACTTCATAATTTTAAAAATCGAATTGGTTCATTCAAAACAAATGAAATGCACAAATCTGTATTTGTTGAATCTAATGAAAATGTTGCCGTTAATAAGGTTTTTTAAAGGGAAAATTTTGGGTTGTTTTTGAAGGGGATCTTATTTTCAACCAATTTTTGGGTTAATTCTAGTGTCGTTAAGACAGCTTCAGGGGTCTTTCTGTTGTTTTTCAGTATGATTCCGGCACGCAGACATATCGGGATATTTCAATGTACGAACCCTACTGATTTCGGGACCTACGGCCACTGGGTCCTTGATAGTATATTGTACTGTTGAGGAATAGAGTTTTTATGTTTTAGAACAAATGTAACCACGCAATAAATTATTTTTGTCACCCCAATCCCGATATGTCCACCTCGATATGTCCGCACACCGGAATCCCTTGTAACAGTCCCGGAAATCAAAGAGATCACGGAAGTTCTGATGAGATAAACTTAAAGTCAATATTTTATCAAAATTTCCGTGTTATCTTCTAACAATAAACATTTTAAAATTATTTTTTTCAGCCAGGTGTAATGTCACATAGTTTGGATGAAGTTACGGGTCAATCAAAATTTCCGTCAGATTTAAAATCTTCGGATAATATAACCGAATGTTCTACCAATTATGACAATACAAGCCAGTGCCATAAAGATACAGAACTTCGACATGGTTTTCTCGAAAGGTGTAAATTGTCTGAAAATGGGGTGAAATTAAAAAGAAAAGATTGGTCTAGTGCTTATGCTTATTTATATATTGGACATTTGTTGTTTTACAAAGATCAAAAGTCTGCAGAGAAGCATGGAAAACATTATCCTGCTCCTTTGGGTATTTTTTAAATTTAAATAGGGAGAAATTGACTAGGGAAGTTGGGTGTTTGTTTATTGTTATTTTTGGACTTAACGAGATAGGCGATATCGAATTCATTTTGGGAATGGCGGATAAAATTCTTTTCGGGCATTTTAAGGTCGAGAAGCTCGTTCAATCGACTTGTTTTTCCGTTTCTTTTTTTAATTTTTTTTTCCACACTATACTAACTAAAGTTTTAATATTTATTCTAGTCTAGCACATAAGACTAGAATAAATTTTCTAGTCTTTTCTAGTTTAGCACACATTAAATGAACGCGAATATTTTTCTCTGTAGATTGGTTGACTACTTGTGCGTTTTTTTATGGCTTATTAGAAGATTTTTAGTTTAAAACCCTTCCTTTTATGAATTTCATTTAGGAAAATCCACTTAAAAAATTCTTTTTCAGATGTTTGTGATTTGAGAGATGCAATTGTCCAATTTATTACTGATGACAAAAAACAAAGAGATAAGAGAAGGAAGCACATAATTTCGGTTAAACAATTTTTTTAAATTTATTTCTAAAAATTTTTTTTTAGCTTTTACTTCCATCAAAAACAGAATATAATTTTTGTAGTAATGAAGAAGAAATAAATGATTGGTTTTATGCTTTACGTCAAGCAATAATTTCTGCAGTTTTTTTTTATTTTTTATTTTCTTTTCAAAAAATTTTCTTTAGCCTGCTTTAAAAATTTCTTCAAATAAAATTATTTGTGATTGGAATGGAAGTCTTCAACGTTCAATTCGGCACAAACGCGATTCTGCAAGTAGTACTTTTGGAATTGGAAAGTCAACACTTCACAATTCTATAAAATCACGTTTGAAGCCTTCCTCAACCAAAAGTATTGGTAAATTTAATTTTATTTGTGATATTTGATTGTAATTGTTGGCTACTTCTATTATATCCTCTTCATATTATTTATTCTTTAATTTTAAGAAAATAAATTTTAAAAGAAATGAAATCTAGGTTTTTTAGTGAAAAATCAGGTCCTTTTTAGTTTTGAGATTTCAAGCTCTCTCTAAAAATTACAAGCCGAGCCTTATAATTTTGGAGCTCCCCGCCAACTCTTTATAAAAATGTGCATGGAACCAGTTAAGGATACAAATTCATATTTTTCCTTCAAAATTTAGAAAACCAGCTTAGACAATCTTATAGTTTAAGAATAATGCCAATTTTCTTTTTTTATTTAAATTTTAAGCAATTTCTGACGATCACTTTTCTTCTGTGGATAATAATGCTGTAGAAGTTGTCCCTCCTGCCAAGGCAACAATTATTGAAAGGCTTTTGCGATTTTTCCGTTCTCGACCTTCAATGGAATCACTTAGGGAGAGAGGAATTTATAAACGTTTTTTTTAATTATTTTTCAATTTAAATTTATTTTAAATTTTAGCAGAACCAGTATTTGGAAGTACTTTAAGTGAAATTTGTTTTAGAGAAAAGTCGTTAGTCCCCAAATTTATAACTGAAGTAACTACTTTAATTGAACAAAAAGGACTTGATTGTGATGGGTTTGTTTTTATTTATTTAAGTTTTTTGGGAAATACTTTAATTTTTTTTTGTTTTCTTTGGTTCTGGAAAGAATGTTCTCTATTAGTTCTCTATTAATCAATGGCCTAGTGTTCGGTCGGCTTTAAACCTGACCAAGTGGTATACCAATAATCATTCACCCCGCTCGTTGCGCTACCTCTGGGCATCCTATTCACCATCAACATCTCTCGTAATTAGGCTGGCCCCTCTAATTAAAATTATTTTTAAATTTGTGTCATCGAGGACGGCAAGGTGCAATAATTTTTTGAAATTGTTATTTTGTCCAGTTCTAAAAAATTTTCTTTTTTCGACCGAATTTATTCAATCAATTTTATTTTTTTTCAAGTCTTTATCGAGTAAATGGCAATCTTTCTTCTGTTCAAAAAATTCGTTGCCAAATTGATCAGGGTAAATTTTGAAAGGAATTATTTAATTTAAATTTTATTTTAGACAATTATGAACCTATGAGACGTGAGGAGGATATTCACGTTCTCAGTGGCGCTTTAAAATTATTTCTTCGGGAGCTTCAAGAACCTATTTTTCCGGCTACAATGCATAAAGAATTTATGTCTGCTATAAGTAATATTATATTAATTTTTTCATTTTAAACGTCAAAAATCGAGAAAGTCTGAGATGCATAGAGACCTGTATTTTATTTCTTATTGTTGGATTTTATTTTCCCGATTTTTTCGTGTTCCGTTAATCTAAAGTTAAACATTCATTTAATTTTTTCATTAAAATAATTTTATAATATTTAATTTTTCTTAATTTTTAATTTAAAAAGGAGATTCTGGCTCAAAAAAATTTAAATGTATAGATGATTTGCTTCACAAACTTCCACAAGTTAATAAACAAACTTTGCGTGTTTTAATTTTACATCTCAATAAGTAAATAGATTTTTTAAATAATTATTAAATTAATTTATTTAAATTTAAATTTTAGAGTAGCAACACATTCTGGAAAGGTAAATTAATTTATTTTAATTAAAAAAATTAAATGCTTGGAGATTTTTTCATTGTATTTTTTCATTGTATTTTATGCCTCGGATTGATTTTTTTTTGTTTAAACCGGCCTTCAAGGGGGTCAATTTCAAGAGGGCTAGATGGGGTGTGCGCCAAGATTTTGGCGTTTTGTACTCAAATTTTATTGATCGTATATTTTCAGTCCGCAGGTGAAAATTTTGAGAATTTTGAAGGTCAAGCGAAAAAATTTCATTTTTCCTATCGTCTTTCTCCCAATATTTTTCACTTTTCCCCATTTCAGGAGACTATAGCCCCAGAAGCCCCCTGTGACTAGGCCCTTTCTGGCCTTTATGATAACTTTTCTTGCTTAAATTTTCTTTTTAAAATTTTTTTCATTTAGTCAGCAACTCATTTTTTCTCTTTAATTCAGAACAGAATGCAAATTCACAACCTTGCCATTATTTTCGGGCCTTCAATGTTTTGCTCAGATGAAAGAAATTTTAAAACAACTCAAGACAAGGGAAAATCAAATAATATCGGGAAAAGAAAAACTGTGGATGAACGACAGGAGGAAGTTCAAAATCAGCCTTTAATTGTAGAGCCTACACAAAACTTAGCCTTTCGAATGTTTTTTTTAATTTAATTATTTTAATTTATATATTTTTTTAATTTAAGGATTACTTATGGCCAGATTCTCGAATTTATTTTAACTGAAGCTGAGAGGTTTATAATTACTTTAATTATTTTATTTTTTAGGGGAGGGATTTAGTAAACTTTTTGGTTTAAAAATTTCTAAATTAATTTTTAAATGAAGGGGATTATTAGGGAGACCGGACTTGGAGGGTCTTTCGAGAATCGAGATCTCGACTCACAAGGGAAACTCACAAACTTTGAGTCAAAATTTTATACTTTTTTGGTACCAATCGATAGGTACCAATCATCGATTTGCTCTAGAAAATTTTCGGCATATTTGCCTAGGAATATGAAACTAGCCAAAAAAGGCCGAAAATTTTCTAGAGCAAATCAATGAATGGTACCTATTGACTGGTACCAAAAAATACAAAATTTTAACTCACAGTTTGTGAGTTTCCCTTGTCAGTCCGACATCTAATATCCAATTATATAATTTAATACAAACAATTTATAGATTGACAATTTTCAAGAATTGAAAAATGGTTTGGATGATTCTAATTTATATTTTAGTTTAAAAAAGAATAGAAACGTAAAAAAAATATTTTGTGCTTTTTCTATTAAAAATAGGTTTATATTTAAAAAATTTTAAATTATTCCAAAAAATTCTTTGGAATTTATTTTAAAAAATTTAAATTTTTGAGTCCCAATTTTGTGTTTTATTTATTTATTATTCCCTTTTTTTCTTTTTATTAAACATTTTTTTCTGCCAAAAAAAAAGAAAATATATATTTTAAAATTAATTATTCGTGTGGGGGCTAACTCAAAGAATACCAACTCAAGGAACAGACAAGTCGAGGAACGACAAATTAGGGAAACGACCAATTCAAGGAATGACTTGGTCAAAGAATGAACAACTCATGGAATATTTTAAAATTCGGAATTTTTCAGAATTTTTTTTAAATTCCGTTTTTTGAAGTATTCTAATTTGTTTTAAATTCTTATTTTTTTAAATATTCAGATTTTTCAAAAAAATTCCGATTTTTAAAATATTCAATGAGTTGGTCATTCCTTGAATTGGTCGTTCCTTAACCTGTCTTTTGCTTGACTTGTCTGTTTCCTGACTTATCGTTCCTTGATTTGTCTGTTCGTCGAGTTAGCCCGACACGAATTATTCCCCTCTACATATTCAGTAAAGAAATTGTACTATATTTATAAATAAATTTATTTATTTTCTTTTCCCTCTACACAAATATACTTATTCGACTTAAAATTATAATTTAAAAAATTTTTCTGTAAAAACGTTTTTTTCAAATACGTTTAGATTTTTTAAAAAGAATTTTTGTATATTTAGATAAATAATTTAATAGTATATATGGACGATTTTTTGGTTTTTGGAAAAACTATTGCTGATCCGTGGAATAGAGTGTGTTCGTTGGATAAACCAATAATTCTTTTTGTTGAATTTTGCCAGATTATTGGGCCAAGGTTTTTATTTTTCTTAAATGTTTGAAGAATTATTGCATCTTACTACCCTATAACCGAGATGGGGGTCAAGGTAATAAAAGCCGAAAATTGATATAATTTTTATTTGAAATTGGTCAGAGTTCGGAAGGCTTGTAAGCTTTTTTATAAATTTTTTTTCAAAAGTTAAGATCCTAACGTTTTAATATTTTAATGTGCAATACTTCCTCATTTAAACTTCAAAAATTTTATCTGTTTTTCTTTTTTAGACCTTTATTTTCTTATCCAGAAGATGCTTGTTTGAATCATTTACTCGAAGAACTTTCCCTTTGGTTAATGAGTTCTGATAATTTTCATGGGAATTTTACTTCAGCCTACAATCAACAACTTGGTGTTTATGTTTTAACTCAATATGCTACAATGTTGGATATAACTGCTAGAGCATTACAGGTTTAGAAAATATTTTTTTAATGATGTGAATCTTTAGAGTTGAAAATTTTCATTTCTTTTTTGTCTATGACAGGGCTGGGCTGTTTCGCGTATTTCACATTTTATTTCGCTTTTTATTTTTAGATTTCGCCCAGCCCTGTCTAGTCCTTTCTGAACCAGATTTTAACGTTTAAATAATTTTTTTAAAATTAATTTAGAGACCATTTGCTCTATCACTTGTATTGCCTCAGCAAAAACCAACACCCGAACAAATTTTAATTTTTCGACAAATTTCAATGGAAATTCTTTTACCTTTACTTTCCTGTAATCGTTATTATATTCATTCAATGCTTACTTTTGCTTCTAAATTGGCTGATAATTGTGAAAAAACAAATTTCCAATCTTATTATTCTACATCAGGAAATGTTCAACAAATTGTTGTTTTATCTAGTAAAATTAAAGAAATTATGTTACAGGTAAATTTGTATTTGTTTTGTATTTTAATATTTGTTATGTTGTTGGTTGGGATTCTTATTTTAAAAATTCTTTGTGTTTTCTATGTTTTGTTTAAGTTCTGATTTTTGTTTTAATTATATTTTGTTGTGTGTTTTGTTTGTGTTTTGCTAAAATTCTGATTTGTGTCTTTTGTCTTGTTGCAAGGTTTGATTTGTTTTGTTGATATTCTGATTTTCAGAATTCTGTTTTCCCATTTCAGATTTTGTGTTCCATTGTTTTATAATAATTCTGATTTGTTTCCAATTTGTGTTTTTATTTTTTCAGAATTCTGTTTTGTATTTTTGTTTGTTTAATTAATTCTGATTTTAATTACTAAAATACAAAACTTCAAAAATTTATTTCTCTTTTGTTTCAGTCAAAATCTTGGTATGATCGTTTCCTTGTAAAAATGACAGGATTTGAAGAAATAACAAATACAAATTGTACATGTGAATGTAAAGAAGAGGATTTTCGTAAATTTATTAGAATACTTTGTTGGAAACAAATGGCACAATTAGTTGATTTAATGGAACTTGCACCTTGTGTTTGTTTGGTTTTTTTAATTTAAAAAATAAATTTTAAAGGCAGGGAAAAATTATTTTAATATTTTGAAGAATGCTTATAATCAATTTATTAAACAACAAAAATCTACAGTTGAAGGATTAATGTTTTCTGGAAATATGCCTGTTTTGAGGTGAAATTAAAAAATGCATCATAATCCTTTTTAATACTTTGCCTCATAAAAAAATAAGGGAGAAAGAGCACAACAATGAAAAAATGGTCAGAAAAATAGGTGCTGGGTACGAAACAGACTACTATTACCGAAAGAAATACAAAAAGGAAAGTCTGGAAAACAAAAATACACAAATCAGAATTTTAACTAAACACAAAAACTTCTGATAAAATTAAAACATTTATTTTTGTTCGTCAGAATTATTTGTTTTGTTGTTAAAATTCTGATTTGTATTTTTGTTTTAATAAAATCAGAATTATTTAAATACAAAAACAAATAAGCATTTTAATTAAAAAATACAAAACTTAACTTTTTTTAATTTTTAGAAGCGTTTTTGGTGCAAATTCACAAAAAGAATTTCAAGAACAAGAAAAATTGGAAGAGGAAGAAAATAATAACAATAATAATAATTTTATTATTTCTTCCTATTCTTTACAAAAAGACGAAAATACACTAAAATCGTTATCTTTTAGATTACTTAGGGTATTTTTAATTTTTTTTAGAAATTTTTAAAATTTAATTTTTCTTTTAGTGTGTTTATCCATTATTGACAGGGGAGAAGATTGTAATTCTAGCTTCCCAACAGCGTACACCTACGGGTATGGATTTGTTAGAGAAGCTTAATAAATTACGTGTTGTGAAGAGAACTGAGAATGTTCAATGGACTTCAGAAATTGAAAGGTATTTTGCTTTTGCTTTATCAGAATTCTGATTTGTGTTTTCAGTAAAATTCTGATTTTTAATTATGTATTTTTTGTTTTGTTGAGGGGTTCTGATTTGTATTTTTCTAACAAGGGAACATCGTTTACTGTCAGTGCGAATTTGATAATTTTTTAGTGCCATTCGATAGAGGACCCTCGACTTACTATTGTGGAGTAATCCGTTTTCTTGTTTCTATCGAATGGTACCAAAAAATTATCAAATTTGCACTGCCAGTAAACGATGTTCCTTTCAAAGAATTCTGATTTTTAATTGTGTATTTTTGTTTTATTGAGGGGTTCTGATTTGTGTTTTTGGTAAAATTCTGATGTGTTTTCTGAAGAAAATACAATTATATTTAATATTTAAATTTTTTTAAAGATTAGAGCAAGTAATAACAGAACATCAATTATCTGGAGTATCTTGTGATAAAGAATTGTCTTTAAATTTAAGTGATAAAAATGCTAAACATGAAATGATTATTATAGATTTAAATAATCATCGGATTAAATGTCGAGAATATAGAGGATTTTTATTGAGACAATTAGCAGGTAATTTTGAGAGATTTTATTTGAGAGGAGGTGGTAGAGGATACTTGAATACCGACATCTGCGGAGAACTTGGGGGAATTTTAGGAAATTTAATTAATTTCTGACCCGTCAAGTGTCATTTACAATAGTAAGGTTGGCGAATCCGGATCCGAAAAAAGGCCGGATATTCTGAAATTTTTGGTTCGGATATCGGATCCGGATATCCGAAGATTGTCAACTATCTGCCAACCTTAGTTTACAAATAATTATTTTTCCTTTAATTTAAAAAAATTTTAGGAAAAAGAGTATTTCCTTCAGATGAATCTGTTATGGATTTTGTAGTTTCAGTAATAACAGATATAAATCAATTATTAATCCTTTCAAAATATATAACACCAGAAGTTGTTGCAAAAAGTTTAGAATTAACAAAACAAGACAAATCAATTCTTTACAATCTTTTAATTGAATTTAATTTGGCAAAGTATATTCGAATGAAGGCAAAAACTAAAGACATTTTAAATAAAATCCCCTATAAATTACTTCCTTTTTAAAGGCTTTTTTGTATTTTTAAGAAAATCAGAATTCTGATTTTTGTATTTTTCAGAATTATTTGACTAAAATAATCAGCAAGAAATACACAAAAATACAAATCTAATTACAAAAAATGTATGTACTATATATTTAAATGTTTAATAATGACTGGAATATTTACAAAAATTAATTGACTATAATTTAAAAATAATTAAATTTTTTATCGTGATTTTTATTATCGATTTTCCCCTATTTTAATAATTAATTTTTATAAACACATAAATTTATTAGCCTTATTGAATTAATTTTTTGTGTTTTTATTAAGGCAAAAATGTATGTATTTTTATTCAACTTCACTAAAAACAATTTAATTTTTTTAGATTATTTACAAAAATAAAATGTTAAGGCGATCGATTTATTTTGGATTAAGATCTCGTCAAGTTTTTCGTCTTTTAGCAAACAAGAATTATTTAAATATTTTGCCTAACATTCAAAGAAATTATGCTTCTGTTGGGGCTGCGAAAAAGTTTGAGTTTCAGGCTGAAATTGATAGTCTTTTGGATATTGTTGCGAAATCTTTATATTCGGATCAAGAGGTTTATTTTAATTTAGATTTTTTAATTTTTGGTTTGTATTTTGTTCAATTTTATCTGTTTAAAGGGGTTGAGGGTTTGTCTATTTTCGAATTTTCCATTCAAGAATCGACAATTTTCTTTACCATTTAAATTCATTTATCTATCTTTTCACTTTTTTTAGGTTTTCATAAGAGAATTAATTGCTAATGCTTCTGATGCCTTGGAAAAGCGCAGATATCTTGAAATGGGCGATAAGGCCGGTCCTGTTCAAGAAATTCCCTTCGAGATACGGATTGATTGTGATGTTAAAAATCGAAAATTAGTTTTTACGGATACAGGTTTTTTTGTCTGAAAATATTTTAAAATTATTTTTTATTTGAAGGTATTGGAATGAATGAGGAGGAATTAGTCGGATTATTGGGTACTATAGCAAAGTCTGGTTCAAAATCTTTCCGTTCTGATGAGGAAAAAGCGGAATCACTTATAGGTATTTAAATAATTGAATAAAATTTATCGTTTTAATTGTCTTGTTAATTCCATCCTGTTCTCTTGGTCAGATTTTCTCCTTCCTCGATTTGCCCTATGGCATATGCAACAGAAGAAGAAAATTTGACCATTTTCTACAATTTTAGGAACGGAAAAAAAGGGGAAGGCTCGTAATTACTATTATTTTTATTATTCTTATTTGAATTTCTGAAGCAAAATTACATTATTAAAGTTGTTGTTGAGTTAGTTTATTTTGGTAATATTTTAATGATAAAGACAACTCTCTAGGCAGGCAATTTTTTACTTTTTTATAATTTCACAGCCATATTTATTATTCTTTTTTACCTAAATTAATCTTTTATAGGCCAATTTGGTGTTGGTTTCTATTCAGCATTCGTTGTCAGGTTTTTTTTTATTTTTACATTTTAAACTTGTTTTAGTGACAAAGTTCGTGTAACAACCCGAAAAGTGGATGAACCAACAGGACATGTTTGGACTTGGTCTGGTGGAAAACAATTCGAAGTTGAGGAAGATTCAACAACCCAAATCGGAACAAAAATCGAATTGTGGTTAAAAGATTCTGAAGCTGCTAAATTTGTCCAAGCAGAAAAAGTTGCTGATGTTATTAACAAGTTTATCTTTGTTTTTTATTATTTTTTAAAATTATTTTTAAATAGATATTCATATTTTATATCTGTTCCAATATTTTTAAATGGAGAAAGAATTAATGTGATGTCGGCCCTTTGGATGATGAAACCAGGCGAAACAACACAGGAAATGCATGATACATTATTCAAGTAAGTTATATAGAAATTTATACAATTCTAGGCCTACAAAATTTTGAAACGATTACGCCTCTGACATTTTGGATTTTTTTTAAATTAAAATTTGACTCTAATGTCAGATTTTTCCATTGATTTTTTGTCTGATTATTTTGTGTTGCTTATTTTAAATTCACGTTACTAAAATTTTATTGGATATAGGGAAAAATGATTTTTTTAATTCTATATTTTTCGTGAATTCCCCTAAAATTTTCTTAGTTTTGTGTCTATCTGCTTTAATTCAATATATTAACTTTAATAATTTTTCAGGCATCTAGTTACAACACACCATCCTCATTTAAAAGATGATCGTCCTCAATATACATTTCAATATCAAACAGATTTTCCAATAAATATCCGAGCACTTTTTTATGGTTTTTTCTAAATTTAAAATTAATCTTTAAATTTTTATTTTAAAGTTCCTTCAAAAAAAGTTTCTCAATTTGAATTTTCTGCTGATTCTCAACATGAAACAGGCATTTCTCTGTATAATCAAAGAGTTCTTATAAAACCAAATGCTAAAGAATTGTTGCCTCGTTTTTTGAGATTTTTGATTGGAGTAGTCGATTCTGAGGTTTTTTTTTAAATTTCTCATCATTGTAAGGCATTGCGAATAAAGCAAGGAGAGCGAATAAAAGAAAAAGCTCGCTACTTTACCCTCTTCTTTATTCTCAACTACTCCCAAGGACTGAAACTTTGAACGACAATAACTCGGTCCAAAGTCATTTTTCAATAAAACGGATGTCACTTTGTAATAGGAAATCGGGAGTCCTCTATCGAATGGTATCAAAAAATATTTCAAATTCGCGATTACAGTAGACGATGCTCCCTTGTCACTATAATTTTCCCTATGTATCTCCTAGTGATGCTCGGGTATCCCGATCCCGACTCCCGACTCGGGAAAATTTCCCGAGTTTTTGGCCTCCCGATCCCGACTCCCGGTGTCAATTCCCGACTAAGTCGGGAAATTTTTACACCCCTAAGAATGAATTTTTCTGACAAAATTATATTTTCATTTAGAAAAAATGAAGAAATCTGACCTCTTGGTCTTCTAAACTTCCCAAAATTTTCGCCTGCGGCGCGGAAAAGGGAAGATTTTTGGCTTAAGGATCTTCCAAAATCCTCAAAATTTTCGCCTGCGGCGCTGAAAATTGAAGAATCTCTGGAGTTGTAGTATAGAAGATTTCGGTGATTTACTAGGATCATGGTGAATTTAAAGAGATAACGAGGGATTTGCAGTAATAAAGAGAGATATCAATGGATGATTAATGTTGCATAGGGGGTGATAATACTATTGAGTGGATATAAAGAGATATGTGGCTAGTATTTTTAGATATGCTAGTATTTTTTGGCTAATATTTTTCTCTGTTTCACTTTTCCTCTATTTCACTCCAATTGAGAGATTCTAAAGACTTAAGGCCAATGACAACAAATATAAATCAAAGCTGGGCTCTGGCTCAAAGAAAAAGCCCCCAGCAATACCCAACACTGATTATCTCTGCGGTTACTAGGTTTTTTGGACAGGCTGTTGGCTTATCTTTCCAAATAATCGGGGAAATAAACTCTTAAGTTACCCTTAAAGATCGTTCAAGACCCCTTTCTATTTCACTCAAATGAGAGTCAAAATTTTTGGCTGCGGCGCAAAAAATGGAAAAAATCAGACTTCTTGACCTAAAAATTCTCAAAATTTTCGCCTGCGGCGCTAGTAAGGCTTCTTTACCTTCCAAAATTTTCAATATTTTTGCCTATGGTGCAAAAAAACGGAATTTTTGGCGCCGAAGGCGCCAAAAATTTTTTAAATTTTTGAAAAATTTTTTATTGCTAATTCCCGACTCCCGATCCCGACTCCCGAGGTCATTTCCCGACCCGACTCCCGTTTCCCGATTCCCGGGTTTTTTCTTCTCCCGAGCATCACTAGTATCTCCATATTTAGAATAAAAAAAATTTTAAATACAAGTTTGATTTCTTTCTTTTTCAGGACATTCCTTTGAATTTGTCTAGAGAAATGCTTCAAATGGATCTTATTATTGAGTAACTAAATTAAAAAAATAATTTTAAATAAATTTTTAAAAATTTTCAGAAAAATAAGAAATATACTTAAAGACCGTTGTATTCATTTTCTTGTCGAGCAACTCAAAAAGGACAGAATTAAATATACTGAATTTTATAAGGGTTATTCTTTATTTCTTAAAGTAAGAAGTTTTCTAAGAATATTTTTATTCTTTTTTTCGTTTTTTAGGAAGGAATTCTGACTGATCAATCAAATCAAACAAAGGTAAATTTTTTTGATAATTTTTAGGTCTTTTTAATTTTTTAAAATAATTTTTTGGCAATACTCTGACGTACATAATTTTTTCCTTTTGTTTATGTTGACGTGTACTAATATTTAATTTATTTTTTGAAGAGATTCCTTAGAATAATTCATTTTAACTGTAAAATACATTTAGGGGTTATTCTTTTAATTTCCTTAATATGTATCCTTAAAATACATTTAACCTGTAAAATGAGAATTAATTATTTCTGTGTTAATATCCTTGTTGGATATATTACCTACATATCCCTCCTTCATTAATTATTAAAAACAAAATTTTTTAGAATCTAGGCAAGACATTTTTTAATTTATAAATTAATTTTTTAGGAAGATATTGCACAGCTTTTGTTGTTTGAATCATCTAATACGCGTTCTGGCACTTCGACTTCTTTATCTGAATATGTTGAGAGAATGCAAACTGACCAAAAATGTATTTACTATCTTTATGCTCCCAGGTTTTTTTTTGAAATTTTTTGAAGGAAAAGAAAAGTTTTTGTTTTTTAAAGTCGTCAATTGGCCGAGACTTCTCCATATTATGAAATGTTTGATAAAAGATTTGAAGTTCTTTTCCTTACTGACCCAGCAGATGAACTTGTCTTCCTTGCAATGCCTCAATTTCATATGAAACAAATTCTATCAATCGAACAATGGGTTAAAGATGAAGGAGTATCAAAGGATGAAAGCAAAGAAGTTACAAGAGATCCAGTTAAAAAAGGTTTGGAAGTTTTTAAAAATATTTTTTGAGATAACATTTGGGGCGAGAGGGGGAAGGGGAGATCACACGGCAAATGTCCAGTTGATGTCCTACCTGTTCGCATATTGGACAGGTAAGACATACTTTTCTTCCTTTTTCCATTTTTTCTTCTTGGAGTGGCGCTCGTTCATTTTTTTCTTATCTTACTTGCTTACATGGCTAAAAGACCCATTTTCGGATAGGACATCAACTGGACATTTGCCGGATCACACAGATTGATATTTGTCTTGGTAATAATATCAGTGGGCCAAAATTTAATTTAGATTGTGTAATAAATGAATTCATTCTACTGACTTTTCATAATTTTTTTATTAATTTTCTTTGCAGAGTTTCTTACCTGGCTAAAAGATTCACTCGGTTCAGTACGTGTTACTGATGTTAAACCAAACACAAGCCAATCAGAACATCCTTTTATGGTTTTTTTTGAAATTTTAAATTAATTATATTTTAATAGATAACAATTTCTTCTGATGCTGGTGCGGCAAGACATATGCTTCGAATTGCTCAAATTAAAGAGGTTAATTTATATTAAACTTAATTTGAGAGAACCTAATCATTTTCCGACAACGGAGGATGTTGTTCCGTCGATGGGGAAGGCTGTTCCAATCACGGGAGGTGTTGTTTTGACAACGGGGAAAAGTTTTTCCAGCGAAAATTCAGCTGGAATAACATTCCCTATTGTCGGAACAAAACCCCACCCATTCTTAAGATGTACATAGATAAGTAACAAAAAATATAGAGCCTGGTGTTGATTTGGTATTTCAAGCTTTAGTTTATCTTATGTAACATCATACCTCAATTTTCATTTCCTCTATGATAGTTATCGGGCTGTTTAAATTTTTTCCCCAAATTTTTCTGGATTGGGTATCCATTATTTTGAAAACAAAAATTGTTTAAAATTCCGTATTTCTATTTAAATTATTTTTTTCAAAAATTCAGATGGAACATTTAGTTTATTTAAATCCAGTACTTCATGTCAACTTCACCCACCCTTTAATTCAAGGATTACAAAAACTTTATAAAAAAGAGCCAGAATTGGCATTAAAAATATCTGAACAAGTTTACGATAATGCTTTAATTTCTGCTGGTCTTTTAAAAGATTCGAGTAAAATGGTTGGAAGACTTAATAAAATTTTGGCTGATTTATTACAATTGAATACTGTTAAATCTTCAATTATTACTCCTTGAAAGTGAGAAAAGAAAGAGTTATTTTTTGTTTGTTTTTTTTTAATTTTTATTTTGTTTTTTGGAAGTTTGAATAAATTTTATTTTTTGAAAATTTTGTTTTTTGAGGAATGTTTTTCTATCATTTTTTATTTTTATATATTAATTTGTAGATTTTTTAAAACTAATTTTTTATAAAAGATGCAACCTCTTTTGCAAGCCTATCAGGAGATGCCCCCGGTAAATTTATTTTAAAAATTGTGAATAGGGGATGGATGGGTTTTATTCCTTCAAATATTTCCCTTGGCTTTAAGAGTAGTTTAGAGTCGGTTAATTTTTTGATCCGACGATTTATTGTCTATGAGCCTTACGTCTCACTTATTCAATCGTTGGTTTATAGGGGTACTACACTTTCAGACGCATCCTCCCTATATTTTTCTCACACTCAAACATCACCCCCTCTTTCTAATTAATTTTAAAAGGTCGAATGTTTTAGGATTTTTTTGAAAAAAGCGGTGAATAATTGTATATTTTATTTTTAAAGGTAACGAGGGCCTACAGCACTGCATGTGTTTTGTGTACATTAGCAGTTCAATTAGATTTTGTGACGCCCTTCCACTTGTATTTTAATTGGCATTTAATTATCCACGAATTACAGGTTTTTAATTTTTTATTAAAAATTTTCTTTTAATTTTTAAAGTGGTGGCGGTTGTTTACTTCCTTTTGCTATTTTGGATCAATTGGATTTACTTTTCTCTTCAACATGATATTCACATATAGGTTAATTTTTAAAGAAAATTTTTCCTTAAAGGAAATGGAGACTTTGAATAGTTAAAAATTGAAGGGGAAAATTATATCTTATCCAAACTTCCTTTCTTTCCCCTCATGTTTGAAATGTCTATAATCACTTGTTTCAGATTTTATCGACTTATTTGTGGATCTCGCATACTTTAAAAAATTATATTCATTTTACTCGGATATAGGGAATCCCTTTTTTGTCCATTTCATGGAATAAATATTTAAAAATTTAAAGGCATTGTTCAATGTTAGAAGAAGGCTCTTTTCGTGGAAAAACTGCCGATTTCATTTTTATGTTTCTTTTTGGATGGATATTTATGGTTTGTTTTTTGTTGTTTTTTTTTTAAATTATTCTTTTTTAAAGATAATTTCTGCCTGTTTCGTTCATTTGGTTTTTCTTGGTCACGCATTCACAATAATGCTTGTATATGTTTGGAGTAGAAGAAATCCTTTTGTTGGAATGAACTTTTTTGGAATTTTCTCTTTTTCTGCTCCATACTTGGTTTTTTAAATTAATTTTAAAATTAATTCCTTTCCGGATTTGGTTAATTTTGTGTTTGACACAATCCAGCAAAAATTCGGGAAATGTTTATTATATACCAATTTGTTACACAACACACCAGATCGGACGGTTACCCCCAGAACCTATTTTCCGAAGGGAGGGGATTTGTCGGCTATTTTCAACGGCTCCAAGGGGGGGCACTCCACCACGATTGGAGTGCTTTGTAATAAGCATGAAAATACAGAAAAAGACAAAATTTGTTGATTCTTCCTTTTTTTATAGCCTTGGGTTTTGCTCTTCTTTTCACTTTTACTTGGTCAGAATGCAATGGTGGATGTTTTTGGTTTGTCTTCTTTTAAAATTTATTCTCTCAAATTTTAAAGGTATTGCTTGTGGTCATCTTTACTTTTTCTTAGAAGATATATTTCCTAACCAACCCGGAGGTTTTCGAGTACTTCAAACCCCCAACATTCTCAAACGTTTATTTGATCCTCCTCCATTGGTACGTATACCTCCTGAACAAAGACCAGGTGGATTTAATTGGGGTGCTGAAGATAACCAGCCTGTAGATAATCGAAATGAATAGAGGGGAAGGTTGTAATGATTTATTTGAAAAAAAAAGATTTTTTTGGGATTTTCGGGTTTTTTGTGGGGAATATTATTTATTTATATATGCCTTGTCGCAATTTTTATTTGTTTGTTGAGGTAATTTTGAAAATTTTAGAAAAAAAATTTTTTAGTGGAAATTTTTATTGGGGGCATTTGCTTAGTGATAAAACAAACAAATAAATTTTTAACTTTGGTTATAAAGAGGAATTATTCTCTTAATAACTAGAGAAAATCCTTTTAAATATTTCTTGTATTATAATTGAACTTTTAACTGTTTTTTTTCTTCTTTATTTTAAAACAGGGCTCCGATCGACAAAATGCCACTCATAAGTATCAAAATCTTGTAAAAAAAGTACATAGGGAGAAAATTTACAAATAAAAAGTACACTCAAAATTAAATTTGAAAATATTTATTCGTGATCAGATATTTTATATTTCTCTCCTAAATTAATCTTTTCTAATAATTTCTTGTTTCAACTGAGCATTTTGTGCATTTCATTGCATGACATGTCAAAATTTGCTGTCACATGAAGCAAAGCTCTGACAGTCTTAACCTCAAGCGAGTTTCTTTCTTTCGTCCATTGAATGTTTGCCATTGAGAAGCGCCGCAGGCGAAAATTTTTTGAAATTTGGAGCCTAAGAAGCCAGATTTCTTCTTTTTCAGCGCCGCAGGCGAAAATTTTAAGAATTTTGGAGGTCCTTAAGCCAGATTTCTTCCATTTTTTGCGCCGCAGGCGAAAATTTTGAGAATTTTGGAGGTCCTTAAGCCAGATTTCTTCGTTTTTTCAAAAATGTTTATAAAAAAGTACATACTTTCAAAAAAGTACAAATTCAATTTCGGAAGTACGAAGGTCGATAAAAAAGTACAATACTTTTAAAAAAGTACGAATCGGAGCCCTGTTTTAAAACATTTTATATTTTTCTTTTGTTACCTAGCATAACCAAATAAATATTTTAGCAATAATATTTTGTTGTTTTTCTTACAAAGTTTATTTCTATCTTTATTTGTTTTAATTTGTTTGTTTTGATATTTTAGGTTTAAAAACATGTTTGTCTTTTTTTGAACACATAAACATGTTTCAAACAATGTTTTGTTAAAGAAAAACATGTTTTTAGTATCTAAACATGTTTTAAAATGTTTTTAGTGTATAGAAAAACATGCTCTAAAATGTTTTCTATTTAAATAAACTTGTTTTGTTTTAACAGATTTGTTTAAATATTTTACTTTAAAAACAAAGCATATAAAATGGAATGGGAACAACAAGAAAATGAAGAAGCTTTAATTTATGATGGCGGAAATAAAGCAAAATTGTTTGTTGTAGATTATGGGGAACATATGTTTTTGGAGGGGGAATGGCGTTTTCGTTTAGCTTTAAAAGTTTACATTTATTTTTTAATTTGTCAAAAAAAATTTTTTAAAGGCAGTTCGTGATCAAATAAATAAAATTTGTTGTATGGGGGATTTAAGTGAATTATGTTCTGTTATTTTTGTAAATACAAGCAATTCAAACAATACACACAAAATTGACTGTATTTTTACTGATAAAGAATTGGGGGTAACTGATGCTGAATATGTTAAAAAACTTGATGAGATTATCAATTGTGATAATTTAAAAGAATTTCTTTTACCAAAATTGGGTGATTCTGGTATGAGTAATTGGGCAGAACTTTTCTTTTTGTGTCAAAGTATGCTTACACACTCGTATGTTTTTATATGTTTTAATGTTTGTGTTAAAATAGGGAAGACATGTTTGTCTAAAACTTAAACAAACAAACATGTTTTAAACTTTAAAGGAAAAACATGTTTTTAAGTTTTTCCAACTTGTTTTAAATAAACTTGTTTAGTTTATTAGGTTGTTTAAAAATAAACTTGTTCTATTAAACATGTTTTTTCTTAAACAACATGTTTTAATCAAATAAACATGTTTTATATTTCTCTAACTTAAAACATGTTTGTTTTTCTTTTCAAAAACATTTGTTTGGCAAACATGTTTTAGTATTTTATTTGAAAATTTTATTCTTACAAACATGTTTTTGGCTTAAAAACATGTTTTATTGACTAATTAATTTTTTTATATTTTTAGTGGTAAAATTTTGCGAAAGAAATTACAATAGTTACTACAGACAAGGAACAAATTGATGAAGAAATTCAGGTCGAGTTTTAGAAATATTCCTTTTAATTTTTTGTAAATTTTTTAGCAAAGTTGTAAAAAACGAATTTGTTTGGATATTAAATTTATTGGGACGGAAATTAAAGTTTTGTTAATTGAAAATAAAATTGAAGAGAATGAAGCTACACAATTTTGGGTTAAATTAAATTAAATAATTTTTTGTTAAAATAAAATTTATTTTTAGAAACAATTAGATCCAACATTTTCTCGTTTTTCAAGTTTTGAAGAAATTAGTAAACAGTTAAGAGTTTTTTTTTATTTTTTTAAAAATTTCTTTTAAGTTTTTTCTTTTTCAAAAATTATTCATTACGTTCAACTACTTCACTACCTTTTGATCTTGGGGATGGTTTAAAATTAGCTGTTGGATTATATCATTTAATTAAACCCCAAGGAAAACCTGCAGCAATTCTTATGGATTCTGAAACAAATGAAAGGTCAGAATTGTTTTTATAATAAATCAATGCCTCATATATTTTCTTATATAAAATTCTGATTAATTAATTAAAAATTCTGATTAATTAATTACAACAATAAAAATGTACCAGAATTTATTGTGTTTTTGTTTTAATAAAATTCTGATTTGTTTGGTTTGTTTAACAAAAAATCAGAACTTAATTTTAAATAACCAGAATATTTTGTATTTTATTTATATCAGAATATTCTTGTGTTTTTTATAAAAATTCTGATCAAAAAAATCAGAATTTTTAATAACCAGAATATATTTTTCAGAATTTTTATTATTTCAGAGTAGAATGCAGAACTCATTATTTACCAAAAGAGGATTTAGAAGGAAATTCAACAAAAGACGGGGAAGAAGAAAATAATGGAGAAATACAGGAATATTTAAATAATGAAAATTTTGAAGGAGAAATTAATTTTTCTAAAAATGTTGGGGGTGTTAATGTTGTTTTGGATAGAGAAGAATTGGAGAAATTGAGACGATTTGACCGGCCTGGTAAAGAAATTTTTGGAAATTTTTTTAAATTTATTTAAATTAAGGGATAACAGTTATTGGATTTAAACCTTTACATTTATTAAAGCCTTCACATAGAATGAGCCCAGCAAAGTTTATTTACCCTCTTGATGATGTTTGTATTTTCTTTCCTTTAAAAATCAGAAGAAAATGTGTTTTTCCTTAAATCAAAATTCCCCTTCTTTTCAGTTAGTTTCTGGAAGTTCTATTCTCTACAGAGTATTATTAAAGCAATGTTTGGAAAGAAATCTTTTTATACTAGTTAGATATACACAAAAACCAAATACAACACCTCAAATTTGTGCTTTAGTTCCTCAATCAATGGGAGAGGGAAATGAAGGAAATGTTTGTGTTTATTTAATAAAAATCAGAATTTATTTAAAATACAATCAGAATATTTTGTGTTTTAATTATAAAGTTGTATTTTAATAAAAATCAGAATTTATTTAAAATACAATCAGAATATTTTGTGTTTTAATTATAAAGTTGTATTTTAATAAAAATCAGAATTTCTGCTTGTATTTTTATTGAAAAATACATTCTGATTTTTGAATTCCGATTTTTGTGTTTTTAAAGAAAAATACAATCAGAATTCTGATTTTTGTATTTTTATAGCAAAAATACATTTTTTAATAATTTTCAGAATTCTCTTAGCGAACATTTATATGAAGGATTTCATTTACTCGAATTACCGTTTACTGAAGAAGCTAGAGATTTGAGAGCTTTTGATCGTTACAAACCCCCACCAATTCCAGCTAGTGTTATTTGTTCCTCTGAAAATATTAAAGAACAACAAATTTTGGCGGCAGAAGAATTTGTTGATAAATTAACGACTCGTTTTGAGCCTGATCAATTTTTTAATCCAATGTTACAAAGACATTACAAAACTGTTGAAAGTGTTGCTTTAGATTTGGATGTCGAAAATTTTGCTGAAGAGGCAGAGAAATTGGACAAAATACGTAAGTCCTCCAAAATCGGGAATTCTCGACGTTTTTTGGGTCGGGAATCTAATTTTTGTCGGCTAGATCCCTGGTTTGTATATAACTAAACTCACGAAAAAACCTTATTTACTATTTTAATTTTAAAGAGCCATACTTCAAAGTAGAGGAAAATGTTAAAAGAGTAGCCGCTCAAATAGCCAAATTAAATGATTTGTGTAGTGGAAAATTAGATTTAATTAATGAAGAGGAACCTGTTAATATTAAACCTAAAAGAGGGAGAAAGAAAAAAGATGTTGAAAGTTAAATTATATTTTGTTGAAGGGAAAGAATCTAAAATACCTTTATTTATTTGAAACATTTTTTGAAATTTGACAAAAAATACAAAAGAAAATAAAGCAATTTATTTAAAGAAAATATTAAAATTAAACGAGTTCTATCTACTACTAAAATTCCCTAAATTTTACAAGAAATACATAATTATTGACCTAAGGACGTAAGTTAACCCGAATTTTTTGCAGAAATAAGTGAATAGTACATATAACAAATTAACAAGGCTGTGCAGATTCTCGTTCCCCGTCGGTTCTATTTTTCGTTCCTTCCTTTTTCCGTCTTTAAATTTTCCGTTTTTAAATTTTGCTCAGACCTTGTTAATACATAATTCCTCCTAAGGAAGTTTCAAGAAAATTTTTGGGAAATTTTTACATTTGAGAATAAATAAAAGAATTAGATAATTTAAAATAAAATATTGACCAGAGAAGAATTTATAGAAAATAAATTAAAATGATACTTTAACTGTTAGCACCTCCATTGGTTCCATATTTAATTTTCCGTTGTCATTTGAGGTATCATTTTTTGTATCTTCTAACAAAGTTAGGGTTCCTTTATTAAATGACTTTGGCGTTTGGATGAAAATATCCGATAAATTGAACTCTCCTCCCTTCAAAGTATTTACTCCACAATTGTTATCATCAAGAGAAGAATCCAAAGTACATTCAATTCCAAATCTTCTCAATACCAAAGCAGCCTCATATTTTGGAGAAGTATCTCTTATTGTGTTTCTCAATCCATAAATTGTTGACTCGCTAAGTGTTCGAAAAGCGACGGGGTGAATGTCACAAGGGAATGGATTTTTAAGGCCAGAAAATGAATTTGTAGGCAATGAAGCTTTAAAAATGAATTTTTAATTTTAGAAAAAAAAATTATTAAAAATTACTTTTTTGGCTAAAAAGAATAATTGGTGGATAGAGAAGTTTGAGAGAAGCATATTCTCCTAATAAAGAGTGAAATCCAACAGTGTCATTTGAGACAGACCTCGTAGCAGTAAATCTTTCAATATTTAAGAGAAATTGGCTTTCTGCCCTAATATTGTCATCTACTGCCTGAAATTTTTTTAAAATTTTATTTTAAAACTGAGAAATTTTAAATTTAAAAATTTAAGTTAAAAACAAGGAGGAAACTAAATCGGGTTTACTTACAAATTAGGGTTGTTGGAGACCAGTTAATTTCTCCCAGTTTAGGCTCAAAAGTAGGGTTGCCGTTTTCGGTAGAGCCGACGCTAGGTGCATTTTCGAGCTTAGTTTTTTCCGATTCGGTTCGTTTTCGAGCTGAAAAGCCTCGACTCGCTCTATCTTTCGAGTTTTGGTCGAGCAAGCTTGCAACCCTAGTCAAAAGCTCTTATTTTTCTCTTTGAGCCGCCACAGGGAAAAACTAGTCGGTCGCCAACAACCCCATTACAAACTTGAAAAAACTAGAATTACAATCAAAATTTAAAATTCCCACGACTCACAAATAAAATTAATTTCAAACAAAAAAACCTGTCCAAGTCCCAAATCATCATCTTGTAATAATCTACGGTCTAACATTACTTGAATTTCGCCTATAAAATTTTTAAAATAATTTAATTAAAATATAACCCAATTCCAAACTAGCAACACCCAAAGCTTGCCTTCCATAAAGAGAAACACGAATATCATTCGAATTTTCAATAAAAGCAGATCCAGGCATTGGGTAAAAATGGGCTTGGAGAGGTAAATTATTTTGTTTTCGACGTCTTATCATCTTTTTTTGTTAAAATTATTTTTTTTAATTTAATTAAAAAAACCTGAAACCCATTCAAATCTGTATAAAAATTGTCTTGTTTAATTGAAGGAATTTTAAGTTTCATGGCTAATTCAAAATTTTTTGAACTTTTAGATGATTTAGATAACCAAGAAGATTCCATATTGACATGATTTAATAAAGTAAAGGTTTTTGAATTTTTATCCAAAATTAATTGGTGATTAATTCCGAAATCTGGGGGACCTTTAAATTAGAGATTTTTTTAGAAAATAAACATAAGAGCTAAAAAGGGGGTAAGAGAATTGAAGATATAAAATCAAAAAAAATTATTGAAGCCCTAATCCTGCACAATCTCAAAATCATTCAAAAAATATGTCAGGGATTTCAGCCAACACTTCAAGACAGGCTGTCATTTCAATAATTTTTTAATTTATTTTTTATATCGAAAAATGTACATTTTCACAAACAAAATAACCCAAATGACAAAAAAAGATTTCCCCAAATTAATTAATTCAATAATTAAATACCAACCATTTACAAAAATATATTCTCTAACAATTCCTTTAACAATTACAAATTGATTTTTATTTGATTCCAATTCAACAGCTGGGCCGTCAGGAAGGAAAAGGTAAGCTCCAGACAAAGAATCGCCTCCATCCGTTCTTGCTTTAAAATTAAAAAATAATTTTTGAAAATAATTTTAAAAAATTACCGGGATTTTTCCCTCTCGCCCCATAACGAACAAAAGAAAGAAAAATATCCAATTCTTCCCCATTATTGTCTTTAATGGACTTAAAAGATTATTTTTTGTTTAAATAAAAATTTTTAAAATTTAAAAACCTTAAGGTAACCAGTTATTGGATCGAAAAATGATTTTATGTAATTATTTGACAGATATAATTGTTGTTGATTTTCTTTAATTGAGGTTAATTCAAATAATCTAGTAAAATTTTACTTTAATTTTTTTCTGACAAAATTAATGTTAAAGTTAAAAAAGAAGTGTTTATAGTAAAAATATTAGGTAGATTGAAAAGTCGGAGATAAGGGTTTGTCTTAAATTGATCCCTCTATATACCAAGAGCATAGCCAGGGGGCTTCTAGGGCTATAGACCACCCCCTGAAATGGGGAAAAGGAAAAAATACTGGGCAAAAGATGATCGGAAAAATGAGATTTTTCCGCTTTCAACCTTCAAATTTCAAAAATTTTGTCTATATGAGCAACAAAATCTGTGTTCAAAACGCCGAAATACCAAAATTTTGGTGCACTCCCTGAAACCCGATTCTCTGGCTACGTCCCTATTATATACTGCTAGGATGCTTATGATTGATTCCTGAACGAGTCCCAAAAAATACAACCCCCAATACAATTTAACAAAATTAAAAAAAACCTACCTCGATTCAATATTTGTTTTAAAAGTTTGTAATTTAACTTTATTTTCAACATTTTCACTTTCCAAAACATTTAAAGTAATTAATCCAAAAGGGGGTAATTCAACTTCAAAACAAAGAGAATATTTGTCTTTATAAATTGATAATTCCTTTAAATTATCCGTGTAGAAAATTGGTTCTAAAATTTAAAAAAAATGAGTAAAATACGGAAGGAAAGAAAAGGAAAAATACAAAAAAAATCAACAAAAGAAAAATGTATTTTTCAAACAAATTCTGATTTTTTTTGTGTTTTTAATTTGGACCAGAATTATTTACAAAACACAAAAAATTAGAATAAATAAAATCAGAATTTTTGAAAAAACACAAAAATTAAAAAAATGTATTTTTCGAATAAATTCTGATTTTTGTGTTTTTAATCGAAACCAGAATTATTAAAATCAGAATTAAAATGAATCAGAATTTTAGCTTAAATAATGGAATCAGAATTTACAAACTTAAAATAAATCAGAATTTCTGAAAAAGAAAACAAAGCAAAATCAGAATTTCCTCATTCAAAACCCCCTTACCAATTTGTTGTAAAATTGTTTTTCCATCATTTCCAACAATTTTTAATTTAATATTATTTACATAAATACAAACAATTTCTTTTCTAAAATGTCCAAGTGAATTTGTAATAATTAATGTTGACTCTTCTTTAATAATTATTTTCTCTGCCAATTTATTTTTAAAATGTTCCAAATCAATTTTGAATTTTTGTTGTTGATTGGCTTCTTTTGGGGTAATTCCCAGAAGAAATTCTGATGACCTTGCAATTATATTTTTTGTATCAGAAAGGGCTTGTGCCATTCTTAAATTGAAAAAAAGGTTTAAAAAACTATTTAAATTTTTAGGTAAAAATATTGTTGTTGCCCTTGTTCTAAGGATGCCAGTTCCGGTTCAAAACGGTCTCAGGAACAGTGGAACTAGAGTTAAAACTGTTCATAAATGAGCATCCCTTCAGTCCAAGAAATCGACCCCGAAACTCGATTCCAAGAAATCGATTTCCAAGATTAAATTTTTACTAAAAAAACTCAGTTTTAAATTGGGATTTTTCAAAATAAACAATGGAACCGTTCAGATTCTAAAAAAACTTTAAACAAATCCCTACTTTTCTCCATAATCATCCATTACATGTGACTTAGCCGTGCCAGTTACCCCATCATGGTGTTGAAAAAGGCTAAGGGCACGTCTTGCATTGACTATACTGTTGTAGAGTGTAGAAATATTTGTTGGCACTTTTTTAGAAAAATAATTATTTTTATCCTTTGTTTAAATTTTTAAAAATTTTTCCTTTTTTCCCCATTCCTTTCTCCTTCCTTTAATCATCTAAAAAAGACATTTACATACTTTTTCCCTTCCAATTAACCAAAGAAAAGAATATATCTGCTGCTCTTAAATAATGTTGTAAACTTCTATCCAAATGTTTATAAAAAGGTCTAGAAGTAAAATAACCACTCCAATAATGATCATCTCTATCAGAATAAGTAAAGAAATCTCCAGATAAAATAGGTAAAGGAGAAGGAAGTCCTTCTCTTTTTCCCTTTTTGCCAACATTATGTCGATATTTCCCTTGCTCTTTTTCAATCAAATTTTCTTCTTCTTTTTCATTTAATCGACGTTCTAAAACTTCAAAATAATTAGAAAGTGTCCCAAAACGAGCATTTATATTCCATTCACTTTTTGAATTTATATAGTCGAAAAGTTTTTTGTAATTTGTATATTGCTCTCTCCATTCTCTTTCAATATCATATCTGAAAAAATATTTTAATTTTTAATAAAAAATTGGTTAGGGAAGAATTTTATACATAACACTTTTTCGGAGTTGCAGAAGTTTATGAAATATTTCTTACAGAGTGAAAACTCATCTAATTTAAAAAATCCTGTAAACTAGGGTGCGAACTAACGGAAAAGCACCGATTTTACGAAGAACGGGAGTTCCCCAAGAGTGGGTTGCCACTCTTGGGGGCCAACGTCGACTAGTTACTTGTTCAAAAGGGGTTAGGATATACTAACACTAATAATTTAACCTAAAATCGTCTCCAAGTGGAACCAAAATTGTATTAAACCCATATAACTGTGCTTTTTTCCTGTATTGATCAGCAAGTAATTGAGCACGTTCCTCGACATTTGTGGGCGTAATTGGGGATGCATCAACGCCCCATGGACTGAAAATTGAGATAAAAATATATAAATATTAAAGAATTACCAAGTTAAAAGACCTCTAAGTCTTCGAAAATCAAATTGACAACAAATCTGACAAAAAAAATTGAATAAATAATTAAATAATTGGGTAGAAATAGTTAGTACTCTAAATGGGCTTATTGTTAGGCTAAAAAAGGACTTCCAAGAAGGATAGGATTATAAACAGAATTTTCAAGAGTTTGCTCCTAAAGATTCTATCCTGATAATATTGAAACAAAAAATAAAAAGTTTTAAAGAATCCAAACTCCATTAAAAAATCAAAAAAATTTTTTTTAAACCTTCGGATCAGGCCCACAAGAATGAGGAGCATCATATGAATAAAAAGGAAACCTTTCAAAATTAATTTAAATTAATTTTATATTCATAATTTAGTACATACATATGTGTAATAATATCTGTAGAAGTTGACTTTCCAGCAAATAATTGCCTCCAAATAAATTCTAATTGCCTTTTTTGTGCCAAATATTTTTTAACAGAATAATGTACTCTTTGAATAGCCATATGTGTAAAATTAGAACGATTTAATAAATATGCCAATGTTGGGCTTAAACCAAAAGGATCGATTGACCAGTGATTGCGAGGTGTATAATCTAATAGTAAAATTTAAAAGGAAGAATTTTGGATTCTTATGCCTTATTTAGAATTAGAAATAGTGTTTGGAAATTCAAAATTTGTTCGCAAATGTACTTCGTATACAGGGCCTTATTTTTTCTTGTACTCATATCTATATAGGTACAAGTCAGGGATCTAGCCGACATAAAAATTCAATTCCCGATTTTCGGGAATCGGGACGGCTAGATCCCTGGTACAAGTACAAATACTAACAAGAGAACATTCCGAACTGTATGTGAAAATTTCGTAAATTTTTTGCACCATCATGTAGAGATGGTCCAAAACGAATATTTATTTTTTTGGCCCTGACCACCATTTCGAAGTTATAGGGGTCCAAACTTCCAAACACTGATTATGTTGTTCTAATTCAGACCCAGTTAGGTTATTCTAACAATAAGGGTTAGGTAAATTTTATTTTTAAAAAATTATTTAAAATAGCAAAAATAACGAGTAGAGAACCAACACTTCCACAAAACAAAAATGTTATCAAAATATTTTTAATAAAAAAACCTCACCCAATTGATTTTTCAAAAATTCGTGTCCTTCAAATAATTCCATAATAATCGAATAATAATGAGCATTAGCTTCATCAGTCATTACCCACCCTCCCGTCACAATTTCAAATTGTCCATTAATTAAAAGTTGTTTAACTTTCTCTCGAATTTTGTTTGTTTGTTTAGACCACCAAAGTTCAAAAAAACTTATTTCGGCAAAAATAAATTTTAAATCTTTATTTTGAGTTAAATGAGTGACCATAAAATTGAGAATATTTTGGACTTGATCTTCGTAATATTTTTCAAAAGTTTTTATCCAACCTTTAAAGAAAATTAAAAAAAATTTAAGGAGCTAGTAATATTTAACACTCGAAATAAAATAGCATTTGCAAGTGGTCCAGAAGTAAACCTTGATAATATTGAACCTGACAGACCCTATTTTTCCTTACCAAGTTTCTTCCTATATATCCACAAAATGGTAAGACTTTTCCTTTCTTCTATACCAATTGCCTTTCTATATCTTGCTTACAAAAAATCAAAAGGAATTAATTTTTATTTCCTCATTATGCAAGGAAAATGGGGATGGAATAAGGGAAGAAGTCTGATCATTCTGCAAATATATAGGAAGAAACTTGGGATGAAAAAATGGGCTCTGACAGGTGCAATATTAATCAAACCTTTTATATTTTGATTTTTTATGTAAAATGAGGAATCCTAAAAATATAGGACTCTTTTCTTATTTTCAAAAAGTCATTCAGAAAAAATCAGAGTAAGTGTGATTAGATGAAAGGCCAAAAATAAATAGTAAAAAAAACCTGGATCACAATGAGAGTGTGGAATAACAATAACTTCAAGTCGTTTTTCTTCTTTTATTTTTTGATGATCATAAGTAATTGGCCATCCCTGCTTCCAAACACCTCCATTTGGGTTATCGAAAGGCAGAATATCATAAACTGATAACATCTAAAATATTTGGGGAAAATTTTTTTAAAAGAATTTTTTGGCTGATTTTGTTTTGCCATAAACAAGGGCGTAGCCATAAACGCCAAAATTTTGGCCCACACCCAATGTTAGCCCCTCCCTCGAAATCAACCCCTTTGCTACATCCTTGGCCATAAACTTTAAAATAAACCTGAACATCGCTAACAGCATTGTGCGCCAATGACTGATTTTTAGCAGAACAAAATTGAAGGGAATTATTGGAAGAAGTATGTCTATTAATCTAAAAACAAAATTAAAAAAATAAAAATTTCAAACAAAAAAACCTTTTTACTATTTTCATTTAAATCCTTTCCCCCTCCATCATTATTTACATAAAAATCTTCATTTTTCTCTTCTTTATTTTTCGAATTTTCAATTTTTGATTCGATTTTATTTAATAATTTTTTATTATTTTGAGCGTCTTTATTTAAAGATTCCAAACGTTCTTCCAATTTTTGTATTGAATTATCATTCTAAAAAAATTTTTTTTAATTAATTAAAACATAAATTGTGGTAAAATTAAAATTCTGAAAAATACAAATTAAATGCCAATAAATAAATACTCCATTTAAAAAAAATGGATACACTTGGGGGAAATCCTTTGCTGAATCGTCAATGAAAATTAGACCTTCCTTGGCTTAACCAACGACCTCGGAAGTTTCAATCCCGACGTCCCTGGCAGTTTCATGCGACCCCCCCCCCCCAACATAAGTGATTTTAGTCTAATTAAATCGGAACTAAAAAATTAACATAATTAAATCAGTACATGAAACCCTAATGCAATATCCTGAAAATAAATTACGTGACCTAGCCCAAATAAATCAGTTATGCGAAATCTTGTCCCCGAATTTACCAGAAAAAAGTCTATAAGTCGACAATTCTCAAGTTTCTAAATTTAAATTTATAATTAAATGTAACTAACCACAATATTAGACTCTCCATAAGTAGCCTGCCGTCTTCTCTCATTCGAATCAACTTTTATATATAACATAATACTAATAATTACAAACATTCCAAAAGCCAAAATAATTGTTGATTTTGCAGGAAAAGACATTTTTTATTTTTAAGGCTAAAAACAAAATTCAGAAAATATAAAAAACTAATAACTAATAAAAAAATTTTTTGAATAAAATATCGACAAATAAAAAAAGCTGTTCTAATATTCAAGTAAAAATTATTTTATTCTTTTAACTTAAAAAAATTGTTAAAAGTTGAAAAAATTAAAGCAATTTTATCACAGAATAAGCTAACTCAATCTAGAAGTTATCTGAATCTGGGTAATCACTCGGCCAGGGTAATAAAAATCGTCGAAAAGAGGGTATGAACTTTGTAGTATGAAACTTAGTATGAAACTTTCAGTATGAAACTTTGTTCAGTGGTTATTTAAACTATTTTTAATTTTTACTACATATTTAATGTTAATATTCTGTGATTTATTTTTTAAAAATAATTTTTGATAAATGTATAAAATAAAATATATGGCAGGCAACTCAGTCTATTTATTCATCAACCTCATCATCCTTTCACACTTCCCCTTGAAAATAAATTTTAGATGCTAGTTCAACATCATATTGCTTAACTAAATCCCCCAATTCCTTACAACATTTCAACTTTCCCTCAGCCAACCATTCTTCAACAAGCTGTTTTTGGCCCTAAAAATAAAGGAGAAAGATTAAAAAATATTTAAAATACACTAACCAAAACAATTCGACATATTTCCAACGACTCCCATTTATTTAAAGAGTCTTGTTCTAATAAAATTTGTAAATATTTAAGAAGAGGATAAGTTTTTTGGAATTTTTGTAAAGTTTCAGGTGTTCTAAAAATATTTTGTGGCGCTGTTAAAGCCATTTTTGCAGCTTCAGCATAATTCCCATTTTTGACTAATAAATCAAATTTGCGGAATAAAAGTGTTGTAAGAGTATTTTGAGGAGCTGCTGCAGCCATTTTTGAAGCTTCATGGTAATTTTCATTTTCGATCAAAAAATCAAATTTGCGTAAAAATTCTTCATCCAAAACGTTGTCACTAGAAGCTTGGTTGACTACCTTCTTATCATTTTGAACCTCTCTACTGCTGCTGGAACTCATCGGGGTCTGCACAGGAAGAACGTCACCCAATGACTTCAAAGAAGTCTTCAAATCATCTTCCCCACCATTTTGTTTATTATCTAATTGCTCGTTAACTATTTTCTTTGCACATTTCTCCTCTTGTATTTTCTGCTTGTTCTCAGCTTGGGTTGCATTTATTAAATCAGAACGACCAAAAATAGTTTCTGTCTAAACAAAAAACATAAATTATGAATATAAAATATAAAAATAAACGTTTTGTGGTGGATTAGAAGTATCAAAACCCTTGATACTCGACATCATCGAAGCCTTTTCAGGAACCAATTCCTCCAAAGACTCCAATGGAAGGTTTAAACGAGATGCTAATTTGAGAGCCAAATCATGGTTTTGTAATTTTTCGGTGACGTAAGGAATGATTGTTTCTTCATCCACACAAAAAGAGAGGACCTTAAATTTATTTGTAATTATATTCATAATAAATTAAACAAAAACCTGCCCATCTCTATTAATTCCAAGAAACCCATTATTATGTTCAGTTGTAATAAAAATTATAGTTGGCGAAATGTTAACCGTGTATACCAAACAGCCCGTTTCAATCTCAAACACAAAAACATTTCTAGATCTGTCAATAATATACGATATTCCATAAGTTGAAGACGCCTAAAAAAGCGAGGTTAGACAATTTTAGAAGATAATGTCCGAGATTATTTATGGCACTTGTAAAATTGGGGAGACTTTTAAACAGTGCTTGAATGTTTGTACCAAAATTCGTTCCAAGCACTATTGGTAAAGAGAGGTATTTTAATTTTGAACTTTTCTTCATAAAATTATACAACAAAATTAATTTATTTGAGGACAAATTTTAAAATTAAATAAAAAGTTACAAAACTTTAAAATAAAAACTCCTTTTTATATTTAATCCCTCTTCTAAATAATTGTAAGACAAACCTGCATTGAAAGAGGAAAGTCTGAAGCAGCACAAGCAGGATAAACGAAATCAACAGTTTTCTTTAAGTATGGCTTGTTGCCAGTAGGAGTTTGCGAGACTTCCATAATGGTCAACTAATTAAAGTTTATAAAAAATAGAAAATCCCTTCAAATAACCTTTCCTTCTCCAGCAGCATTACGTAAAGAAAAACAAAAGAGACTACTTGGATTTGGATTCCCCTCCATTTTTAATTGAACAAAACAAGCAGCATGAGCCTCAATTATTTGTGAGGTCTTTGTCTCTGTGTTATAAATTTGTATTGACCCAACACCTCCGCAATCCTATTTTTAAATTAATTTTTATAAAATATTTATAAAGGAACTTTTGAAGGAAATCCAAAAAGAGCGAGACACTTTTCATCAGAAGTAGCTCGATAAAAGGTTATTGCACCATTCTGTAAAGGTGCACGATCAAATATTTTAACAGGTTCATCCTTACCTTAAAAGACATTTAACATTAAATTCAAAATAAAAAACCAGCAAGTGCCCAATGATACACAGAAGTCTCTGTCACAAATCCAATAGTATTTGGATTAATCCATGTCAATAACAGTATATCTTCTGCTGCATGGTAAGCTTTTAGTTTCATCTTTAATCCCAAATCGAATATTTGCAGGGCTTTACCCACTAAAACAAAAAATTATTAAAAGAAAAGAAAGTAACGATGCATCATAATGATGCATCGAAAAGAAAGTAATGATGCATCATAAATGGATGCATCATAACTGAGTCGGCACTAATCGGCTTTCTAACAAAATCAGCAGGGTTAGCAACATTTATAGTAACGACATTCCTTTCCTCTTTAACGACGATGTACTTGTCAGATTCCATAGTCACATTTCCAAAACAGATATAACGAGGATTGATTTTAGCATTTTTCAACTAAAATAGAAGAAAGAAATAAATCCAGTAATTAGCAAAGAAACTTACAGAAAAGAGTTCTTGAAAACGTACAGGCATCAAAGAAGTCATTTTATTTTAAATCTAAAAGAAAAAAAATTTATTCAGATCAAATAAAATATTTTAAAAACACTCGCAAACTGCAAGTGTATTTAAAAGGATGGATGATTCATCTAGGGAGTATTCAAAATAACTTAGGAAAAGGTTAAAGATTAGGGAAGACAGAAAAAGCAGTTTCCGCCTTTGTAGCTTAGTCGATAAAGCATCTTTAAATATTTAAACAAAGCAATCAAAGGTTCGATTCTTTTTCGGTGACTAAACTTGTATTTTTTTAATATTCTGGGTAAATACCTTATGTTAACAGGGGTAAAAAAGTTTGGTTTGAATACAGGGAGGAGAATGCAACGAGCAAAGTTAAAAGAAGAAAAGCGGTTAACTATAAAAGGATTTTTGAACTAATTTAAGCATAATAGGATGATAAACTTGGGAATATGGTTTTAGGGAAATTAGTGAATTTGAACATCAAAAGGCTTAGGCAAAAATTAACGCTGTTTGAAGCTCAATGACTTTAGTGGATATAATTAAATTAATAACCTAAATATTACCAAAATATTAAACCTTCAAAGTAGCCTGTTGTCTTTCCCCATTAGAATCCATACACCAAATACAGCTTCTCCAAAAAGTCTTTGCCGAGGTGAAATTCATTTTCTTATTTAGTCGGGAAAATAGTCTAAACATCCAAAAATAATTATTTAAATATCAACCAAATATTCCAGCTAAAACAAAATTAAAGAAAATTAATATGTCCAATAAAATAAGACTAAACAGAAGTTAAACAAAAATTCAAAACTTTTTATTTATAAAACAATAAAAATTGGAATTTACATAATTATATTGAAAGAACTTTAAAATTAAAAAAACACGATGTTTAGAAAAATTAAAAGGGCAGCGAAATATTTTCGGTCATTTTTCTTGAGGAAAAATATTTGGTTGGACAGGAAGGGATGGCAAATTAATATAAAATTATTTTTTTCTTTTCTTCTTTTTATTTAAACAGATATTTCAACTGGACATCCTTTAAAAAAATAATTTTTTTCGAAAATAAAAAAAATAATTACCATTAATTAGTCTCGATTTGAGAACCTAAAAAATAAAAGTTTAATTACTCTATGTATTAATGTTAGAGATAATTTCCAGAAAGGATTTATTTAAAGGCAGAGAATGTCTGGCAGTCTCTCATGTAAACGTGCAGTATTTCACTCTCTAATTTCCGGAAGCGTATACTCTAACACTTCCGGAAAAGTGTTAGTGATAATTTCTGGGAAAACTTCTAAAAATGTTTTATTTAAAGGTAGAGAAAGAATGTCTGGCAGTCTCTCATGTATATGTGCAATATTTCACACTCTAATTTCCGGAAGTGTATACTCTAACACTTCCGGAAAAATGTGTATATTTATTTATTTGCTTGTGTATATTTCAAAACTTTCCGGAAAACTTTTCAGGTTTTAATAAACTGTCTAATTCTCACCCCATTCTCCGTTACTTCTACTGTCTCTTCTCCATCATCCTCCGTTCTTAAAAATGTATTTTTAAAAATTAATAATACAAATTATAATTTCTTCACCTTTTTGTTATAATCCTTTTTCCTTAAAATAAAAAAAATATATTTTTAAAAAATATTTACTAGAATCTCTATCTTATATCTGAAATACTTAAATAGGTAATTCTAGTCTCAATTTAAGAACTCTAAAATATCCCCCAGCATTGCCTTTCTTCAAAATCTCTCAAATATCCCCCTTCCCCCACTCTATCAGGCATCCCAACCTCCTCTATATTACCCACACCCTCTTATAAAACCAATTAACAAAGAGATAAGACAGAGAGAGATTCTCTTCTAAAAGACTAACCATTAACAACACGTGTTTGTGTAATTGTCTTTTTTAGCTTTTTTCCAGGTTCTTTTGTACTTGTACTGAATCTAATAACTGTAGAAAATTCACTAAAAATATAAAAATTAAATTAAAGAAAAATTTAAATTTATTCTCTTTACCAATTATTTTCGTCTTTATCTGTTGTAAATGGGCCAAATAAATTTGTTGTGTGTCTTCGTCTACCTAAAAATTAAAATAAATTAAAATACTCCTTGGGTTATTAAAATAATAAAGGGTGTATGTTAAATAGAAGGTTTCTTTGATAATAATCCTAAACTGCCTCGAATGTTCGCTAGACTTTTAAATATTTTCTCATCTATAGTAATCTAGACGAAACTTTAAACAAGAGGAACAGAAAAAAATCGCCTATACAGAGGGGTCCATTATATAGAGGGGTCTATTGTATAGAAGTATTTTTAAAAGAATTCTACATAGAGGAAATATTCGCTTATAGAGGGATTTGTTGTACAGTTGCGGAATTATAGAAAGTCTATTATATAGAGGTTTTCTGTGGTTGACCAGAAATATTTTTTAAGAGATCCCATTTACACTCATAATTTTTATCAAAAAATGTCTCATTCCTCACTTCTCATTCCTCCTGCACCACTTTCCCGTCCAAAGCCAAAAAGAGGTGAATGAAAAGGATCAGCAAAAGGATCCCCAAAAAATTCACGAAAAACATCAAAAGGGCTACGAAACATTCCACTAGGGAAGAAATGATGATGGCCATCTGCTGGTGTTGTTCGTCTTCTTTGATAATTATTGTGGTGGTTATTTGTTGTTGGTTTAGTTAATCCGTGTTTGTCATATTCTGCTCGACGCTTTCCTTTTAAATAAAATTCTGATTTTTTAAAATAATTTATTTTTAAAATCAGAATTCTGATTTTTGAACAGAATTCTGATTTTAAATTCTGATTTATTAAAATTAAATTCTGATTTTATTTATTTATTTATTTATTTTCCTCCAAAAATTTTTTTCCTCCAAAAATATTTAAATATTACCATCAGAAAGCACTTCATAAGCCTGCGCAATTCTTTTAAAATTTCGTTCAGCTCGTTCTTTCTTATCCGGATTTTTGTCTGGGTGCCATTTAAGTGCAAGGCGTCGATAACTAAAATTTTAAGAATAATCAGAATTATGATTTTTTTATTTTCTAATTTTTAAAATTCTGATTATTTTAATTTTTCGACAGTCAGAATTCTGACTATAATTCTGATTTTTTGAATCTAAATTCTGATTTTTTAAATAAAATTCTGATTTTTAATTATTATTTCTTTTTCACACAAACTTACGCCTTTTTAATTTCTGCCTCTTCCGCGTCCCTCTTCACCCCCAGCACACTATAAAGACAATCAGAAATTATTTTTTCTGGCCCATTAGTATCGGCATTATTGTTGTTTTTACCTTCATCATTTGAATTAAATTTATTTTTAGATGAATTATTTTTGTTGCTCATTTAATAATAGCGGTTAATAAAATTGAGGAAGGGAGAGGAGAGGAGAAGGAAGAAAATTTATAAAAAAAATTATTTTTGGGGGTGTCCTTAATAAAAAAAATATTTTTTTTTTCAAAAAAATATTTTTAAATATTTTTTTTTTTATTAAATATTTTTTTTTTCAAAAAAATATTTTTAAAGAAGTAAAGGGAAAATTGTGTAAAAATGTTTAGGTAATATATTTATTTATATACGAGCGTTCAGGTGCCGCTTCGCGGCACCTGAACGCTCGTTCAAAATTTAAAATGAGTGGTCTTAAGAAAATCATTTGTGTCCCCTGGCTTTTTTATTCTATATATTTTGAAAAGTAAATATTTTCTTTCAAAGTTTTTAGGTTTTGTTTTTTTCGCAAAATGTGGGTAATTTTGTGATAAAAAATTTTTTTAGACTTTTAGTCACTGCAAAATTGATCTATTTTAACAAATCGAAATGCGTATGTTTTTCTATTTAAATATGCAAAATTCTTTTAGCATTTCAATTTTTGCCTATTTTTTGCTATTTAAATTAATTTTTTGGCGAAATGTTTTTTTTGGTTTTTCTCTTATTTTTAGTAGAGCTAGGAATTTTGAAAAAACCGGGACCGGGTCCGGGAAACGGGTTCTGAAAAATGGACCGGGCGGGAACCGGGTCCGGGAAACCGGGAAAACCCGTTCCCGGTTTCAACCCGGTCAAAAATGACCGGGTCCCGGCCGGGAAACCGGGAAATTTTTAATTTGTTGAAATGGAGGTCTATTTTTCCACATAGGGCTGTATTTTTCATCTATCCTCCTATACTTATTCTAAATAACCTCTATTAATGTAAGTGAATGCCATTCACGATTATTTAACTCAAGATCAAATTCCCTTTTCTGAAAAATACGTTCATCGACTGCTGCCTTTTGTTCTTTCGTACTTGGGATTAATGAAAAAATTCAAAGAAATATGTACTACATATGTTTAAATTCTTTCTAAAGCCCTTATATGTTGGCCGAGTGGTTGTTATGTGTTAGTTCCTTCAGAATCCTTAGATATCCCTTTTAATTCTTTTTAATCTTATTGAACTAAAAATTCTTTGCGCCATTTTTTGCGCCGTAGGCAAAAATTTTGAGAATTTTGATAGGCCTTAGCAGAAAAGAATTCAATTGTCAGAGCTGCCGGCGAAAAAATTTTTCGAAGTTTAGATGTAATGAAGCCAAACTCTTAAATTTTCTGCGCCACAGCGAAAATTTTGGAAAATTCATGATTTAATTGAAATTTCTAATATTTTTTCAAAATTAAAACAGTAAAAAAATTTTCAAATTTGAAATCAAAGTTTAAAATTATTTATTTTTGAAAAGAAAATTTCTCAGCCCCATTTCCATACATGGACTCGAACCCAATCCCTATCAAAATAACTAGATGAGTGAAGTCAGTCAACTTAACCACTCAACCATCGACCAACAAAAGCAAAATGGAGAAATTATAAATATTCCTTTCCCTTTTCCTTCAAAAATTTAATATCAAAGTACGCAAATACACTAAATATTTTTCCCGGTTTCCCGGTGAAAAAAAAGCCGGGACCGGGTCCGGGTAACGGGTTTTGAAAAATGGACCGGGCGGGAACCGGGTCCGGGAAACCGGGAAAACCCGTTCCCGGTTTCAACCCGGTTGCTTCAAAAAAACCGGGAAAAGGGACCCGGAAACCGGGAAACGGGTCCGGGTCCCGGACCCGTTCCTAGCTCTAATTTTTAGTATAAAAGTTTAATGCTGAGTTAAAATGGTCATTTCTTTTTGTTTTTAAAAATTTTTAATTTGCATATTTTTTATTTTAATTCTTCCTTGTCGTGTAAATACTTTCTTTTTAATCGATTTTCTTATGTTTTTAATTTTATTTTTCTTCCTAAACAAAAAATGTTTTATTATTTATAAATGCATTATTTATTTATGTTTAATATTTTTAATCTTAATCATTTACATTTGCTTTGTCTTAAGAAATTCGACTTTCTGGTAATATATGGGTTGTAATGGGAGTACAATTTTTAATTGATATAACATTTTCGACTTGTTTTTTAAAGAGCGTTTATATTGAAAAAGCGTTGATACTTTTTTGGGTTTTTCTTTTTCTTAAATCAATCATTTTTCCTCTTTTAATAATTAGAGCTTTTTCTTTTCAACTTTTTCTTTTTAATATGTTTTAACTTTTTTTTAATTTTCAAATTAACTTTCTTATTCTGGGGTTGTCTATTTTGTCACGAACCATTTAGAAGGGGGCAACCCTAAAGGTCTACTCCCCCTAGGCCTAAACCCTGTGGCCCTTCACCTTGTAGACATTCTGACTCTGAAGACCTATACACTGTTGACTTTTTTACTCTGAAGACCTACAACTTTTTGATCAACTCGTATTTTTTGTTTTTTCTTTGCATTTTAATCGATGTGGGGTTAAAAGGGAAAAAAGACTTGTAGGGATTAATGGGATATCGGGTGGATCTAGAGGGGTTATTCTTTTTCTTTTTTTATTTTTGACGTCCTTTTATTGATTTTTCAAATTTTTTTTTTTAAAATATGCAAAGCAAGTTTTCTTTTGTGTGTATATTTTACATATATATATTTTAATCGATTTTTTTTCAATTTGAAAGTAAAAGATACTTAATTTGTTTTTTCTTTTTTCCACATATTTTATTTTTTATTTTTTGAAGTAAATTTAGTTTTTTTTGCAAGTTTTATAAATATATTTTTGCTTTTTAATCTTTAAAATATTTTTTCCGTATTAATATTCAAACTTTTTTTATACAAAAAAACTTTTTTATTATTTTTTGAAGATTTTTAACTTTTTTCCAGAAACATTTAATTAATTTTTTAAATTTTAACATTTTTGTTCGTTTTTTGCTCAAGTTCAATTTTCTTTTTATTCTATTAATTTTTCTAAATCATTTTTAATAATTTTTTAAAAGCAAAAAAACTTTTTGATCCAGCGTGCTGTCCTTTGTGTTTTTTGGGAACATTTTACTTTCGTTTCAAATTTTCCTGTTCTGTGAGTTGTGGGCCCGACCTTTTTTGATTTTAGTAAGTGTTTTGGGTCATTGATTGGTTAAGTATGTATTAAGTTAAATATTTTTTCTGTTTTGAAAAAATTGTATTTTCTTTCTTTTATAATGTTGTTTAACTTTTTTTGCTTTTATTTTTATTTTCTTTTGTTCATTTTTTAGGTTTTTTGTCGAATGCAAAGAAGTTAAAAGGGAAGGGGTTTTGGTATTGTTCTGGGCCAAGCTTCATGTTTGAATTTTTTTTTCTTCAAAAAGCTTCTGTTTTGAAGCAATTTTATATTTATTATCTATGTAAACAATATTTTTTCAAAATACTTTTAGGCTAGCGTTTAATTTTTAAAATTTTTTTCATCGTTTTAATATTTAATTGTTTTTTTTTTATATGTTCCTTTTATTTCAAAAAATATTCAACCTTTAAACAATCCTTTTACGTTTTTAAAAATGCTTTCAATTTTCTTTTTATTTTGTTTTTTTAAAATTTTATCTTATTAAGACTTTAATTTTTAATTTTATTTGCCTCTTTTTTAAAAAAAAGTAACATAGTTACAAAGTCTCTTTAAAAATAAAAGTAAACACAGTTTACAAAATTTAATAAATCTTGTTTTGTTTAATATATTTAAGGATACTCTAGATCCAAAATAGAGTATTTCAGTTTTTTTTCTTCTTCCTTAATAATTGAGTTTTTGTCTTCTATCTTTAATGTAAGAACTCCTTCTTAATTTTTTTTGTTTTTTTAAAACTTATTAAATTAACCTTCGTTTTTATTAATAGTTGTTGATTCTAATATAAATTCATCATTTTGATTAAATATTATAGTATTTGGGTAAAAAAATTGTGCTTTATTTATACCGTCTGTTATTATGGTGCCATTTGTTTTTGTTTTTGTATTAATTAATGTAGGCTTTTTAATAATGCTCATTCTGATTTTGCCTAATATTTTTAATTTTGTTTATTTATTTTTTGTTTTAACAATTATTAATACTATTTTGTCTTAACTTACATTTTATTAATCCCGTAATTTTTTCAATATCTTTTAAACAATTAATTTCTTTTTGCTTTATTTTTTTTTCTTGAACTTCTATTTTACTATTGTTTGTAAAATTAAAAGCATAAAGTTCTTTTCCAAATCCTTTTTTTGTAGTTACATTTTGTAATTTGATTATTACATCCTTTAATTTTTAATCTTAATTTATTTTTAAATTTTACTTCTTTTCCTGCTAATAAGAAAAAGAGTAATTCTGCTAAAATATTCCACCCTGTAATTTTTGAAGTAGAATTATTTATAAGTACTGAAACATCAAGAACTTTTGCTTGATATTTATTTTTAACTACAACTGAGCGGACTTCTTTTATTGAAAATAATTGCACCGCAACATCTCTAAATTTTTATTTTCTTTAAAATATATCAACTTTTTTTTAATATTAAGTTATATTTTATTTATTTTTTAAAAAATTTTTTGCTTTTAAAAAACTTACACAGAATTGTCTATCTGTATTTCTTCAATACTTAAGGGTTTAAATTTATCATCAATTGCAAATTTTTTTTTTCAAAAAATCAAAATAAGTTTTTTCTGAAATATCTTTCATTTCAATATTACCCTTAGTAACTAATTCAACAGATGAAGTATCTCTTGAATCTAATTCATAATTGACACTTCCATAATTGTAATTATTTGCAACTTGTTTTGCAGTAAAATTTTTAAAATTATATGTTTTCATCTTAAATTATTTTACCATAAAACTTAATTATTTTATTTTAACTACCAAATATGAAGTTCCAAATTCAGTTAATATTCGCTCATAATTATTATTCCAAAATGTAATATTTACGTAATCATATATGAAATTTATTTATTTTTATTTCTAAAATTTAATATTGAAACAAACCCATCTGTTCCAACTATAGTCCAAACAATATGTTTGTCTTTAACCATTCTCACAGCATCATTAGTTATAATTTTTAATTTTATGTCACTTAAAAAATCAAACTTAAAAACTAAATTAAGTTGCTTTAAACCTTTAAAAATCATTTAATTTTTAATCCCTATTTAAATTTAAAAACTTACATCATTGCTTCACCCAACTTAATTGATTGAAGGGGTGATTTTTTGCTTTTTTTGGGGGCACTTGAAGATTCCATTTTTTATTAAGAATTTTATTCTTAAGTTTATTTTTTATATTTATGTTTTAACAAAATATACTTTGTCTAAAATTTTTCTGATTTAAATAGTTGAAAAATGTTTACTTTTATTTTAAAAGTTAATTAATTCTTTTGTATTTTATTTAATTTTTGTGTTATTAATAATTTTAAGTAAATACTTTTGTATTATTTTGTAAATATATTTTGTTTACGTTTTCTTAAAGTTTTTTTAAACTTTCTTTTATCATTTTTAAAAGTAAAAAACGGTTTATTTTTTGTTAAGGATATTTTCATTAAGCAATTTTTCAATGATTAAAAGGTAAACAACATTTTTTTAATCAAGTGGCGATAAATGTTTATTTTTTAAAATGATTTTTTTAAATAATAGTTTTTTTTACTTTTAAAAAATTAAATCCAAAAATTCGTAATTTAAAAAAAAATTTTTTGTTTTTCTAAATTTTATTTGTATAATGTTATAACACTTCCTTCCATACTATATTTTTAATTTTATTTTCATTTTCATTTAATTTTATTTTTATCTTATTCCATGATTTTGCTCTTGATAATGCTACATAAGTTTGTCCGTGTGAAAAAGATTCTTGGGTAAAATCAATTCCTATTTTTTCAAATGTTTGAGATTGACTTTTGTTTATCGTGAATGAAAAAGCTAATTGTACAGGGAATTGATGACGTTTTAATATGAAAGGGAATTTTTTTTCTTCAATTAGGGTAATTCGAGGTATAAGGGTTTGCTCTCCAAATTTATCACCGCTTATTATTTTGCAATTTAACACATTTTTTCCAATATTTGTAACTTGTAATCGTGTTCCGTTACAAAGACCTTCACTTAGATTTAAATTTCTTAGAAGCATTATTACGGAATTAATTTTCAATGTAAGTTTATGTTTTGGGAAATTAGCACAATTTAAGGAATTGAGAATTTCAGGTGTAATTTGCAAAGTACTATTTTGTTCAGTTTCATCTATACTTAAAAAGTCATATTGCTCACCAGGAAATTTTTTGATGATTTCTTCATTATATTTATCTACAATTGTATTAAAAGGCGAAAGGATTGCATAATTATGAATCTTTTCAAAATTATTTTCTTTAATTTCTTCTTCAAAAATTTCTTCAGCTAATTCTTTTTTACAAATACTAATTGTAGGAATAGTTATATATTCGCTTTCTTCTTTTCCGTCACCGATTTCAATCAAATTTTTTGCAAACTCTTTCTCATTTTTATCAGCTCTCATATTTTCTGTCAATTTCAATTTCAAAAAACTATTCCATAAATTCGATTTTTTAATAGTTAAATCAGTAATTTCAGATCTTGTAGCAAATTCTTTGATCGGCAAGCACTGCCTAAAATCGCCACTTAAAATGAAAATTTTTCCTCCAAATAAAAATTCGTTTTTCATTATTTCTTTTAATTTTTTATCAATTATCTCTAACAAATATCTAGATGCCATTGGAGCTTCGTCCCATACAAAAATTTCTGTATTTTTTATTTCTTCTGCTTCTTTACTATTTAGTTCAATATTCGAAATTGAATTTTTTTTAATGTTTAAAGGCAATTTAAATCTATTATGCAAAGTTCTTCCTTTTTGTAATTGTATTGCTGCTATTCCTGTAAAGGCCATATTACAAATTTTTTTATTTAAACTTCTTGATAAATGATAAATTGCTCTAAGTACAAAGGATTTGCCTGTTCCTCCTGGTCCATCTATAAAAATACACTTTTGTTGATCTTTTTCCAATATAATACTTTCTAGTTTTTCAATAATAATTTTTTGGTCCTTATTCATTAGTAAAATTAATTGCTCCTTCTTTGCGCATTCTTCTTTTAAATCAAAAATGTCTTCTTCTTCAAAATTATTAATTGAATTTACTAATTGGGGCATATCGCTATAATCTTTCAAAGATTTTTCTTGTACTTTTAGATTTTGGTCAATTAAAAAAAGACACATTTCTAAAAGTTTCTCATAGGAAAAATTAAAATACTTTTTTTTAAGATCTTTTATCATATGATCTTTAAACTTTTCCCATAATTTTTTTGGATTTTTAGGTGTACAATGAATTAAAATATTAACAAAAAGTATTCTTAAACCTTTCGGATGTTTTCTTGAAAAATAACTTGCTTCTTCTAAGCATTTCTCCCATTCATTATCATCTTTAGCTAAACCTCTAGCCAAGCATGCTTTTGCAAAAGTATCATATGTTTCTCCATTTACAGTTTTTAATTCATTGAAACTTTTAGCAGATACATTTAGTAATAAATACCTTAAATAATATTTTTCAATGTCAATTGGATTTACTGGATAAATTCTGCCTATTTTATTAAATTTTTTTATTCTAGGATATTTCCATTTTTTAGTTTTTTTAACCCATGTACAATATTTTGGCATTTCTATATATTTTAATTTTAAACTCGGATTTTCTGTACAAAATTTAAAATAAGCTGTTAAAGTAGAGTCTTTTTCTGAAGCTTCTTGTATTTCGATTTCATTTGCATTTTGTTGAAAGTAAACATTTTGCATTTTTTCTAAATGAATATCTAATTTATCAACTGAATGCGACTTTCCCTGTAGAGGAAACTTAAAAATGCGCCAACATGCTTCACATGGACTTAAGTATCGAGCTTCTAAATATTTACTTACTTCATCATAATTTAAAATTTTTTGAGTATTGTCATTATTAATCTGAACACATTCGATTGTAGCTGCATCATATCCCTTATAAATATAATCATATAAATATTTCACAACTAAAACGTCACTCACTCTCTCTACATTAATATGTGCGCGAAATGTTTTTAATAAAAAAGGATTATATGGGACCACGTATTGATTTGTTAATTTTTGTCCTTTTTTATAAACAAATCTATTATTATTTGGTCTTTTATAAAGTGGATATCCATCTTCTGTAATTTCAGTTACTTCTCTAAACTGTTTTGGAAAATCTTTAGTACATTTTTTTCTTTTTATGTCCCAACATATAGATTTTTCTAAACACGGTCCATGCATCATAAAAGTGGAAACTAAATTATAAAGTTCAGAATCTTTGTTTCTATCTGGTATTTCTGCACTTATAAAGTTGTCAATGTCGTTAGTATTATGCCATTTATCTTTTTGTTCTAATGTTATTAATAAATGAATATGTGGTAATCCTCTTTTCTGGTATTCAATTACCCAACAATAGCCTATCACTTTTCCAAAGATATTTTTATTTAATATAAGTTCTAATAAATATTTTTTTTTCAAATTAAATACTCTGGTAACTATATCTGGTCTATCTGACGCAGTTTGATCTTTAAAAAGGCATTTTAATATATCAGGGTCATTTGGGTTACATGTAAAAGTTATAAATAGATCAGGTTTGCCCGTCTCATTAACTATAGCCATCGCATCCATAAAATTTTCATGCATACTTCTTGGACCACCAATAAAAGTTGAAGGAAGTATTATTTTCTTTTTTATTTCAGCCTCACTTTTTCCTGCTTTTTGTTTTAAAAAATCCTCAACATTCGAATAATTACTACTACATAATTCCTTTTGGTGCTTTTTAATATATTCTAATCTTTCCCATTCTACTTTTGAAGCCTGATCAACAATCCACTGTTGAAATAATTTTTTTGAAAAAAAATGTGGCATAAACTTATTTTCTTTAATATATAAGAAAAAATTTACGTAGTCACATAAAGTTATTTTTTTCGAAAAAGAATTTTTTAACTCAAAATTATGGCCAAAAGTTGAAGTTGGATATAACAATGGGTAACACATCGGTTCTACGCATTTATCCAAAGGATATAAATTTTTTAATTTTTTTTCTGTTTTTGGATATACAACAATATTTGCTGGTGGAAAATCATTATTGGCATCGCTTACTAAAATTGCACAAACTTCATTACTTATAGGAATATTGAAACGTCTTTTATCATAATTTTCTTTTAGACTAAAAAGTAATCTTATTTCTGGTATCTCAACTCCATTTTCTAGATAATTTTTTTCATATTCAGTATAGACATCCTTCATTAATTTATATGATTGAGCAAATTTATTTTTTTCTCTTATTATTTTTTCAATATAACTAATTATATTTGAATCTAAATTTGTGTTTTGTTTAGTTATTAAATCAATTGAAGTCGAAGAATCTAAAAAATATAATTGTCCGTTAGTTGGTAATTCATTACTATTAAAAGGTTTCGCACTGATATTAAATTTATGATATAATTGGCCTTGAATTTTATAACATGGCGGACCCGGTGTCGGAAAATTAAATTTAAAGCAACTTATTGAAGCACATGCAAAAGCATTATTATACTGCCGTATATTATTTATAAAATTTTTATTATAAGGATGACTTTCATTAAAAAGAGATTTTAATTCTTCTGGATATTCTTCTATTTTATCGTTTAGAGCTTTTAATTTTCCCTCTTTACAGCAATTATTAAAACAAAAAGATTTAGAGTGATTTGTCTTAATTTGTTCTTCTTGAAAATGAATAGCATTACATTCGTTACACAATATATTAAAGTTGCCTAGATTATAAAATTTAGCTAACTCATGTTTTGATGCTTTTTTTTCAGTTTTACTATAGAAAGAATCATCATCCTTATCCAAATTTATATAAAGATTCTTATAATTAATTTTTCTCTTTAATGAATTTTCATTCCGCTTTTCAAAACCGGAGCTTTGAACCGGATTAATTCTGTTATCGTTTTCTATATTTTCTAAATTTGAAGCCAAAACATTAGTAGTTGCAATACTTATTATTGAAGATGAAGAACATGGCAAATCCTGTTGAATTAATTTTTGTTTCTTTCTAACCATTTTTTCTTAAGTTTCTAAAAACAAAAAAATATATTTAAAAATCTTAATTTAAAAAATATAACATTTTATTCTTTTAATAGATCTGTTTGTTTAAGAAATGTTTTGTGAAAAGCTTGCTAAAAATTGCAAAAAGATTATTTTTCTTAAAATTTCACTTTATTAAAAATATTTTTGAAATTTAAAAGAACAAATTATATGTAGCAAAATAAACAATTTAATTTTTTCTTCAAAAATTTTAAAGAGTTAATATCTTATTCTGAAGAATCTATTTTGATCATTTTGTGTTTAAAAATCGGAAAGTTATCATCTTTTTGAACTATATAATTTTTAACTTTCTTAATAAAACATTTTACTAAGTTTCGAATTTTGAAAAACTTTTTTTGACTTTTTAATGATAATTTTACTTTATAAGAAGGGAAAAAATTACGGTATTTAAAAAAAAGAAAACAATTTTTTTAAAAAAAATGCAAGTAATTTATTTTGATTTACAAACAAAAATTAATTCTTGAAATTTTAAAAATTCACTTTAATAAAATAATTAAAGATTATTTTATACGTAAGGAAAGTTATTCAAACAATAAAAAATAAAATACATGATAGTGGAAACGTTTTGCATTTTTTTCAAGACAATGTTTTGGTTAGATACGTATATTTCAAAATTTTTTTTCATCGTTTTTTGGTAAATATTTTGATTTAAATTTTTAGTGTTTTGAATTTTTTGTTTTCCTTTCTCGTGACCGCACAAAAAACCCAAACCATAAAAGAGCCATAAGGCCAGATTTAAATCTTTTGTAGAGGGCCTCCTTTCTAATTAATTTTTAACCAACTATTCTTGAACTCTTGTCTCTGGCCTTTTCTTGACTTCGGTTGTGTAAGTGTGTTGAAGTCTTTTGTTTGTCTAGCACAGCCGCATAAGTAAGAGAACAATTTTGCGGCTGTGTTAGAGTATTGTGAAGAGGTGCAAAGAAGGAGAACACTTATGCGGCTGTGTCAGAGAATTTTATACACTTTTATTTTTTACGTCTTTTGTACATTTTTCTCTAAACTAACAATGAAAATCTTTCGCTTCAAAATAAATTCACTTTTTAAAGCCAAAAAACTTGTAAACAATTATATCGTTTTAGTATAGTTAATTGGACCTCAGCTGTCTATAAATGAAAACGATGACAATTGAACAAAAATTGGTTTGAGGAAAAAAGAAAATTTATATTTTAGCAGTATAGCATTAGGAAAAAATAGTAATAGTGGGTAATTTACTGTCCATTTTACAACCTCTGACTGGCCGAAAAGGGGGGGGGGAGAGAGAAGGGGAATGGACATTTGGTAAGAATAGACCAAAGGAAGGGGGACTGAAGAAAAGAAAATTCTGATTTCTGATTAAAATTTTGTCAGATAAAAAATATTTTTGGGGTTTCTTTAATAAAAAAAATAATTTTTTTTTTCAAAAAAAATATTTTTAAAGAAGAGAAGCGCACTTTGACCATTTTGTCTTCTGACTGATAGTTGGCCGTTGGTCTCACACCTTTCTTTATTATTTATTTTTCATTCTCCCCCAAACCAGCATTGGTCATTTATTTTCTTTTCTCCGTTTTATGGCCACTTGGCAAAAAGGGAAAAGGAAGGGAAGGGGGAGGGGGGGGGTAAATAAATAAAAGGGAGAGAGGGAAAGTTCCCCTCCCCGCCTAAATTTTCTTTTAAAAAGATTTTTTACACAAAATAATCAATTTTTATATTTATTTATTAGCTTTTCAAAGAAAGGTATAATAAATAAATGGTTAAATTTAGTAAAGTCTTTAGTAAAGCCTCAGCTGTCTATAAATGAAAACGATGACAATTGAACAAAAATTGGTTTGAGGAAAAAAGAAAATTTATATTTTAGCAGTATAGCATTAGGAAAAAATAGTAATAGTGGGTAATTTACTGTCCATTTTACAACCTCTGACTGGCCGAAAAGGGGGGGGGGAGAGAGAAGGGGAATGGACATTTGGTAAGAATAGACCAAAGGAAGGGGGACTGAAGAAAAGAAAATTCTGATTTCTGATTAAAATTTTGTCAGATAAAAAATATTTTTGGGGTTTCTTTAATAAAAAAAATAATTTTTTTTTTCAAAAAAAATATTTTTAAAGAAGAGAAGCGCACTTTGACCATTTTGTCTTCTGACTGATAGTTGGCCGTTGGTCTCACACCTTTCTTTATTATTTATTTTTCATTCTCCCCCAAACCAGCATTGGTCATTTATTTTCTTTTCTCCGTTTTATGGCCACTTGGCAAAAAGGGAAAAGGAAGGGAAGGGGGAGGGGGGGGGTAAATAAATAAAAGGGAGAGAGGGAAAGTTCCCCTCCCCGCCTAAATTTTCTTTTAAAAAGATTTTTTACACAAAATAATCAATTTTTATATTTATTTATTAGCTTTTCAAAGAAAGGTATAATAAATAAATGGTTAAATTTAGTAAAGTCTTCCCCCCCCCCCCCCCCCCCCCCCCAAAAAAAATAAATGACTAATAAATTGGAGTGGCCTTGACGCTGAATGAACGAGCAAAGATTTGTAAAATTGTGGGGGAAAGGAAGGGGATAGTTTCTATGCAAAAATAATTTTTTTTCAATTTTTGCTGTTTAAAAGTTAAAAAAACTATTTGACAAATAAGTTGCGAACAAAAAAAAAAGATTTTAATTTAATTAAAAAAGAGTATCATTCAGTAACAGGAATTTATGTGAATTTTAAAGTTTAATGGGAGTTTATTAACTATTTTTAGTTTAGTAAAAAATGAACTTGGAAATAAACATGAAAAAAAATTAAAATAAACTTTTTCAACCGCAAGATTTTGCAGTCATTCTTTAAAGATTGTTAAAAATGTTCAAAACTTTTGCTGTTAAATTTTGTAAATTGGAAATTTGTAACCATTTTTAATCCAAAATTTTTGAACCAATAATTTGGAAATTATGGAGATGACTTTAAGGAACATAAAATTATTCAATCACAAATATAAATTAATATTTTTAGTCAATTTATTAATCAACGCCCAAAAGTTAACGCGCCCAAACACCAAAAATAAATAAAAATTAAAGTAAAGCACAAATTTAGTCTTAAGACAAATTCCAAAAATAGAATTAAAGAAAAAAAAATCTGGCCAAAAAACAATTTAGAAAAAAAAAATTTTAGTAGACACTACCACTAATTTATTTCCTTTTTCTGGGAAAATTAAAAATAAAATGCTAAATAGTAGTTGTCAGTTACAATCATTACAATTCTTCCATCTTTTCCCTTTCATTTCCTTCTTTTATTTAAAGCCGCCCTTTTACATATTTCCTCCTTTTTACCTTTCAAATTTTCTACACACATTTCCTGTCTTTTTAAAAATACTCGTAATAAGCGGTTGTTTTGTTTGTGTATATTACTTTGTTTTTGATAAAGAAATGTTGTTAAATAAATAAATATAGAAGGTAGACCACCTCTAAACATTTTTAACTCGTTGCAAATGCAAACAAAAGTAATATAACCCAACATCCAAAAGATAGAAACAGAGAAAATCAACTTGTTTAAAACAACAAAAACATGTTTATTTAAACAAGTTTAATAAGTTTTTAAAACAAACATGTTTGTTAAAACATTAAAACAAGTTTATTAAAACATGCTATAAAAAGGGTGTTTAGAATAAAGTTTTATAAACACGCTCAAAACAAGTTTGAAAATGTTTTTGATTGTTTAAAACATTTAAAAAGAAAAGTTGATAATGTTCGTGAACAAGTTTTAAATGTTTTTATGTTTTTAAGCATTTTGGTTAGTTGTGAATAGGGTTGCCGTTTTCGAGTCGGGCCGACGGTCGAGTCATTTTTTTTCGGGCTTGTTTTTATCGAGTCGGGCCGGTACGAGTCTTTTTCGGGCCTGTTTTTATCGAGTCGGGCCGATACGAGTCTTTTTCGGGCCTAACCTTATCGAGTCGGGCCTAAGTACACTTTACTGGGCGATTTTAGATTTTTATGATTTATATGCCAATCGAAAGAGCTCGTCGAGCTGAGTCGAACAACACCAAAATTAGCCCGCGGACTCAACTATGAACCGAGATATGGGTCCCCAAAAATCGAAAAACCATAGGGGGGACCAAGCACTTTTTTGGGGGTAAAAAATTCGAATACGCAAATTATACCTCATTCGAAAGAGCTCGTCGAGCTGAGTCGAATGACATCAAAATCAGGTTGATTGTAAAAGTTTGGACAAAGTTACAATAGAAAAACAAACAACATAAACCTATGGGGCGTCGGCGAGGCGCTTGTGCAAAACCCCGCGCTTCGCGCGGGGTTTTGCGGCACGTGCCTCGCGGGGAGTCTACGGGCGCTGGGTCTGGGCTCGTAACATAAACCTATTCCTATCTCCCTTGCTCTGGACGTATTTGGGGCCTCCGTAGCAGCAAAAATCTCCACAGATGCCATAGGTAAGGAGCTAAAATAAAAGATCATAACTTTGTCCAATCAAGTCGGATTTCGTTGATTTTGATGTCATTCGACTCAGCTCGACGAGCTCTTTCGAATGAGGTATAATTTGCGTATTCGAATTTTTTACCCCCAAAAAAGTGCTTGGTCCCCCCTATGGTTTTTCGATTTTTGGGGACCCATATCTCGGTTCATAGTTGAGTCCGCGAGCTAATTTTGGTGTTATTCGACTCAGCTCGCCGAGCTCTTTCGATTGACATATAAATCATAAAAATCTAAAATCGCCCGGTAAAGTGTACTTTAGCCTCGAGTCGGGCCGGAACGAGTCACTTTCGGGCCTGACTTTATCGAGTCGGGCACCGAGACATTTTCGAGTCTTTTTTTAAAAGATTTATTTAATAATAATTAGTGGATTTGGAGGGATATCTGTGAATTAAAAGGTATATCGATGGATCTGGAGGGTAAAGGAAGGGCTGAAGAGATGGATATCAGTGGATTTGAGGGATTATCTATATATAATAATAAAAAGGCACTCAGCTAAAAAAAAGTCCCCAGAACTTTTGAGTGGGTGTATCGGGGTGGGGTTTTTTGCTATAGATGGGAAATTTAATGTAGTTTTCAGGAAAAATCCGAAAAGTTGGGGTCAAGAAGCGAATTTTTTAGATATTTTGAAAAAACGTGTTTTTTCGAAACTTTGAAGTGAAATTTGAGATGAAAGATAAAGTCGGGGGAAGTTGGGTCAGTTGAGAGGGCACATCTAGAGCATATTTCGAATATGATAGAAAAAGAGTTGAAGTCGTTCTGACAACTTGAAGGGTAGATATGCTGTTTACAAGCTTTTATGTCAAAGTGGTAACCTTGAATTTAAGGTGTTTATCGACGAGATAGGAAAAAGTCGTTGGGAGAAAAGTTGTAGAGCGTAGTGGGTTTCTTAAGAAAAAAGTTGGTTTCAAGTTGATTGGATTAAAGGAAAAAAAGATACGGAGCAAAAAGTGCATTTTTGAGGAGAATGTATAAAGTTGACCTTAACTATATTTTGTTTTGGAGTTAAAAGAAAAGTGTTGGGAGATGGAAGATAGAGAATTAAATTCTGCATCGAATAAGCTTTGTTTTATGCTTTTTCGACTTTTTTTTGAAAAAGTTATGAATTTTTTAAGAAATTAAAATTTTGGGGAAAACTTTTTAATTTTGACGATCTAGACCGTCCGATCTGGAAAGTTAGGCAACGGTGAGGTGTTTTTTGTAACTTTTGAAGTAGTTATCGGAAAAATATGAATGAGGTGTCATTCGACGTGGAAAAATCAGGCGAATTTTTTAAAAATATTTTGGAAGGGGTCACTTGAGTCTGAGTGTGGTATATTTGAGTCTGAAGGCTAAAATCAGTGGAAATTAATTTTAAAAATTCTAAAAATTAAGGGAATATTAAAAAATAACTTTTTAAGAAAAAGGACACTTGAGTCTCATATTTAATTGCAGAAAACGCGTTGCCGGAGGCAACCGGCGGAACCTAAAATTATTTTTTTTATATTCTGAACGCGTTGCAGATAACGCGTTGCCGGAGGCAACCGCCAGAATTAAAAATTATTTTTTAAAAATTCTGAACGCGTTGCAGATAACGCGTTGCCGGAGGCAACCGCCGGAAATTAAAAATATTTTTTTTTAAATTCGGAACGCGTTGCAGATAACGCGTTGCCGGAGGCAACCGCCGGAACCTAAAATTATTTTTTATATTCTGAACGCGTTGCAGATAACGCGTTGCCGGAGGCAACCGCCGGAACCTAAAATTATTTTTTTATATTCTGAACGCGTTGCAGATAACGCGTTGCCGGAGGCAACCGCCGGAACCTAAAATTATTTATTTATATTCTGAACGCGTTGCAGATAACGCGTTGCCGGAGGCAACCGCCGGAAATTTAAATTATTTTTCGAAGAATTCGGAACGCGTTGCATAAAATCGTTGCCGGAGGCAACCGCCGGAAATTTAAATTATTTTTCGAAGAATTCGGAACGCGTTGCAGAAAACCGTTGCCGGAGGCAACCGCCGGAAATTTAAATTATTTTTTAAAAATTCGTAACGCGTTGCAGATAACGCGTTGCCGGAGGCAACCGTCAGAAACTAAAATTATTTTTTAAAATTCGAACGCATTACAGAAAGCATGCGGGCCGAAGGCCCGCATGTTTTATGACTTAAATTCAAAAGTTTATAACTTTTGATGTATTAGTCGTAGAAAGATGGTTGAGGTGTCATTCGATTGAGAATTGAATAAGGAGTTGAATGAAGATAATTTTAAGAGTGTCACTTGAGTCTGAGAATGGACATTTGAATAAATATTTTCTAAACCGTCCGATCTGGAAAGTTAAGCAACGCTGAGCTGTTTTATGTAACTTTTGAAGTAATTGTCAGAAAAATATGATTAAGGTGTCATTCGACGTGGAAAAATCAAGCAAATTTTTTAAAAATATTTTTGAAGGGGTCACTTGAGTCTGAGGTTGGAATATTTGAGTCTGAAGGTTAAAATCAGTGGAAATAAACTTTAAAAATTGTAAAAATTAAAGGGAATATTAAAAAATGAATTTTTACTAAAAAGGACACTTGAGTCTCATTTATAACTTTTAGTCTAGGACTGAAAATTTTTATAAAATTTTATAAAAATAAGGCAAATTAATTTAGAAGTTAATTTCACGTTTAATTTAATTCCTGGCGGTTGCCGGAGGCAACCGCCAGGAATTAAAAATTATTTTTTACGGAAATTGGAACGCGTTGCAGAAAACGCGTTGCCGGAGGCAACCGCCAGGAATTAAAAATTATTTTTTACGGAAATTGGAACGCGTTGCAGAAAACGCGTTGCCGGAGGCAACCGCCAGGAATTAAAAATTATTTTTTACGGAAATTGGAACGCGTTGCAGAAAACGCGTTGCCGGAGGCAACCGCCAGAATTAAAAATTATATTTTAAAAATTCGGAACGCGTTGCAGAAAACGCGTTGCCGGAGGCAACCGCCAGACTTTAAAATTATTTTTTAAGAAATCGCAACGCGTTGCAGAAAACGCGTTGCCGGAAGCAACTGCCATAATTGAAAATATTTTTTTAAATTTGAAACGCGTTGCAGAAAACATGCGGGCCGAAGGCCCGCATGTCGATTTTATGCTTAAATTTAAAATTTTATAACTTTTGATGTATTAGTCGTAGAAAGATGGTTGAGGTGTCATTCGATTGAGAATTGAATAAGGAGTTGAATGAAGATAATTTTAAGAGTGTCACTTGAGTCTGAGAATGGACATTTGAGTCTGAAGTTTTCAAATATTGGGAAATTATGACAAATTGAATTCTTTTAATGGTAATAACGCTGGAGTCAGCCTTTATACCCAAAAAGCTTATTTACATTTCAGTAATTCGCGCCGAACGCCCTTAACTATATTTTGTTTTGGAGTTAAAAGAAAAGTGTTGGGAGATGGAAGATAGAGAATTAAATTCTGCATCGAATAAGCTTTGTTTTATGCTTTTTCGACTTTTTTTGAAAAAGTTATTAATTTTTTAAGAAATTAAAATTTTGGGGAAAACTTTTTAATTTTGACGATCTAGACCGTCCGATCTGGAAAGTTAAGCAACGGTGAGGCGTTTTTTGTAACTTTTGAAGTAGTTATCGGAAAAATATGATTGAGGTGTCATTCGACGTGTAAAAATCAAGCGAATTTTTTAAAAATATTTTTGAAAATTTTTCCTCCAAGTTAGAGGCCAAAAAGTTTCACTCATGGCCTGAAGTTGTGGAGACCCAAGATTTGGTCACTCATAAATTTGTACAAAATGGTCAGAAATTTTTTCTGATTTTATTTTTATACTCAGCTCATTAAGTGCTTACATTTGATATATAATTTGGGCAGGTTTTAAAATTTTTGGTAAAGTTGAGATTTCGGCCAAAAATTTTGCTCGATTTTTTCAAAAAATTTTTTGAAAAATCATAACTTCGTTTGTTTTTGGGATTTTGGAAAAGTTTAAAGTTTATTATGTGTATAAAATCTGGCTTTATTTTAAAAAATTAATCAAAAACCTACACTGCTTATACCCGTTTAAATTTTGAAAAAACCAAAAATTTATGATTTTTCAAAAAATCGACACTTAGACCCTCTAACCTTAAATTTTTCAGAAATTTTTGTACATTAAAAAATTTCTAATTTTTTACTCTATTTAATATTTTTGTTTGGTTCGCATTGGACCATAACTCACAAAGTTATGGTAGATCAAAGTTTTTCGGAAATATTTAATAAGGGGTACCCCTTTGAAAAATTTTTGTAAATTTTTTTTGAGAAAATTTTCTAATTTTTGGCCATAATAGGTTTTAATAGACGGGGATAACGTTGCCGAAGGCAACCGCAAGAAATTAAAAATATTTTTTTAAATTCGGAACGCGTTGTCGGAGGCAGGAAAACATGCGGGCCAAAGGCCCGCATGTTTTTTATGACTTAAATGTAAAAATTTATAACTTTTGAAGTATTAGACATAGAAAGATGATTGAGGTGTCATTCGATGGGGAATTGAATGAGGAGTTGAATGAAAATATTTTCAAAGGTGTCACTTGAGTCTGAGAATGGACATTTGAGTCTGAAATTTTCAATTACTGGGAAATTAACCCAAATTGAATTATTTTAACTGTAATAACGCTGGAGTCAGCCTTTATACCCAAAAAGCTTATTTACATGTCAGCAATTCGCGCCGAACGCTGGTTATCTATATATAATAGTAAAAAGGCAGTCAGCTAAAAAAAAGTCCTTCAGACTTTTGAGAAGTCGTAGAGGGGTGGGGTTTTTTGCTATAGATGCGCAATACTATGTAGTTTTCAGGAAAACCTCCAAAAGTTGGGGGAAAGGGGCGAGTTTTTTAGATATTTCGAAAAAACGTGTTTTTTCGAAACTTTGACGTGAAATTTGAATACGAAGATGAAGTCGGGGAAAGTTGAGTCAGTTACAAGGTTGAAGCACCACAACATGGAGAATATGATAGAAAAAGAGTTGAAGTCGTTCTGACGTCGGGAAGGGTAGATATGCCTGTTGACAACTTTTTTGTCAAAGTGGTAACTTTGGATTTAAGGTGTTTAGAGGGGTGGGAGCAAAAAGTGGTTGGGAGAAAAGTTGTAGAGCGTAGTGGAGTTCTTAAGAAAAAAGTTGGTTTCAAGTTGATTGGAATAATTTAAAAAAAGATATGGAGTAAAAAGTGCATTTTTGGGGAAGATGTATAAAAGTGACATTAACTATATCTTATTTTGGAGTTAGAAGAAAAGTGTTAAAGAAAATTGGTAAAATTCGTCCTATTTTAGGCCATAACTTTCTCCAAAGTTGTCCTTTTCCGCAAATTTTTGTTTTATACAAATCAGGGATGAAAAACGAACAAAAACTATGTAAAGCTTGCACATGTTATCTTGACTTATTACTTAATTTGACATACCGCTTTACTCACTACCTATAACTAATGAACCACTGGTCAAAATTTCTTCAAGATTTGCTGAATTGTAGTTCTACAATTATTATACAATCTTGCAAAATTTGGGCGAAAAATATTCATTTTTGGCAAAGTTATGAATTTTTGAAAATCGGTAAAAATTTATACATTTTTGGCCATATCTCAGCCTAAATTGACCCTACAAACTTAAATTTGGTATCATTCGACGTATCTCGTCGAGCTGGATAGGAGAGGACCAAAGTTCTTATGCACGATAAAACCTCTCCAATGTTTTTTCGCGGCATAAAAAGTTGGAGAAGTTAAATTAGCTTCAAAAGAAGTTAAATTTTTATTTTTTCTTAATTAAAGCCTAAATTTAAGTATTTTCTATAATTTGTAAGCTTATTTTTTTAAAGTTTTGCTTATTAGCCGAGATATCGGATTTCGAAATAGGTAACCTAAAATAGAAACGAGAGTAATGATAAAAACGAGAGAGTAAGAAAATGAAAGAGAGGAAAAACGAGATAGTGTGATGAGGCAATGCAAGACAGTTAGAGTCCCGTTTAACCCACCGTGAAAATGAGACTCCTTTTCCCCATTTTTGCTTTCCTCTTCTTTTTCTATGTGGTTAAAGAAAGAGAAAAAGAGAAGAGAAAAGGAAAGGAAAAGAGCATCTCTCCCTGCGGCTAATGTCAATTAAAAAGGAAAGAGGAGATGGCAGACATGCCTCTTTTCCTTTTCTTTTCTCTCCTTCTTTTCTCTTTCTTTAACTAATATTGGAAAAGGAAAGGAAAAAGGAGGATGGGAGTCTTATTTTTCCCCTTATTAAAAGAAAAATCTCTTTTTTGAGGGCGACTCAACCGCTCCAAAAGTCGAAAACTTTGAAGCCCTATAACTTTTCGAAATGGGGGGTAGGGCCAAAAAAGAAAAGTACTACAATATGGTTTCGACTATGCTCTACACGATGGTATAAAAATTATTACGAAATTTTTGGTGACAGTTCGATATTGTTCCTTGTCAGCTCGTTGAGACGAATCGAATGGTATGGGTATTATATCGAAACCTTACAAAAAATGGCAATCCGAAATATTAGCACAATCCAAAATATTGTTTTGCATTGTGCGAATTTTTTCCAGTAGCACAACCTCAAAGAGAAAGGGAGAAGAATTTGAGTAGTGACATTTTGGATTGCTCTAATTCTTCCTTTCCTGCACAATACAAAAGATCAAAGGGAAAGGGAGAAAAATTTGAGTGTTGACATTATGGAACCTAATTATTTGCGATTAGCTAAAAATCCACTAGAAAGGGTGAAAAAAGTGTAAAAAATGTATTAAGGTTTTTGCCGATTGATGTTTATAAGTTTGAACTCATCTTCGAAGTCAGCATACTTAAAGGGAACACTGAACTAACAAATAAGACCAAAGTAACATACGCAATTGTGTAAAGCAGTGTCGATAACCCTTTGCTAATTGTTGGCTTTTTTGGCCCAGACCCCCAAATCGAAAAGTTATAGTGCTTCAAAGTATCGACTTTCAGATTGGCTGAGTCCCCTCATTTTTTAATAAAGCGGGAATTGCGACTCTCTTTTACCTTTTTTCCTTTCCTCTTCTTTGTCCATGTTGGTTAAAGAAGGAGAAAAAGAATGGAGGAAAGGAAAGGCGTCTCTGCCCTCTTTCCTTTTTTTTAATCTGCATTAGATGGAGCAGTGGTGGCTTTGAAGCCTGATAACTTTTTAATTTCGGGGTAAGTGGTAAAAAATTTGCAATAGGTTATCGACCATGCTCTACACAATGGTGTATGATACATCTCAATTTTTGGTTATAATTCGAGGTGTTCCCTTGTCAGTACGCTGACTTTGAAGATGAGTTCTAAGGACCTAGTGCATCTAAACAGTACATTCTAATTGTAGTTAGTATTTGGATTTTCATTTCAGTTTTGGGTACATGGATACTATTTAATTAAGAACTCTAAGGAATTAAATACGAAACAAACAATAATAGCAATATGTATATTCAGATTATACAAACAAATACACAATTAATACAAAATTAAAACAATAAATATAACATAAAATCAAAAATACTTAAATACAGGAAAAAAATACAGGAAAAACATACAAAAAGAACAAACATGTATAAATATACTGTCGTAGTTTTATATCTGAGCAGAAAGCTTGAACAGCGAGGCTATCAGTTTGAAAGAGATCACACATGCAAAATACATACAATAAATACATTAATAAATACATTAATCAAATACATTATCGCATATACATTTAAAGACAAATCACAATACATTATTTCATAAAATTATATAACAATGGCTAAGCACGGTTAAAAAACATTTACTAAATTACAGAAGAGTTATAAATGAGTACAAAATATTACAATTAATTCACAAAAACAAGAATGATCTCCACAGTGCGGAGGGGTCATGCCAATTTTTTGTCAAAAAACGTTAATAATGGCTTTGTATTAAAAAATTTTATTTTAAATTTAGTATGGAACACGTGTTGCTCAATTATTTTTAAAATTTACATTTAATGTTACTGTGCGGAGGGGTCATGCCCATTTTTTTTTCAAAAATTGTTTTAATGATTCATTGTGTACTACTATTAAATTAATACTATTTAAACAACCACTTTTACTAATTCTACGACCACTTTTTGTTTTCTTTCTTGCTTAATTCTCTTTCCATTTATTTTTCTCATGATGGCGCATAGCTTGGGGTTGCATTTGGTCCATTTCTCTTTTCGCCTCGACTTATATTATTATAAAAGTGGTTGTTTGTTGAGTACAATTGTAGAAGTGGCTGTGTGCTGGCGGAAATGGAAAATAAAGTGGTTGTTGCTGAGGAAAATGGAAAGGCAAAATGTATAGGAAAATAAATAATTCCCGACTTAGCATATTTCAAGTCCTTCCGGGCTTCTTGGTTCCTTTTGATGCAAATTCTTATCATCCAATCATCATGTTTATGGTACAATCTGAAGACTCAAATGTTCTACTTTGATTTTTAACCGTTGTAAATCGATTTGTAATGATTCCAAAGGGCTACGGATGATTTGTGGACACATTTATAAAAAATCGCAATCTTAAAATCCCTTGCGGCGCGAAATCTTGAAAAATTTTCACACTTATGTGCAAATCTTCTTTCATAAGGGAAGATGTTGAATTTCCCTGCTGAAAAATATTTAACGGTTGGTTCTCGATGAAAGAGAAAAAATGAAACTAAATGTTGCCTTTTGGCAAAATTGGTGAAGTGAAAAGTTGATATTTTGTGTTGAGACGAAGCGTCCTCAGTGAAGGATTTGAATATGACAATTCATTGTCAATTGGCAAGACGAGCAATCGGTCGGTTCGTTGCACACTTTTGAGTGTGTCGTAAAGCTAGCAAGTGACCCGAGATTGGTTGTGAGACCAAATCTGTCTCGCCTCGTGTGTCGTTCTGGCGCCGACGGTGCTCGAGCATGTTATCGTGCAGTTTAAATCTTTTCTGGGTAAAATTTATAGAATTCAGATTTTGTGAGTGAATTTTACCTGGAGTTACGAGATATCTGGTTGATCCTGCCTGAACTGATGTGTTCATTTCAAAGATTAAGCCATGCATGTATAAGTTTAATCGTTTTAACGAGAAACCGCGAACGGCTCATTACAATGGCCATGATTTACTTGATCTTGATTATCTAAATGGATAACTGTGGAAAAGCTAGAGCTAATACATGCACCAAAGCTTTGTCCTCTCGGAAAAGCGCATTTATTAGAACAAAACCACGCGGCTTCGGCTGCTTCTTGTTGACTCAGAATAACTAAGCTGACCGCATGGCCTTGTGCCGGCGGCGTGTCTTTCAAGCGTCCACTTTATCAACTTGACGGGAGCATAATCGACTCCCGTGGTGGTGACGGATAACGGAGGATCAGGGTTCGACTCCGGAGAAGGGGCCTGAGAAATGGCCACTACGTCTAAGGATGGCAGCAGGCGCGCAAATTACCCACTCTCGGCTCGAGGAGGTAGTGACGAGAAATAACGAGACTGTTCTCTTTGAGGCCGGTCATCGGAATGGGTACAATTTAAACCCTTTAACGAGTATCAAGCAGAGGGCAAGTCTGGTGCCAGCAGCCGCGGTAATTCCAGCTCTGCTAATACATAGAATTATTGCTGCGGTTAAAAAGCTCGTAGTTGGATTCGTATCGGTACCCTGGAACCCTCCGGGTGTTTCTGGGTGTTATCGATTTATCGTAATGTTCGGTTTTGAGTCCTTAACAGGATTCTTAACAGGCATTGCAAGTTTACTTTGAACAAATCAGAGTGCTTCAAACAGGCGTTTTCGCTTGAATGATCGTGCATGGAATAATAGAAAACGATTTCGGTTCAGTTTTATTGGTTTTACGGACTGAGATAATGGTTAACAGAGACAAACGGGGGCATTTGTATGGCCCCGTGAGAGGTGAAATTCTTGGACCGTGGCCAGACAAACTACAGCGAAAGCATTTGCCAAGAATGTCTTCATTAATCAAGAACGAAAGTCAGAGGTTCGAAGGCGATCAGATACCGCCCTAGTTCTGACCGTAAACGATGCCAACTAGCGATCCGCCGATGGAAATTATATTGCCTTGGTGGGGAGCTTCCCGGAAACGAAAGTCTTCCGGTTCCGGGGGAAGTATGGTTGCAAAGCTGAAACTTAAAGGAATTGACGGAAGGGCACCACCAGGAGTGGAGCCTGCGGCTTAATTTGACTCAACACGGGGAAACTCACCCGGCCCGGACACTGTGAGGATTGACAGATTGATAGCTTTTTCATGATTCAGTGGATGGTGGTGCATGGCCGTTCTTAGTTCGTGGAGTGATTTGTCTGGTTTATTCCGATAACGAGCGAGACTCTAACCTACTAAATAGCTGGTACATACTCTTAGTGTATACAGCTTCTTAGAGGGATTTGCGGTGTTCAGCCGAAAGAAATTGAGCAATAACAGGTCTGTGATGCCCTTAGATGTCCGGGGCTGCACGCGCGCTACACTGGCAAAATCAACGTGCTTGTCCTACCCCGAAAGGGGCGGGTAAACCATTGAAAATTTGCCGTGATTGGGATCGGAAATTGCAATTATTTTCCGTGAACGAGGAATTCCAAGTAAGTGCGAGTCATCAGCTCGCGTTGATTACGTCCCTGCCCTTTGTACACACCGCCCGTCGCTGCCCGGGACTGAGCCATTTCGAGAAATTTGGGGACCGTTGATTTAATTTTTCTAAATTACTTTGATGGAAACCAATTTAATCGCAGTGGCTTGAACCGGGCAAAAGTCGTAACAAGGTAGCTGTAGGTGAACCTGCTGCTGGATCATTACTTTATGTGATGTTCAAATTTGAATTCTCAACAAAAATATATCGTTGTGAAACGGCTGTCGCTGGTGTCTAGGTGTTGCTGATACAGTTGTGAACGTCCGTGGCTGTATATGTGGTGACATGTTAGGACTCTAATGAGTTTAAGACTTAATGAGCCTCTTAAGTGAGGACGCCAGCACTCTTTTTTTCTCTATATTTTAAAAAAACGAAAATTTCTAGCCTTATCGGTGGATCACTCGGCTCGTGGATCGATGAAGAACGCAGCAAACTGCGATAATTTGTGCGAACTGCAGAAACCTTGAGCACAAAAGTTTTGAACGTATATTGCCGCATTGGGGTCAAACCCTTTGCTACGTCTGGTTCAGGGTCATTTTCTTTTGAAGCGAAAGCTTTAATTCTATATTGCTTTTCAAGCTTTATATTTTAAAATGATTGTTCGGTTTATCTAATTATTTACAAATATATCAACATCAATAAAACATTTTTGACCTGAACTCAGTCGAGAGCACCCGCTGAACTTAAGCATATCAGTAAGCGGAGGAAAAGAAACTAAACAGGATTCCCCCAGTAACGGCGAGTGAACAGGGAAATGTCCATCGCTAAATCATTTTGCCTCAGGCATTATGAGGTGTAGCGTATAAGCCGTAATTTTTGATCTTTTGTCTCAAACAAGTCCCCTTGACAGGGGTTCCACAGAAGGTGCAAGTCCTGTACATTGAGATAAATGGTTAATATTTACGTGCTTTAGAGTCGGGTTGTTTGGGATCGCAGCCCAAAGTCGGTGGTAAACTTCATCTAAGACTCAATATTGCCACGAGACCGATAGCAAACAAGTACTGTGAAGGAAAGTTGCAAAGCACTTTGAAGAGAGAGTTAAAGAGGACGTGAAACCGGTGAGGTGGAAACGGATAGAGTCGGCGTATCTTTCAAGTATTCATTTACATTATTTTTGTGTTGTGATCTCTGAGCTCCAGATTGGGACAGAAAGAAGCAGCATAATTTTCTGTGATGCATTTACTTGTTTGGTGCTTGGGGATGTTTGAGGCAGATTTGTAACCGCCGTTTTGAGGCCAGCTTGCTGGTACCCAAACGGTGTTAGCATCTTTTGTCTTGGACATTTGAGTATGGTTTACGGGCATTTATTGGTTCGATCTAAGTGTAAGTTACGGTCGCATGCGACACGTGCTTTTCAATTAGTTCGGTCCAGTTAATGCTCTCGTACTCGCTCCCCATGTAAAAGCCGGTCATCTATCCGACCCGTCTTGAAACACGGACCAAGGAGTTTATCGTGTGCGCAAGTTTTTGGGTGTTAAAAACCTAAAAGCGAAATGAAAGTAAATGACTCTTTAGAGTCTGATGTGCGATCTTGTTAAAAAGTGCAGCATGGCCCCATTCTAACTGTTTACAGTAGGGTGGCGGAAGAGCGTACGCGGTGAGACCCGAAAGATGGTGAACTATTCCTGAGCAGGACGAAGCCAGAGGAAACTCTGGTGGAAGTCCGAAGCGGTTCTGACGTGCAAATCGATCGTCTGACTTGGGTATAGGGGCGAAAGACTAATCGAACCATCTAGTAGCTGGTTCCCTCTGAAGTTTCCCCCAGGATAGCTGGAGCTCACGAGTAGTTATACTCGGTAAAGCGAATGATTAGAGGACTTGGGAACGAAATGTTCTTAACCTATTCTCAAACTCTAAATGGGTATGATGTCAAAGTTGCTTGATTTTGAACTTTGGCGTTGAATACGAGCTCCAAGTGGGCCATTTTTGGTAAGCAGAACTGGCGATGTGGGATGAACCAAACGCGGAGTTGCGGTGCCAAAGTGCCCGCTCATTAGACCCCATAAAAGGTGTTGGTTGATACAGACAGCAGGACGGTGGCCATGGAAGTCGGAATCCGCTAAGGAGTGTGTAACAACTCACCTGCCGAATCAACTAGCCCTGAAAATGGATGGCGCTGGAGCGGGCCACCTATACTCTGCCGTCATATGCTTGTATTTTTGAGTCTTGCAATGACGTGTAAGAGGGTCGTAGTGGTTGCGTTGAAGGCTTTGGGTGTGCACCCAGCTGGAGCTTCCGCTAGTGCAGATCTTGGTGGTAGTAGCAAATATTCAAGTGAGATCCTTGAAGACTGAAGTGGAGAAGGGTTCCACGTGAACAGCAGTTGAATGTGGGTCAGTCGATCCTAAGGCACCGGCTAAAGCCGTCTAGACACTGCGGGGAGATGAGATACTTAACGGTATTTTGTCCACCCGGTTGCCGAAAGGGAAGTGGGTTAATATTCCCACACCAGGCATGGGAGATGGTGATCCGCAAGGATTACTTTGCGCGGTGACGCAAACGAACTCGTAGACCTCGTGTGGAGTCCGGGCCAGAGTTCTCTTTTCTGGTTTAGAGATCATGTCCCTGGAAGTGGCTCAGCCTGAGATAGGGATGCTGGTCTCGTAAAGCGCAGCGGTTCCTGTTGTGTCCCGTGTGCTCCACATGAGCCGTGAAAATGCGAGGGAGGCAATTTAAAATCTCCTGCCTGATCGTACCCATATCCGCA